CAACCAATCGGGGAATGTTTATTTGGGGCATACATCTATTTTTACTGCAGGTTTTGGCATATTTTAATCGAAATTAGAGAAAAATGGAATGATGTTAGGAGATATAAAACAGAAAATGATAAATATTTTTAGCAAAAGATGAATTGGATCGGGGTTCTGTGTATTCACATTATTTGTACAACTCTCCTTACTGATGGCAAAAAATGGAATTTCCGTGACCTAAATGGTTCGCGAAAATTAATATTTTTATATATATATAGTAATAAACTGGTCTAATATAAACACAAGAGTGCACATCCTGAAATGTCTCGCCTTCTTAAATACTAATCATTGATATTATGTTGATAGTCCTAAATATAAAGCTTTACTACAACTATCACATAAACTTAACATGATCCAAGAAAATGAGGTCACTGTCATATAAACCAAACAAGAAATACATGTACACCTTACAATTATTCAATACACAAAATATAGCTGACCTATTGCTTATAGTTTCTAAGAAACAGACTTAACCAAGAAAACTAAACATTGACCAATGAACCATGAAAATGAGGTCAAGGTCAGATGAACCATGTCAGACAGAGATGTACAGCTTACAATTCTTCAATACAACAAATATAGTTGACCTATTGCTTATGGTTCAAGAAAAACAGACCAAAACACAAAAACTTAACACTGAGCAATGAACCGTGAAAATGAGGTCAAGGTCAAATAAAACCTACAAGACTGACATGTACATCATAAAATATTTCCATACACCAAGTATAGTAGACCTATTGCATACAGTATAAGAGAAATAGACCAAAACACAAAATCTTAACTATAACCACTGAACTATGAAAATGAGATCATGGTCAGATGACACCTGCCAGTTGGACATGTACACCTTACAGTCCTTCCATACACCGAATATATAAGACCGATTGCTAATAGTATCTGAGATATGGACTTGATCACCAAAACTTAACCTTGTTCACTGATCCATGAAATGAGGTCGAGGTCAAGTGAAAACTGTCTGACGGGCATAAGGACCTTGCAAGCTACGCACATACCTTACCATATATAGTTATACTATTACTCATAATGAGAGAGAAATTAACATTACAAAAAATCTTAACTTTTTTTTCAAGTAGTCACTGAACAATGAAAATGAGGTCAAGGACAATGGACATGTGACAGACGGAAACTTCGTAACATGAGGCATCTTTATACAAAGTATGAAGCATCCAGGTCTTCTACCTTCTAAAATATAAAGCTTTTAAGAAGTTAGCTAACGCTGCTGCCGGATCACTATCCCTATGTCGAGCTTTCTGCGACAATAGTCACAGGCTGGACAAAAACAATGATCAAGATCGACGCTTTCACACTATTTACATCAGTCACCTGGAATAAAAACAGGGTGGAATGAAATTACACTTACACAGCCAGGATAAGTGATGTTGACATTGCCGGTATGTCATTAGGTCTTACCTTGTTGATACTTAAACATGTGCTTGTGGATTACTCATTTAGCTGAGTTGGTAGAGCAGAGACTTTCTGTGCAAAGGGTCACAGGTTAAAATTCGGATTGGTACAGTAATTTATTTTGGAAAGCAAATAATGATCTCTGGGTTATGTGTAATTGTATTTGCAATTTTGGTATTTAGCTGAATTTTGTCTCCTTGTACATGTAACCTGAGATCAAATCTGCACTTGGTCAAATTGGTACTGTACCTTGTTAAATCGGCACCCGATGTAGTCATTTCGCCACCCATGTTAAATATTTTCAGTATTTGAAGCAAATAGATTAAAATAAAGAAGGCGTTGTCTAGAAATATTGACTTATTTTCATTTTTGGGGGGTTTCTGTGCATGTATTTTTTCCATTCAACTTGATGTGTATTCGCGGTATTTATAGATATTTTTATGCATGTTTTAACCAGAGACATATATATGTCTCTGTTTTAACCAACATGACTAAAGGAGAATTTTCCATTATTGTTGGTTTAATGCTGTTTAAACTTTCCTGAAAAAAAACACCTTAATTGACATTCAAGGTTGATTAGTGATAGTAATGAAAGGGACTCAAAATTTCCCCTTTTCCTGCTTCTAATTTTCTCATGATCAAACAACAACAGCTTGTGTAATGGCTTCATGTATTTTACTAAGTTTTTAAAGTAAAAAAAAATCAATAACAACCTGTTTAGATTTAAAACAACAAACATGTTAATTATGTAAAAATAACTGTAATTGATAAAAGTTATTAATATCAATTGAAAAGATAACTATTCAAAACGTCAGTCATAGATTGTTGTCAATGTTGAGAAAACTTATAATATGTATTCTAACGGCTTGGTGATTTTTAACTATACATGCTATATGTAGATTTAATGAGTAATATAAATTAAAAAGATAAAGCCAAACCCCAACAATAATTTAAAGATAGAAAGATCATTTATACATTTTTACTGAGATTTTTTGAATTATTTATCTGTTTATATTGTATCAAATAATGAAATATTATTGGATTTGACTAGATGCCGATTTAACCAGGTGCCGATTTGACTTGTACTCCCCCCCCCCCCCCCCCCTCGGATATTTATCATTCTGTTACGAGGGAAAAGATAGTAATTTCAAAAACGTCAATGTTGACATTGTACAGATGCAGGATCCGCTCACGGTTTTTGAGAGTGTTTGAAAAGTTAGGTCGTGTTAACATGAAACAGTAATGCTAAACCATGTCAGTATCGACCCCTGTTATGTGCTTGTCTATATATTTTTACCGATACATGCTTTCATGGCAAATAAATCATAGAATACTTACCTTTGATCGCTTCAAAATTCCAAAAATGGCGGCTGGAAACTTACAAATAACACGTGACTCGTGACGTACGTTGTAGATCTGGGTGCATACCAAAAAGTAGCACCGCGCGAGGTTTAGCCTAGATTCCAATAAAAATAATTTAGAATATTAAAAAATAAATCGAGTGATAAACGGGGCGATAAATAGGTTAAAACATTTATAAATCCTGGTTTATATTTGATATATATTTGTAACTGCTTTTTCAATAAAATGCGTCTTAATTCATGTAAACGAAAAACTATATCTTAAAAAATATTACACTGCGAAATTGTCTTATAACATATTCTTTATTCAAGAGCGCTCAAAATAGTAAACAATACCATGGCACATGAACATATTCTCAAAAATTATATATACAGATTATGCACATGCAATGTACAGATTATTCTCAATAATTGTTATGAAAAGTATGCTTTGCATTATGTCGATTTATGTCATATAATGCTTATTTAATAAATTTCGTATCCACTGATCCATCATGCAGGTATGGATAATCCAACTGTTATGTTTAAGGTTGTTTGCTACTCTGTTTCAAAATAACAAGCTTTTTAAAAGACTGTTATGAATTTATAGAATATCATAACGGAACTTAAAAAGAAGAAAAAAATGATAGGTCCGTGTGCTTGTTTTTGAGATATAAGCCATTGAAAATTTGGCGGGAAATGATTCTCTCTAGATTTTTCATAAAATTAACATTGGCAGCATTTTCTTTCAAAAACTATGAAAAAATAACAAGGTTTTTATAAGATTTTCAAATATGACTTTTTAATCTATATGTAATAAAATTATGAAAAGAAAAGTAGGGCTTAATGGGCAAAATTTGTAATGGGTACTAAATGGATAAAACCAGAGGATTCCGAATATCTGACAAAAATGAGCGAACATCCTTAAGTCATATATGCTTATTTTGATACATTTTGCATCATGCTGGAGTGAGAACTGAGGTATCATCTAACTGATCCGTCATAGCAACTATTTTCCAATAAAACCTAAAAAGATGAAGAAAAAAATGAATATAGTTTCATTTTTCAGTCTGATGTTTATTGGCCAAAGAGCTATTGCCTAGCTTCAGGTGGAGGTATATATCTAAAGCCAACAAATAAAAAGCCGTTTTTACAAAATAAATAAACTTTTTATGATTCCGAGTAAGCAAAATCAGTCTTTTTAGAATAGCAAGCATTCGTTAAAAAAAAGAAAAGAAAAGGACTATTTAGAGTATTGTTTTAACTATAAAAGCTGTCGCTTATAACGACTAATATCGTAATACTCCATAATTACAATTTGTGTTGTTTCAAAAACTGACATAAGCAGTCGCTTACCGCAGAAGTTGTTCCCGGCGTTGATCCGGGTAATATAACAAGTACGTTGTTAACCTTATTAGTGGTAACACTGAAACTGTAATAGTACGCCATAATATCCCGGAAAAGATCCGTGTTTGTACTAAGTAATATGTATATATTGTACGTTGTTAGTTCTACAACTTCTAACATTTGTACTGTGCAGTATAAAAGTATACTGTTATTAGTACTACTAGCGGACTAATTTTACTAATAGATTTCCACTATTACTGGCTAACATTGCAGGATCGGGTGCAACTACACACCTTTTACAGACTATGTAACAACATACTGGGTCGAACAGCTAGAACAGTCACCTTTGGAACCATTACACAACATAGGGACCGATGACTACACATCTAGAGGGATGGCACAGCAAGCTGAAGAAATATGTTCAGCACCCACATCAAAACATCTTTAACTGACCCATAAAACTACTGAAACATGAGGAAGCTTTCAACGCTCTGACCATGATCCAGTATACAGCCTCAACAACAGATTAGAAGAGCTAAAGTTAGACACCGCAACCAGGAAGTCACAACAGTACAGTTTGACGATGTAGCCTCCGTGACCTTCTTCACGTTGAATAGATTAATAAACTTTAATAGACTTGTTCTTCATTTCCATTCTCAATTTTATTATATACAGTGAATTTCTAATGTGTGTGCTACAATGTGCGATTTGTTTTAGTGCTGTTGTATTGTTTGTTTCATATTATAATGCTTGCTTGAATCTACTGTTGAATTTGTGTTATAAAAGAAATAAAATGATTTACTTATAATTGTTTCCATTTGTTTCCATTTGTTTCATATTTATTCATAATTAAAAACACAGAATTCATACACATACAAAAATAACCTATTACCTGTCCTAAAAAAACAAAAAAGTTAAAAGTTGATTAAACAATGTTTATACATGCAATATAATCCTTTGTTTGCACAAGTTTTCCCCCTATTCCTACATGAAATTTTAATTTTTCTTTCCAGATTTATAAAAAGTGGGAATAGAAGGAATGAACCATATTGAGAATCGGTTACAACACACAATTCTAAGAAAAACAACAAATTACATTCAGTTGCTTTTTGTACACCTCACGGTTTTTGTAGGTGGCATTTTTTATTGAATAAGAACAAAAGAAAAACAACACGTCATATTGATAGACAGATTTGATACGTGTTAAAGGAGTTTGATATTATTTAAGCAAGTGAAAAATAGAAATACATAGAAATTAAGTGATAAGATATGATCGAAAATCAAGAATATTATCATTTATTTAGTTCAACCATCAAAATCATTGTAATATTTGCCTAGAGTTGTCAATTTCTTTGAGTTTTGGTGGAGAAGACTGACGGCTTTTGTTGTAAACAAATTTTCGGTATTTCTACTGACAAACCAAGAGTACCGGAAAACGTAATCAGCTGATTCTAGTAAAGGTAAAATTTGTTTCATAAACTGAAGTTGATCTGCAGCGGATTTATCTTGTGGGCAAGCAAATTCTGTTAGCCATATTGGTTTCTTGTACCTCTGCCACAACTGATTCAAATAAACCATTGTCTCGCTGGCTTCACATCGATAGGAATGTGTTGCAATATGGTCGACCCTGCAATGACGACACAACTTGAAAAATTCGTCCAGCCATTCGATTGGTCCATATTCACAACTTGCGCATGGAGCTACTGCTGGGCTAACAAGTATTTTGCCATGTGCCTTCTTTTGGAGAACTTTCCAATGTCTTGCAGCTTCCCTTGGTGACATTTTCGACTGTTTCTCGTGATTTGGTTCGTTAAAACCAAGGACATATCTTGATTGTGATAGTAAACGAATAGGCGTATCAACATCTGGTCTCCATCCCCACACCATCGGCACATATCCTTGTTTCAGATTATGAGAACACTTATGGAGGGTATGTTTCCATGGATATGTATGCCAGTCATACCTGAAATAACAATTTTGTTTATAGATTGAAGACTGATTATGTACTCACAATAGAAACGTTTCAAAATACCCAGCAAAACGCATATTGAAATGATCTGTTTAAAATTCGAGTATAATTCCTTTTCGAGGTTATTCACCTGCAAATACTAGAACATGGAACATTCTATATGAAAAAAAAGTAATGGAATCTGTGACGTTTTCAGAAAATTTTATTCCAGGACAAAATTAGAGATAATGATTATATCAACACTTTTCTCACAAAATTATCGAACCGAACAATCATCAGTACATTTTTGAGCTATAATATTATTTATTTTAATTTTATGTTGAGTAAAAATTGCCAGAAATTTAAAACAGCCTTCTTGAAGATGGATTGATTGATATTGCCGCTCAATATAGGCTGTGTCGCAGCGGTAAAAAAATTCTGAAAAAGTAGATTCTCGCTGCAACAAAGTTCAGCTCTTTGAAAAATGAAAAATTTACAGCTTGAAATACTTACCACCAATGGACATTAGTGAACACTTTTTCATCTCCACAACGTCTATGCCGCCTATCACCATCTGAAACCGCCAGACCCTTTTTATGTGATGCCTCCGTCAATGAGAGCGCCAAGGCAGCAACAACTGCTATCTTTTGTAGTACTAAAACAGAAAAATACAGAGCTTATTATACAATACCAAATGGTATCGGTAGCAGGAGGTATACAGATTCCAGCATGCTTATCTTGATGAATGTTCGTCAGTTTGTAAGTTATCTCCAACAGCCCACATATCCGCACAAACTAAATACATGTACTAATGTTAAGATGTTTTATTTCCGTTAAATGGACTTACAAAAAACATATTGCAGTATTCAGTAGACATTATTATAGACAACAAAATAATAAATAACAGCAATAATCAAGTGTACGTACAAATAAAAAAAAATAGTTTGAACATGTATAACACATACCCCCAACAAAAAAGTGTTTTTAATAAATTGGAATTTCAGTGGATATGTTACTTAACTGCTAAAGCCAACAACGAACTGTGCTGCTTGGCAAAGTGGGTGATAGACGCACACGGTATACACGTTACTTTGGAACGCCATTTTGTCCTAGGTTAAAGTTGTCTTTTTGACATTGAAATATCTTTTTTTATTTATATTGTGTCATAGATCAAACTGATTCGTTCTGTGTACATTTACTTGTTTTTGTGTATTGTCTTTTTGATCGAGTTAAGCCATTTCAATTGATATTTTATTGTGTGTCTTTTTATGTTGTAATGTTATACCACTGTTTCATGTTAGGGTGAAGGTTGGCGCCTGCTAAAATGTTTAAACCCGCTGCATTTTATGCACCTGTCCTAAGTCAGGAGCCTGTTGATCAGTGGTTGTCGTTTGTTGGTGTGGTTCATAAGTGTTTCTTGTTTCTTGTTTTTTTATATAGATTAGACTTTTGGGTTTCCTGTTTGAATTGTTTTACACTAGTCATTTTGGGGCCCTTTATAGCTTGCTGTTCGGTGTGAGCCAAGGCTCCGTGTTGAAGGCCGTACTTTGACCTATAACTGCATGTTTACTTTTTACACATTGTGACTTGGATGGAGAGTTGTCTCATTGGCACTCATACCACATCTTCTTATTTATATGTATGTATGTAGATAGATAACCAGTATTAAGGAACTATGTATTCATCTTAAGTTTTGTTGGATTCGTGATGCTGACTTGTTAGAGTATTTGCAGAAGGCGGAGGTATCATGGTGTGTGTCCATATTTGATAGGAGTTATGGAGAGAAAGTATTGGAGTTCCATTTATAGTATTATTTTTGCAAACCACTTCTCCCCGAAAATTTTGATTACTTCTTCTTTATGTAGTTAAATTGATATTCTGTATATGATGTCCGCATTTGTAGGGATCCTGAGATTTAAGTAGTATATAAAAGATGTGGTATGATTGCCAATGCATGAGACAACTCTCCAAGAGACCAAAAATAACGTAGCAACTATAGGTAACCATACGGCCTTCATCAATGAGCACAACCTATACCGCATAGCAAGCAATGATATGTGGAAACTTCTGCTGTACATGGCTGTATCTAAAATTTAATTCACCCCACTTAACGAGTGTCATGTGTCAGTTCTTTACAATATAGCGAAGCTTGGGATGCATTTTGACTTTAAGGTATGGTATATAAGTCGTAGTCAAACTGGAAAATTCTCCTGTATAATCCTCTGCTCCTTCCAACCTATTAAATGGATTTATGAAAAGCTATATCACATCTTTCCATGATGATGTATGCAGTATGGTTCCTCATTGTTCTTCTAATCTAGAGTCAAATCAGGCATTTTGTTTTCTCTGAAATTTTATCTTAAAAGAGCACAGAAAGGGAGAGTTCCGAATGGAAATGGCAGGCTGTGAATTTTTCGGCGGTACCTGAAGACCGATTAATTTGTGTTAAAATGTGACATTTTACCAGTTATGTGCGATTTTGAATGAACTACTAGTATGATATATGGGGTTACTCTGACTTAGCATATGGGTAGAAAGAAAGTGAAACGTGATAGATCATCAAATTCTACGGTTAGTCACAACCCAAGCCCGCACACAAACACAAAAAGAATGGCAACGGCATCAAATATGAATCCATCAACTCCGATAGGCAATACCATTGGCCGAGCAATTGATGTTATTCACGGCACAAACTCTCATTATTTTAATACCGGAGTCAGTGTTCCATCAAATACACCGTTTAATGGTGAATACCCTAACCCACATTCACTATAGTTTACCGACCAGGGGTCATCTCCGAACATTAGATCTTCAGGCTATGAAACACAAACCTTACATGATGTGATTAAAGACATTTACATAAACTACAACCACTCGATCTTCTGCCATCAATAAACAATCGACTCGAAAACCTAGAACTTAGATTTAACAATCTAAATAGTGAAATAAAATCAATGAAGGGGCAAATAAACCAACATGATTACAGACTTGAAACAACAGAAAATGACAATAATGTTTTACTTAAAGAGTGTGAAAGTCTCAACCAACAAAACACACAATTGTACAACGAGACATGCAAAATCGGTCGATGCGGGACAGTTTGATATTTAGCGGTATATCAGAAGTGGTTCGTAGCGAAACCCCGGAGGAAACTGAACAGGAAGTCAAAAGGTTCATAGAACAAAAACTCGAAATTAAGAACAATATACAATTCCATGTTACACACCTTTTGAGACCGCGCAAGAATGGTAAACCCTAAAATATAGTGGCAAAATTTGAGGAAAGGAAGGATAGAAATCTAGTATTGAAGGCAGCGAGAAGTAAACTAAAAGAAAGTGATTTTGAAGTTCATGAACAGTTTCCGCCTGAAAATATCGCACGACGCAATGAGCTTTGGCCCGCGTTCCGTCATCATGCATCAACATCACTGGGGAGGACACCGTTAAGTTTTACGATGACAAACTGATAGTAAATGGAAGGCGAATTTATCCGTCCACTTATCGCCTACCCCGTGACCAAGTTTATACTCCTCATCCAGTTCAACATACCCGTCATCCTCCCGTACAAATGCCTCCGCAACAAAATAGTCCCCTTAACCCGAACCTTCCTTCTTCCCAAAGATTCCGCGTTATCAGCTGCACTCTAGAGCTCCGCAACCATTTCAACAGAGAACTGGTCAAACAGGAACAGCATAATGTGAGATCACCAATACAGCCTCCACAACAGCAACAGTGTTACAAGAGGCCCAAGTAGGGGAACTGACTATAATGCTCAAACACTGAAAACACTGAACATATCGTACCTATTTCTATGTTTATTTGTTTGTTTAGCAGGCGTCGTCTTGAATTCAATTTATCATATTAATTTCTGTGTACTTTTATAATATTGAAAACATTAAATTTAGCAGATACATATAATTTGACTTAATGTGTTGGAATCTGATGTTCAGTAGTTGTCGTTTGTTGATGTGGTTCATAAGTGTTTCTCGTTTCTCGTTTTTTATATAGATTAGACCGTTGGTTTTCCCGTTTGAATGGTTTTACACTGGTAATTTTTGGGGCCCTTTATAGCTTGCTGTGCGGTGTGAGCCAAGGCTCCGTGTTGAAGACCGTACTTTAACCTATAATGGTTTACTTTTATAAATTGTGACTTGGATGGAGAGTTGTCTCATTGGCACTCATACCACATCTTCTTAATTATATATATTTGTTGAAAATAAATAATTGTCACTATAAATCAGATTTACAGCCATGGAAAAAATTACAGAATTTGATTTTATTTTCATTTGCGATTGCCGCTACACTCGACATGTTATAAAGGAATATTATAAAAAAAGAGTACAATATATTGTAAAAGGAGCTATATATTGAAAATAAACGCCTAACGGTGATAGGTTTCAGTTCAGGATCGAGTCATGTCCCACTAGTAAATTTTGAAATATGGAAACTGAATTAATTTTCATCCAGACTCTGTGAACATAGAATCACGAATATTTGGTTGAATAAACTGGGGGAAATGACTTGATAGACCTAATACATTCCCCTTCAGATGCATCTCACTCCAAACCCTTATCTAAAGTTCACATATTCGTCATCTTATAATTACGGGAATGTATCCACTTACCTCCAAACATCGAAAATCAGTGGTTATATTTCATTGAAGATTCCACGTTTTATTCCCATAAACTTATTTAAAAATTCACAAGACAGTGATTTAAGCATTATCGTTTGAGAAAACAAAATAATAGAAGAACAGAAGAACATTTAAATAAGATTTAGTATGTCGTAAATTCGTGATTATTTCTAAAATATTTAGTTAAAGGCTTCCATTTACTATTTTAATATTACACGTCAAACAAATAGTCTTTTGTTATTATTTTATTTTTACATGATGTTAATGAAAAACGTCATCGGGGATAATTTTATCTTACGTATGGTTAACTCGAGATTGAACCTATGGAATTTGAAAGACTCTACAGTAACTGTTAGAACATCTCTGTAAGATTTAAACAAACATGGTATTCCGATATTAAAACGTTCCAGAAAACATTAAATTACCGCCTTTTTAAGGATATGTTTGCCTTTTTTTATAGATATTTTGTAACCCTGTGATTTTACCACACTCGGTCAATTTAGACTTATTATCCATAAATTACAAATAGAAAGTGGTAGAGAGATAAAGGAATAAGTGAACGATGTTATTTAGAATATCTTTGAGATTAATTTCATTAGGTTAAGTTATGGCTATAGAAAGAAAAAAGTATATCGGTTATATAAATACAATTAAATTTAAGGCCGTTATGGATATGACAAAAAAAATCTAATTTAAAGAAGTTATGTACATTTATAAGGAATAATAATTCATGTGTGTGTTCTCCTGGTTGAATCTCTCAATTTTTATTTTTAAAAAGTGTATATACTACTTTTTTTCTTTTTATTTACATCTGTGCTATTTATTTCATGTAACTTCTGTATTGAAAAAAGGTTTATCTACTTTTCGACTTTAAAATAAAGAGTCGTGAATTCTTGTAAATGAAAGACAACATGTCTCTATTTTCAAATGATCGACTTACATTCAATTTTAAGTTGTACTAGCTACAATCATCTCGTCTTAACGCACACATACAATAAAATGGAGAACAACAGTATTGTTAACATAAACCTAATCTAATAGTCGGACAGCCCGCAGAGCTATAACACATTTGCTTACGCGCTGTCCATATCAGAGGTGAAAAAATAAGATTAATGTACATATGTAAAATTGAGAATGGAAACGGGGAATGCGTCAAAGAGACAACAACCCGACCAAAGAGCAGAATACAGCTCAAGGCCACCAATGGGTCTTCAACACAGATAGAAAATCCCGCATCCGGAGGCGGGCTTCAGCTGGCCCCTAAATGTATATGTATGTAAATATAAGCGGACGTAAATAATATTATCGAAAAGGTAACTCAGTCATCCTTCGAGTCGTTGTATCAAGAAATAATACATCAAAAGGATAACAAGAATTACCAAAAAAAAATGGATAGAACAACAGATCACACCAACAACAAACACTCGACTCCTCCAACAACAAAACACACTCGACTCCTCCAACAACAAAAAAAAAACACTCGACTCCTCCAACAACAAAAAACACTCGACTCCTCCAACAACCAAAAACACTCGACTCCTCCAAAAAGATAGGACAAGACAAACAACAAAACATTGTTCAGATAGCTTGACTTGGTAAAGGTACAAAATGTGGCATGGTTAAATAGATTTACTTGCGCACACCCCCCTTTTTTGTCTATTTAGACCATACTACTTATTTGAACAAGCAAATAAAAAAGCAAAGAATAAGAGATGTTTAGTAATGTGTATGAAACTGGCAAACCCTGAATACCGCTAATCCAATATTTCGGACAATGTTAGTGTCTATGATAAAAGCAAGCCTACTTAATTTGTTGTCTTCAATAGGTTTGGCTGTTGGTACAGAACTTAAGGCACAAAGTCAATCTCTTCTATGAAGATATATTATAAATATTTCCATGCCTGGAACTTTGATGTGTAAATATTAATAACGGTACCTCATCACTCGGTGAAGATATATATGATCTAAATGTCCAGCCTTTTTCCAGAATATATATCGGTATACTATACGACCGAATGAATATAGAAACCGGACTATATATCCTCTAAAAAGACGAAAACGAAAATGTATGGAGATCTTTTTGCTACGACCATCATAGGCGGATCAGGGGGGGGGGGGGGGGGGGGGCCTCTTTCGTGGGAAAAATTTGGTTGATTATATAGGGAATCACTGAAGCATGACTGGAGCCCCCCCCCTTTTAGGTCAGTCAGCGGCCCCCCCTTATGAAAAGTTCTGGATCCGCCAATGACGATCCAATAATTGTTAGTGTTATCAAAGTCTTTCGACGTCACATGTGAATAGTTATCTCTTCAAAGCTAAAAAGAAAGAATCAATATGCTCAACCAGACCTAGGACCATGTATACTGCTTATATGATTGATACATATTCCATTTTTTTTTGCATGTGATAGGCCATGACCTGCTGATTATTTTTACCATGTCAGATGTTCATAACTTTTTTTAATTTTTGAGATATAAGCCCAAAACTGCATTTTAGCCCTATGTTCAATTTGCAACTGCAGATATGTTTGTTGATGGATCAAATCGCCGGATACATTATTTTTAAACTGGCTAGATACACTATACATATAAAGGGACATTCTTGTAAAGTATGGTAACATTTGGCCCTGTAGTTTCAGAGATTTGTTTAAAAAGTTTACGACGACGGCCTGACGCCGACAACGGACGCCAAGTGATGGCAAAAGCTCACATGGCCTTAGACAAGGTAAGCTAAAACGAGACGTTAGTCATGAATTATAATCTAGACTATAATATTGGATTGAAGATGCATATAAATCAAGATGAGCGGCCCATGCTCTTTATGGTCTCTAAGTTTATTTCATTAACTGTACCAATTTTACTGCACCAGATGCGCATTTCGGCAATAAATGTTTTTACAGTGATGCTCGAGGCCAAGATATTTGATACTAGTAACTTTAATTGAAAAATAAAAAAACTGACAAAACCAATAAAATGCTCCGCTGGGCGCAGCTTGATACGACCGCAGAGGTCGAACCCTGAACAGTTGGGGCAAGTATGGACACAACATTCAAGCTTGTTACAGCTCTGAATTTGGATTGTGATTAAATATTTGACACAGCATAGGTTTCTGACACAGAATGAATGTGGTCTAAGAACTTAAATTTTTTCAATTTACCTATTATGGTCCAATATCCAAAATTTAAATACATACACGGTTAGATTCAGCATATCAAAGAACCCCAAGAATTCATTTTTTGTTAAAATCAAACTAAGTTTAATTTTGGACCCTTTGGACCTTAATGTAGGCCAATTTGAAAACAGGACCAACATTTAAGAATCTAAATATACGGTTAAATTCAGCATATCAAAGAACCCCAATATTTCAATTTTTGATGAAATCAAACCATATCATTATTATTTGCTTTTATATATAAATAAAAAATAACCAACTTAAAAAGGAAAATTTTAAAGAAATAAAAAGAAAAAAATGGGGGGGGGAAAAATGAAAAAAAATCCCCCCCCCCAATTTTTTGAACGCCCTTATGATTCATCACCCCCAAACTCAATCCAAGCCTTCCCTTTGTGGTATGGTACCTTGGAGTACAATTTCAAGAGATCCATACACTTGAACAAAAGTTATTGTCTGGAAACTAGAAAAATGCTTATTTTTAGCCCCTTTTTGGCCCCTTATTCCTAATCGTTTTGGGCAATTACCCCCAAACTCAAACCCAGCTTTCCCTTTGTGATATGGAACCTTGTAGTACAATTTCAGAAAGATCCATACACTTACACACAAGTTATTGTCATGAAACTAGAAAAATGCTTTTTTTTTTGCCCCTTTTTTTGCCCCTAATTCCTAAAATTTTGAGGCAATTACCCCTAAAATCAATCCCAGCATTCCCTTTGTGATATAGAACCTTGCAGTACAATTTCAGAGAGATCCATAAACTAACACACAAGTTATGTCTGGAAGTTACAAAAATGCTTGTTTTTGGCCCCTAATTCCTTAACTGTTGGTACCATAACCCCCAAAATCAATCCCAACCTTCCTTTTGTGGTATTGAACCGTATGGTAAAATTTCATAGAGATCCATTCACTTAAACTAAAGTTACTGTGCGAAAACCAGTGTGTCTTCGGACGACGACGACGCCGGACCCAACGTCATACCAATATACGACCGCAAATTTTTTTTGCGGTCGTATAAAAAGGAGAAAAAATATAGCAGACAATTTCCAATGAAAATGTCGAATGGTCCGGTGTGCTCGAAATGTGAGTTTTTGAAAATTGGTAGATTTCGAGGAAATGTACCATGCTCGACTATCGGCACACTCTGAAAATGGACGAACGACGGCGGATCCAGGGTTCTAGGAAAGGGGTTGTGGTGAAAATACCGTTCGAGCGATTGTAGGTATACAAATCCTTCTGAATCCACCACTGATGACGAAACAAAGATCAACACTCTTAGCTCTAAGGTTAATTTGAAATAACACATTGTTACAGTTAAATTTCAAATATAAATATATAATTGTAGTGTAAAGAAATATTAATCAGTATTTAGTTACTAAAGTACTCAAACTTTTAACTTATTAAACCAGTCACAAGGATTGTGTCAACTTATAGCTTTCCATTTAAAAATACGTGTTCATTGTTAATGAATAGAAATCTGAACAGCTCAGATAAAACGATTTCCTATGCAACAAGTTACATTTTTGAGCTTTGACCATAGTGAGGCGATATTTCCCAAACAATATATTCAAATAAGGCTCACTGCCGAGCACCGGCCTTTTTAATAATGTACATTTATCCTCACCCATGACTTAACCCTTCATTTAACATAAGGTTTTTGAAATTTTCAGGTACCAGATGCATCTATTGTTTCTAAAAGGTACATTGTCAACTCATCAAGGATCCCGAGTTCATGTAGTAATTCCTCATGTTGAAAAAGATATTGTCAGATTGTGCAACTCGTAGATTCAACTGTGTTTGTTTTACACCAATTTGTTTCATTTAATAATGTGTTGGGTTGTTTTGGCTTCATTTAGGCATGCTTCTAGCACAAAGCCAGATATGTTCATATCTTTGTGTGTCACTGTCCTAAATATGCATGTAATTGTTGACGATGGATGTTCCACAGCCATCAATCTATGTAAAATTCAGTGTCCTTACTGAATGGCCACCATAAAAAAAAAACAAACAAGAGTACCAACGGAATATTGATAACTTTCTTTTATATATGATTTAAGAAATTACAATTCATCTTACCTTTTTAAAAATTTTAAGAAAAGATTTACTCGAAAACCCATACCTCCATCAAAAGCATTATGAATGGACTATTTCTAAAATTCAACAAAAATCTGCATATTGGGTTTCTCAAAGGCAGTGACCCTTAACATATTTTCCTTTTCAAACTAATACCCCCAATTTTCCTTCCTTTTGTAAAATTCACTTCATCTTCTGATAATAGGTACTTGGGGACATGAAATTGTTTTTAGGCCATCCACCTTATTTTGTGTCATTTTAGCATAAATATACTAGAAATAACATATTTTTACTATTTACATACTATCAATTAAAGAACCTTTGAGAGTACGCTTACATGCCCCAAATTGTCACTGGGCAAAAGAATATCACCCGATTCCCAAGACTCAAAACTCTACCAAAGTCAACCAATAAAAGTTTCTTGTGGATATGCACATTTACATATTATGTCCTCATTAACTAGTTTCATAACATTCTGTTGTGTGGCTTCAGAGCAGTTAAACTGACAAACCGTTGCAGTAGTATATTATGGATAAAATTGTAAATTCAAAGGGCATAACTCCTGGAAAATACATTGAATTTTGATATCCAGTAGATATGCACATCTGCATACTGCCATAGTATGTCCTTATTATCTACAAAGTTTCATGAAATTCTGTTGTGTGGTTTCAGGAGTTGTGATGACAAACTGTTGCAGTAGTATATTTATGCCAAAATTTCAAGTTCAAAGGGGCACAACTCCTAGAAAAAATTGGCTCATCATTTCCAGTTGAAATGCACATCTACATAGTATGTCCTTATTATATACAAAGTTTCATGAAATTCTGTAGCGTGGTTGATGACAAGAACAGGATGTACAGGTCAACATTATACAACCAACATCAGTATCATCTCAGACCCTAAGACAGGCGTATAAAAAAGGGATTGGCTAAAAAAATAAATGTGGATAGTGTCCACATGTGGACACACATGATGCCCCCGCTTGCATATCAATAGTTATAAAGGGACATAACTGAAGAACGGTAAAAGTGACGCTACCCAAATTAAAACTTGATCTGAGTTTTGTGGTAATAAGAATTGTGTGTAAGTCACATAACATTTGGTTGAGGCTAACTTAAGTAGAGGACATAAACTAAAAATTCAGCAATTTTTATACGACCGCAAAAAAATTTTGCGGTCGTATATTGGTATGACGTTGGCGTCGTCGTCGTTGTCCGAAGACACATTGGTTTTCGCACTCTAACTTTAGTTTAAGTGAATGGATCTCTATGAAATTTTACCATAAGGTTCAATACCACAAAAGGAAGGTTGGGATTGATTTTAGGGGGTTATGGTACCAACAGTTAAGGAATTAGAGGCCAAAAATAAGCATTTTTGTAACTTCCAGACATAACTTGTGTGTTAGTGTATGGATCTCTCTGACATTGTACCACAAGGTTCCATATCACAAAAGGAATGCTGGGATTGATTTTGGGGGTAATTGCCCAAAACGTTTAGGAATAAGGGGCCAAAAATAAGCATTTTTCTAGTTTCCAGACAATAACATTTGTCAAGTGTGTTGATCTCTTTGAAATTGTACTGCAAGGTACCATACCACAAAGGGAAGGCTGGGATTGATTTTGGGGGTAATTGCCTCAAAATTTTAGGAATTAGGGGCCAAAAACAAGCATTTTTCTAGTTTCAGGCAAATAACTTGTAACTGTATGGATCTTTATGAAATTGTACTACAAGGTTCCATATCACAAAGGGAAAGCTGGGTTTGAGTTTGGGGGCAATTGCCCATAACGTTTAGGAATTTGGGGCCAAAAAATAAGCATTTTTTTCTAGTTTCCAGACAATAACTTGTGTTCAAGTGTATGGATCTCTCTGAAATTGTACTGCAAGGTACCATGCCACAAAGGGAATGCTAGGATTGAGTTTGGGGGTGATGAATCATAAGGGGGTTCAAAAAATTTGGGGGAGGGATTTTTTTTTTCTTTTTTTTTCTTTAAAATTTTCCATTTAAAATTGGTAAATTCTGATTTATATATAAAAGCAAATAATAATGATATGGTTTGAATAGGTAAATTAAAAAATTTCAAGTTCTTAGACCACATTCATTTTGTGTCAGAAACCTATGCTGTGTCAAATATTTAATCACAATCCAAATTCAGTGCTGTATCAAGCTTGAATGTTGTGTCCATACTTGCCCCAACTGTTCAGGGTTCGACCTCTGCGGTCGTATCAAGCTGTGCCCAGCGGAGCATTTTATTCTATTTGTAAACACGCATAATTCTAGAACAGTTGTGTATAAGTTTTATAACATTTGGTTGAGACAAACTAAAGTTAGAAAACGGAAACAAAAAATTTGTACCTGATCCTAGTTTTGTGGTAATGAATATTGTGTATAGGTTTCATAATGTTTGGTTGGGGCAAACTTAAGTGACAGAATGGAAACTAAAAATTTTGCAATCTTTCGATTTATAAAGTGGCATAACTCAATAATGGTTACAGTGACACTACCCAAATTCAACTTGATTTGTGTTTTATCAGTGGAAGTCAAAATTAAACATTGCATTGTATAAAGCATCAATTGAAGTTGATTCAACTCTAATCATGGACAAAGGAAGATAACTCCAATTTTAGACATAACTTGATATTTAGAAGAAAATAAAAATTTTGCAATTTTTCCATTTATAAAGAGGCATAACTCTAGAACGGTTAAAGTGACGCCACCAAAATTCAAACTTGATCTGTGTTTTGTGGTAATAAGCATTGTGTATAAGTTTCATAACATTTGGTTGAGGCAAACTTTAAAGAACGGAAACTAAAAATTTTGCAATTTTTCCATTTATAAAGGGGCATAACTCTAGAACGGTTAGAGACGCCACCAAAATTCAAACTTGATCTGTGTTTTGTGGTAATAAGCATTGTGTATAAGTTTGATAACATTTGGTTGAGGCAAACTTAAGTTAGAGGAATGAAACTAAAAATTTTGCAATTTTTCCATTTATAAAGTGGCACAACTCTAGAACGGTTAAAGTGACGCCACCAAAATTCAAACTTGATCTGTGTTTTGTGGTAATAAACATTGTGTGTAAGTTTCATAACATTTGGTTGAGGCAAACTCAAGTTAGAGAACGGAAACCAATTTTAGGACGTTCGTACAGACTGACAACGGTGAAACTTTATGCACCAACCGCTACGGCGGGGGCATAAAAAATTCGTCACTAAGTACCTATAGCTAATACTACTGGATATTTTACAACAAATCAATGTATGGCAACAACTATATGATGTTGGTAGATTTAAATTAATAAGCCTGGAAAGTATATATTGAACATAATGCCATAGCTCTCTTTCTCATCACAATGAATTAGCTTGGCCAGCATTTCTAGAGGCTTGTATGGGTCTGTGGACGACCAATGTTTTTTTCAAATGAAAAATTATTTTTATCTCATCATTGAGAGGAACCTTTTTGTGGCTATGAATTACTGTAAGCATGCATATTATTTATGATTGCTATATACATTCACAGTCCTGCATTCTGTAGAATCATGTCGATACCTATATTTTGGCATTGCACAAGGTTATGTTTTTTCTTGGATTGTTAATGAAGTCACTAAATCCATTGGATGCGTACATATTGATATTTTAAGTCTTAGATATATGATTTTTGTTTAGTTGTTATTGGCTTTGACCTAGCTCTCATTAACTGCGAGTACTTTCAAATCTGTAATTTATGTCTTGTGTTAGTTGTTTTTGTGCTTTGTATCGATCTGACAATTTAAGCTCTTTTTTGGTTGATTCTTATGTTGTGCAGTAACACCACTGTCCCAGCAAAAATTGTTAACCCCGCCACATTCTATATGTGCCTGTCTCAGGTCAGGATCCTGCAATTCTGTGGCTGTCAATTGAAGCTGTATTTCATATTTGTTTTTAATTTCTTGATTTGTACATAAATCAGACATTAGTTTTCTAGTTTTACATTTGCCATTTCAGAGTTTTTTACGTTTTGCTATGCAATATGGATTTTGCTCATTGTTGAAAGCCATGCAGTGACCTATAGTTGCCATCTTCTAAGTCATTTAGTCTATGGTGTAGAGAAAACAGGTTTCTTTCAAAGAAAGTTCAAACCAGCATTAGGAACTATAAATGAAAGTATTTCTGGTAAGGTATATATATGACACATGAAATGAAACACAATATTTCCCATGATATTTAATAGTTTATGAAGTTTCCATAATAGTTTCTTCTGTGTGTTTGCCTTTGTCAGCGACTTGTCTGGACCTAGCTTTACGTTCCAGAATCCTTTTCCTATCTTTATCAATCTTTAATTTGACTATTACTACCTACAAAATATTAATGCACAATTTGGTTAAAGTAAAATTATATTTTATTTTAACAAATGATGTTTTATGAATGCCAAAAAAAATAATGTATTTGAATCAAGGAACCTGGCTAAAATATAATTTATATAGACAGGAGGGTTAACAAAATTTATTATAGCACGTATAACTGCAGAATGAAGTCACCTAGACAGAATTCTGGTGCTAAATACATGCATTCAGTAAACAAAATCAATAATAAGATACATTGAAAATACAAGTATATTTTTTACCAGAATCACTGGATTATGATAGGTGCATATACTAACCCATCAAAAATAAGTATAAATTTATATTTTATTTCATAATGATTACTGAAATTTCTGAAAGGAATCTTACTTTAAACATACAGTTAATCACTTTAAGTCAGTCTCTCATAGGGAAAACCAGAAGTGACCTCTTAAATAACATTCCTAATTGGAATATAGTTAAACTTATTTTTAATAACAATGAATATAATTTATATCTGAAGTTTTAACACACAATTAATAAAATGCTCTGCAGGGCGCAGCTTGATACGACCGCAGAGGTCGAACCCTGAACAGTTGGGGCAAGTATGGACACAACATTCAAGCTTGATACAGCTTTGCATTTGGATTGTGATTAAATATTTGACACAGCATAGGTTTCTGACACAGAATGAATGTGGTCTAAGAACTTAAATTTTTTTAATTTACCTATTTTGGTCCAATATCCAAAATCTAAATACATGGTTAGATTCAGCATATCAAAGAACCCCAAGAATTCAATTTTTGATGAAATCAAACAAAGTTTAATTTTGGACCCTTTCGATCTCAATGTGGACAAAGTTCATAAAGGGGCCCAAAAATCAAAAATCTAAATACATGGTTAGATTCAGCATATCAAAGAACCCCATATATTCAATTTTTGTTGAAATCAAACAAAGTTTGGACCCCGATTTGGACCAACTTGAAAACTGGGCCCATAATCAAAAATCTAAATACATGTTTAGATTCAGCATATCAAAGAACCCTAAGAATTCAATTTTTGTTAAAATCAAACTAAGTTTAATTCTGGACCCTTTGGACCTTAATGTAGACCAATTTGAAAACGGAACCAAAAATTAAGAATCTAAATACACAGTTAGATTCGGCAAATCAAAGAACCCCAATAATTCAATTTTTGATGAAATCAAACAAAGTTTAATTTTGGACCCTTTGGACCTCAATGTGGAACAATTTAAAAACTTGGCCCAAAATCCAAAAACTAAATACACGGTTAGATTCAGCATATTAAAGAACACCAAGAATTCAAGAATAAAACCCCATTGAAATTGGTCAAGAAATAAGCAATTTATACGAAGTATCTTCATTTGCATAATACTGTGCAATTAAATATTTCTTGCTATTGTGCAATACTGTACAATTGACAATTTCTTGCTATTGCGCAATACTATGCAACTGAAGATTTCTTGCTATTGTGCAATACTGTGCAATTGAAAATTTCTTGCTATTGGGTGCTATAAACAGTTTCGTATAAAAAACTAGGGGTTATTCCCCGACTAAAAATAACCATGGAGGGAAATCCCTTTTTATTCATATAATTGGTGAAAAAGTATCATGTTTTTTGTATTCGATTGTAAAAATTAGTTAATTAGCTTTCAAATTAAACAGGTTGAATGATTAAAATAATTTTAAAAATTAGATTAAATATTCATGTTTTGAGGGGAGACAACACTGTAAACATCCTGTTTTTTTGGCAGTTAAAATTGAAAACTTATTTGCAGCCACTGTAGCTCTTTTCGAAGCAGGAAACCGTACCCTGAAACAAGATTTTTATTAAAGGCCAGGTAAAAACCTATGAATTTCATACAGTTTTGATTATGGGAAATGTGCCTGTATCATGTTTACATGGGTATGCACATGACCTGATTTCAGGTTTTTTATGTTCAGATTAGGCAACTTTTTCCCCATTTTCTCTGGATAGAACTTTTTTACTATATTAAAAGTACAGTATATTTTTATTTCAATATAAACTAGAGAAAATTCTGATTCCAGTAATATCTAGTTTTATACAAGTATCTTTATTAACCATTCCACCACTAAGGGTCACTTAGGCATGGTCCCTTAAAATATGACGTCATAGAAAAAAACTGTTGATTGCACCCTTAAAGGGTCAAACATATAATATAGTGAGGTTTTAGCATAGAAATGTGTTACTGAATGGAGTAAAACAATTCTGAAAAATATCATATGGCATGCATACATTAATTTAAAAGCATCAGTTTGGTATATTTAATGCAAATATTACAGATTTGTACATAGCAACCAGATATAAGAAAACCAGACTGTGTGCAAATTTTGAAGTTTTTTCATCTTTTTGCGACGTCATAATATTTTTATTCATTCTCTCATATATTTGGAACCAAAAGTTGCACATGAAAATTGAGATTTTTTCTACTTTGACCTTTACTACTGATCAGTGTAACATACATTTTTATTCATTATATTATATATTTGGTACTTTTTATAGTCAAATAGCTACAAGTGCCGTTCCTAAGAAATACACTATTTCAATATTTTTCTCAACTCAGCTACACCTTAGTTCATATAATACTAGGGACAAAATATGTTTAAAGTAACTTTATTTATGTTTATTTCATAGTTTTTATTCTATTTATTCAATAGAAACCCAATTTTATGATTTTTTTTCTTTGTATAACTGATGAAAATGTGATACAGGAAATGTTTGGAATATGCCAGTTTAACTATTTGCCACTGGCCAATATGCCAATACTATGCGACATAAAAAATGAGCCGTAGTTTCACTATCGATGGTCGCAATCCTTAAAGTAAGACATCATTTTAATCGATATAATGTACAGATTCAGAAAAGTAGAGAATTTTTTATATATCGCATACAAAGTTTTGCTTAAGGGTGCTATAAACAGTTTCGTATAAAAAACTAGGGGTTATTCCCCGACTAAAAATAACCATGGAGGGAAATCCCTTTTTATTCATATAATTGGTGAAAAAGTATCATGTTTTTTGTATTCGATTGTAAAAATTAGTTAATTAGCTTTCAAATTAAACAGGTTGAATGATTAAAATAATTTTAAAAATTAGATTAAATATTCATGTTTTGAGGGGAGACAACACTGTAAACATCCTGTTTTTTTGGCAGTTAAAATTGAAAACTTATTTGCAGCCACTGTAGCTCTTTTCGAAGCAGGAAACCGTACCCTGAAACAAGATTTTTATTAAAGGCCAGGTAAAAACCTATGAATTTCATACAGTTTTGATTATGGGAAATGTGCCTGTATCATGTTTACATGGGTATGCACATGACCTGATTTCAGGTTTTTTATGTTCAGATTAGGCAACTTTTTCCCCATTTTCTCTGGATAGAACTTTTTTACTATATTAAAAGTACAGTATATTTTTATTTCAATATAAACTAGAGAAAATTCTGATTCCAGTAATATCTAGTTTTATACAAGTATCTTTATTAACCATTCCACCACTAAGGGTCACTTAGGCATGGTCCCTTAAAATATGACGTCATAGAAAAAAACTGTTGATTGCACCCATTGCACAATACTTATTATATAATAATTTACACATCCTGTTTGGTGTGTATCTCCTACCATATCATTATTATTTGCTTTTAAATATAAATCAGAAATAACCAACTTAAAATGGAAAATTTTAAAAGATAAATAGGATAAAAAAAAAAAATCTCCCCCCCCCCAAATTTTTTGAACCCCCTTATGATTCATCACACCCAAACTCAATCCCAGCCTTCCCTTTGTGGTATGGTACCTTGCAGTACAATTTCAGAGAGATCCATACACTTGAACACAAGTTATTGTCTGGAAACTAGAAAAATGTGTTATTTGGCCCCAAATTCCTAAACGTTTAGGGCAATTACCCCCAAACTCAAACCCAGCTTTCCCTTTGTGATATGGAACCTTGTAGTACAATTTCAGAAAGATCCATACACTTACACACAAATTATTGTCCTGAAACTAGAAAAATGCTTGTTTTTTGCCCCTTTTTGGTCCCTAAAATCTAAAATATTGAGGCAATTACCCCCATCATCAATCCCAGCCTTCCCTTTGTGGTATGGTACCTTGCAGAACAATTTCAGAGAGATCCATACACTTGAACACAAGTTATTGTCTGGAAACTAGAAAAATAATTATTTTTGGCCCCCAATTCCTAAACGTTTCGGCAATTACCCCCAAACTCAATTCCAGCTTTCCCTTTGTGATATGGAACCTTGTAGTACAATTTCAGAAAGATCCATACACTTACACACAAGTTATTGTCATGAAACTAGAAAAATGCTTGTTATTTGCCCCTTTTTTGGCCCCTAATTCCTAAAATTTTGAGGCAATTACCCCCAAAATCAATCCCAGCATTCCTTTTGTGATACTGTGGTACAATGTCAGAGAGATCCATACACTAATTAACACACAAGTTATGTCTGGGAGTTACAAAAATGCTTATTTTTGTCCCCTAATTCCTTTACTGTTGGTACCATAACCCCCAAAATCAATCCCAACCTTCCTTTTGTGGTATTGAACCTTGTGGTAAAATTTCATAGAGATCCATTCACTTAAACTAAAGTTAGAGTGCGAAAACCAATGTGTCTTCGGACGACAACGACGCCAACGTCATACCAATATACGACCACAAATTTTTTTTTGCGGTCGTATAAAAATCAATTAAAATTCAAAAACTGGAAATGTGAAAATAAAAATGTACCAAGTTTTCTAAGGGGAATGATATATCACTTCATAACATTTACAAGTTTAAACAGTGTTTTAAGCTTTTAACTATGAGTCAAATTAACAGCTATGCCAGGAGCAAAAGATACATCTGTATTGAACATATTTAAATTGATGCAAGAAAAAATGGGATACTTGGGTGTTTAATCAGAAGCAAACGAAATGGCTCGGTAGAAAAACATGAGGATACCCTTAGGGGCAAAAAATATTTTGACAAAAATGACTGATAAAGTCCCATAACTCTGGAATGACAAACCACAAAATTTTCAAAATCAAGAGAGTCTACATGCATGTTCATCAATCCCAAATAACAACAGTATCAAGTTTGTTGTAATTTGATAAAAGCATACTAGAGCTAGTGCAAGTCATCTAAAAATAAATGGGGAATGTGTCCATGGGACACAGATGATGCCCCCGCTTGCATATATAACATTATAAAGGGACATAATCAAGAACGGTAAAAGTGACGCTACCCAAATTTGTACTTGATCTGAGTTTTGTGGTAATAAGTATTGTGTATAAGTTTCATAACATTTGGTTGAGGCAAACTTAAGTAAGAAAACGGAAACGAAAAATTCAGCAATTTTTCCATTTGTAAAGGGGCATAACTCTAGAATGATAAAAGTGACGTCACCGAAATTCACACTCGATCTGTGTTTTGTGGTAATAAGCATTGTGTGTAAGTTTCATAACATTTGGTTGAGGCAAACTTGAGTTAGAAAACGGAAATGAAAAATTCAGCAATTTTTTCATTTGTAAAGGCACATTACTCTAGAATGGTAAAAGTGACGCCACCAAAATTTAAACTTGATCTGTGTTTTGTGGTAATAAGCATTGTGTATAAGATTCATAACATTTGGTTGAGGCAAACTAAAGTTACAGAACGGAAACCAATTTCTTGACGTACAGACGAACAAAGGTTAAACTTAATGCCCCCTCCGCTATGGCTTGGGCATAAAAATGCCTTTTATTTATCAGAGAGTCAAAGTCCCAAAACTCTGGAATGAAATATCGATTTTATTTTTTTTAAATCCAAGGGTTTGTTATGTTCCCCAATTTCCAGTAAACCAATCCGTGCAAAACTCAAGTTATAGAGCAACATGTAAAAATTTACTTAAATCTGACAATTAAAGTTCCGTAACTCTAGAACAACAAAGGGAAAAGTTTTTTTAAATAGAAAGGGAGCTTCTTTAAATCAATCCAGGCATACTAGATTATAAGTGCATGTTATGTAAAAAATTTAAAATTCAAAGTTAAACACCAATAAAAACAATGGTGACTTCCGTCCATCAATCCTCACATTGTGTTTAAATTACATGATAATTGGTTAAAGCAAATTTGAGATGTAGTGCGAAGTGTTGACAGACTGACATGGGTATCCTATAATACGTCCAACCTTCAACCGGTACATAAAAATAGAGAAAAGATTTGGGATTCAATTAAAATAAACTGTTGACACAGAGATATGTCTCATCTATCGGCATAAAATTCAGAAAAAGACAATCTGATGGACAGCAACATTGCTTATTGATTCTGTCACTGGACCATGTACTAGGGGACAGGGCCTCAAAATGAGATGTACAGACAGTAATGTAACTTTATACAAAATATCATTGATCTATCACATGAAGTTCTTATCAAACTGACTTAAGCAGAAAACTTAAACATTGAAAATTGATAATTAATTTATAAAGTCACTGGACCATGACCTTGGGGGCAGGGCCTCAAAATAGTCATCAAACTGATAGTAATGCTTATTTATATTAAACATCAATGATCTAACACAAGTTGTTTCGATCAAACTAACTTAAGCAGAAAACTTAACACTTGTTGATGCCATCGCTGTCAAAGCAATCCCTGTGTCTCGCTTTCTGAGACTTTCATTACAGGCGAGACAAAAATATGACAAATGCAATAATTAAATGTACATGATTCAAGGAACCCATCTAAATACATAAAATATAGACAGGAGGGTTAACAAAACTTGATATAGCATGTATAACTACAGAGTAAAACCACAAGGATTAAACCCTGGTGCTAAACACATGCATTAAATTTCAATGGTAAAATTGTTTACTGTGTGTATTAGTCATTGCAGATAACAGACTTTATGTTCTTTCTTTAAGTTTTAATATCAATATGGCTTATTTCCAGTTTGGGAGGACACGGAAAGACAATTAGACAAACAATTCTCCAGAACCAGAATAAATTATATTCTTACAGCAGGCTTCTTGTTGCAGGTTTTGGTAAGAGTATACTGTGGATTCATTATAATTGTGGGAACCAATTTTTGTGGATATTTTATTTTGCTGTTTAGCCAGCTAAACTGATACAAGCCAATGAGAAATTTTACTTCATTGGACATTTAAATTTGTGAGAAAAAAACAGATTTTTTTTTAAAATGAAAGAGGGCTTTCTTCCATCAATCCTAGTGTTTTGTTAAAATTACATGATATTTGGTTAGAGCAAATTTAAGATATCTTGTGAAGTGTTGACGGACTGACATTAGTATCCCATAATATCTCCAGCCTTCAACAGGCATATAAAAATACAGAGTAAAGATTTGGGATTCACATTGACTGTTGAGGAAGCTGACAGCTGAATTAAGGCAAATGCATGGGCAGATCTTACTGTAATTTAATCAATTTTTTTTTTAACAAATGCAATGTTTACATGTATTTGACTCAAGGAACCCATCTAAATACGTAAAATATAGACAGGAGGGTTAACAAAACTTGATATAGCATGTATAACTACAGAGTAAAACCACAAGGATTAAACCCTGGTGCTAAACACATGCATTAAATTTCAATGGTAAAATTGTTTACTGTGTGTATTAGTCATTGCAGATAACAGACTTTATGTTTTTTCTTTAAGTTTTAATATCAATATGGCTTATTTCCAGTTTGGGAGGACACCGAAAGACAATTAGACTAACAATTCTCCAGAACCAGAATAAATTATATTCTTACAGCAGGCTTCTTGTTGCAGGTTTTGGTAAGAGTATACTGTGGATTCATTATAATTGTGGGAACCAATTTTTGTGGATATTTTATTTTGCTGTTTAGCCAGCTAAACTGATACAAGCCAATGAGAAATTTTACTTCATTGGACATTTAAATTTGTGAGAAAAAAACAGATTTTTTTTTTAAAATGAAAGAGGGCTTTCTTCCATCAATCCTAGTGTTTTGTTAAAATTACATGATATTTGGTTAGAGCAAATTTAAGATATCTTGTGAAGTGTTGACGGGCTGACATTAGTATCCCATAATATCTCCAGCCTTCAACAGGCATATAAAAATACAGAGTAAAGATTTGGGATTTACATTGACTGTTGAGGAAGCTGACAGCTGAATTAAGGCAAATGCATGGGCAGATCTTACTGTAATTTAATCAATTTTTTTTTTTAACAAATGCAATGTTTACATGTATTTGACTCAAGGAACCCATCTAAATACGTAAAATATAGACAGGAGGGTTAACAAAACTTGATATAGCATGTATAACTACAGAGTAAAACCACAAGGATTAAACCCTGGTGCTAAACACATGCATATGAATTCCCTTGTAAAATTATCCATTTTTGTGTTACATTATAACATCGCAGATAACAGACTTTGTTATTTCTCTTTAAGTTTGATTAATTTGGATTATTTCCAGTTTGGGAAGGCTTAGAAAGACAAGAAGGACAATTCTCCAACCTGAATAAAAGATATCCGTACAGCAGGGCTGTTGTTGCATTAATTGGTTAACGTACATGTATACTGTGGATTTATTAATTTTTGTGGTTTTACTTAAGTCTGCATACAAGCCATGAAAATTTGGTACCTAGTCATGTCCTAGTAACCTATTGGCATGTTTTGCTTTTTCGTTGGATTGTGTATTTCAATTACGCCAGATGGTAACCTAAACTAAGCCTACCAGACAATAAACAGATGACATTCTTATAGGCCTAGAATTTTTTTCCAAATCACATTAAAAAGTTAGATTTAACAGTACATCAAAACAGTTGGTCAAATAATATCAAAGAATGCAAGTCTACATAATTTTTACGACCACTACAAATAAGATCCAGAAACAGAATATTGAGTGTTCAAAATTTTTTGACATTTAAAATTGTTATAAAATAAGTTTAGTGTTGGAAGTTAGTATAATGTCTTGTTAATCTTTGTGAATATGCTCCATATATACTGTAAGCGCAACAATTTGGAAATTGCCAAAATGCAGTCAATTTATGGTTACAGTTTGATATACATGAGTATTAGCTTTCTAGTGAACATTAAAAATACAATCATCCATCAAACTGACTTTTACTTTCTTTAATACATGTAGCTCTATTCCAACTTAAACACTAAACTTGAGTTGATTGTTTTTTGTTTGCTTTATGTCCTGTGGCAAATATTTCATGCATATTCAGGTCAACACCGAAAGTATACTAGTACCCAATTTGTACAGGGAACCAATGAAGTTTTTACTAGCCCATAAAGACAACAGTTACTTATATGCTGTACCATGTGTATACCTAGGTTATTTTATGCAGTAGTGCATTACTAATTACTGAATATCTTGTATTTGACTGTAAGGAACCCATCTACATATAAAAAATATAAACAGGAGGGTTTACAAAACTTGATATAGCATGTATAACTACAGAGTAGAACCACAATGATTGAACCCTGGTGCTAAACACATGCATTGAGTATTCTGTTGATTCTGTCTTAAACTTTATTAATAAACAATATTCCTGTGTGTAACAGGCAACCCATGATATCGAAGATATGCATATTCCTTAAGCACCTGAGATGTTCTGATTGGCCATTGCATAAATCTGTTTTATTTTCCAATCTTGTTTACAATACCCTTAGCATTGTCATTTCAATGTCAACTCTTAATGTCTTTAATATAAAAGGTCATCATTTGAGATATTTCTGCAATATCAGACTTAATCAAACATGCAGTAGACCCAGCTTCTTACTTGCAGTAAAAGCATAATGTCTTCAACAGCAGTTATATCCTTTTTAAATTTCAACTCATTTAAGTTTATTATTTTGTGCATTTGTAAACCTTTATTACCTTTGATGGGTCAATTCCAACATGAACAGATGCTCCATTGGCTTTTTCCCTCTGGATTCTTTCAATGTATATCACAAACTTCTTTCTGTATACTTGAACAACTTTGCCAACTTGCTGTCCTTTATAGTGACCTCGGACAACCTATGTAGTAATAAAATATATATACATTATGAAAAGGTAGCAATAATTATGACTGTCATTATTTCAGAAGTTGACAGTTTTTACACAAAAAGAAATTAACAGTAAAATTAATGTCATCACATGAAATTAGCAAAAAATATTTAAATACCAGTACAGTATACACCATTAAAAAGAGGTTAAAAAATGTAGTGTAAGGATCTCCATAAATTTAAAAGTTGCATTGGAAGTCTAGAGCTGTTTAAATATAAAATATGTAACATTGCACTATTTTGATTCTAGCGTCAGGATTATGGTTCACAACTTATTTTTTTTAATAAAAAACACACTGAATTTATTTTGAGTACATACAAACTTGTGCAACTGAATTTTCTAAAGTATTAAGGACTTGATCTGTGTTTTATGGAAATAAGCATTGTGTAGAAGTTTCATAACATTTGGTTGAGGCAAACTAAAGTTAAAGAACGGAAACCAATTTTGGGACATCCATCCGTATGTACATAGGGACAGACAAGGGTAACACTTAATGCCCCCTTCACCTAGTGGCGGGGGCATAAAAAGTTAACTTCATTTTGTGTGTAAATTTCTAATTTTCTTTGATTGTAAGATTCATTTTTTCCCTCACTGCAGCAGATGGGGAAATAAAATAACACCTGCATTTTGTCTGATACAGTCCACTCAGCAATACTTTTCAATCACATATTGTTGTGTGCAGATACATGTATCTATTGTCCCTCTTTCCTAATATCAACCATACAATATAATTGTAACATGAGGGGAACATCTTAAAAATTTACCCACCATAATTACTTTTGACACCTTTAATTTTTAAGTGACAAAATAAGGAAAATCAAAATATAGGAAAGTTTTTAGTTTTAGTTACACAAAATGTTTTTGATATCCTACAGAACCTCTTCCATTGCCTAGCAAGCAAAGGATTGATAAATGTTGAACTTTACCTGAACCTCATCATCCTTTCTAATAGGCACACTTCTGACATTGTATTTCTGTCTCAAATCTTTTGATAGAGCAGAGCTCATGATCTTCCTCCTTACATGGGATGGTGCATTAAAATGGCGCTTTCTATTCTTCCTACGAGAGGACGACACCATTTTGTTGAACTTCATCTTGGCCTTTATATCTGAAAACACAAAATTTAAGATAATGAATTAAAAGAGCATTATCCTCTAAGAAAGAGGTGAAAGATAAAAAAGGAACATTCAAACTCCTAGTCGAAAATAAAATGACAATGCCAAGGCAAAAATAAGAAAAAAAACCAAAAAACACCAGTATTAAAAACAAGATATATACAAAATAAAGACTGAGCGACATGAACCCCACCAAAAAGCTGGGGTAATCTTAGGTGCTCCAGAAGGGTAAGCAGATCCTCTAAACTGCATTATAACAAATTGAGCATCTGTTATAAGTCCTGACATTTTTTTAAGGAAAATTTTGTAGATTCTATTAGCCTGTAGCAGATATTCTTACAGGCCTAATCATAATTTTACATGCCTGGGCTTGTGGATACATTGTAAGTGTGGTCAGTTTAAATTCAATAATGAATATTTTATCATTCACTGTTCAATAAAAAAAAAGAAATGTATATGTATTTGAAAAGCAAACTAAGCAAACTCATCTATATATTGACAAAAAAAAAATATTGAAACCAAAATCAACATACAGAAACAGCTAAAAACTATACATGTACATTGTGTCTTTCGTTCACAGAAGGGGCCTCGGTGGCCGAGTGGTCTAAGTAGTTACTACTGTAATCACTAGCCAGTCAACACTGAGGTTGTGAGTTCGAACCCCGCTCGTGCGGGTGCACTCGACTCCAGTCTTAATTGACTAGGATTGTCAGTTTTCCTATCGAAGGTCTGTGGTTTTCTCCGGCTTCCTCCACCAATAAAAACTGGCCGCCACGAAATAGCCCAAAAGCGGTGCTTAAAAGTGGCGTTAAAACACCAAAAATCAAAATCAAATCGTTCACAGAAAGTGCAAAACGTGTTGTTACTGTTAGTGCCAACGTCTGGTTCAGCAAATTCTATGCGTATGATGAGAGGTTTTACATCATAAGCAAATTCAACAATGGCCGTCGGACTCCAGAGAATTTGTGTATAACATTGAGTCTTTACTTCTAATTTCAGGCTAACTCATGTCATGACAAAATTATATTCACCCAACTCAAAACGAGTTCAAATTTCAATTAAACAGATCTCAAATAATGTTGGAACTGAGTTGTCACTTATTAATTTCAAATGCATGGGACAGAAGGCATGTGAAATATCATGTATATTGTGACAAAAAGCCGCTCAACTAAAAGTGAACTGCAAGTTGTCAATAATTTTGCAGTCTCTCCAATTGTAATTCCACAAAAACAAATACAAAACCATGAACGATGCGTGTGAGGTTTATCCAATTTGATGCACAGGGGGTTAAGGCTATCTATTAAGTATTCCATAGAGCTATTTAATTTTGCTAGATGATGAATTATCGGTTGTTATTGGGCAGGATTACAGTCTATGGTAAATGTTTTGTACCTTCACGTTATGGCCAAAACCGGAAAAGGAAGTTACCGTCGTAAAGAGATTACTAATAACCAAATAGTGCAGTGTTGCGCAGTTTACAACCACGAACCTTTTTGTTTTAAAGACAGATAATCAGATATCGGCCATAGCAAAAGAAAATTAATCATGCACTCAATAATACATATTATGCGACCCATTCGTCACATCAACAAAGTGAAAGAATTAAAATATTTAAAAAAAAACGATGTTATGTTTAGCAACACCACCCCCCCCCTTCCTTTTTCCTTTTTTACTTTATTGCAAATAGTGTAGAAAATGATAGAGGACATTCGTTGATTAAATACTAGACTATAAGACTACAGAATTTTTGTTTGTTTGTTTGTTATTTTGTATTTGCTTGTTACTTTCAGAAGTTTACTCCCCAACTTTTCAGACCACTGATAACTGAACAACAATAACATTTTATTTTTTTGCCAGTCACCTTATTAGTTTTCAACTGTCACATAAACACTACTACTACTATGTGGGTGTTTTTGTTAAAACAACCTTGACTACCCATGTGGTTAAGGCAGATCAGGTGTGTTCTGGCATTTTGGATTGAAAAATAGCAGGAAAAAACAAGTCTAGATCTGTAATGGAATATGGAATTTTTTTAGAGAAAAATGCAATTCATTTTTATGACTTGTCAGCTAAACTAAGTATAAACTATGTGTTATCTGTTACTTTTACAAATGTTTTACAAATCAAGAATATTTTTGTTTAATTAAATTGTTTTCTTCAACATAGCCATACAGGGGAGATAACACAAATCCTTTAATTTTATAATGGAATGTACAGTAAATTGACATATTTTGTTTTGAAGCAATATGACATGATCTGTGACCTCAATTATTATTATTTTTTAAAAGCACATTATAAGAGCTATCTTCTCATATTTCATTTTGACATTCTATCATTTAGCTTTTTCTATACACACAAAATTGGGGTTTTCCATGTTCAATCATTAAAAAATCTTACAGACCAGGTGCAAGTACACTATGGTGAGTAGGTCAGTACCCTGGCAAAGAAGGTAATCCTAACTTATATTCATCAACATCTAGACAAAAGTTGGTAAACTTACTTACTGTACAATTCTATTCTTTTGTTTCAAGTTTATATTTTGGGAATAATGCTGTATGCCAACATTTAGCATTACCATCAACCTTCTCACTTGTTTTAATAAATCACATTTGTCCTGGAATGGTTAAAGTAACCATTTATCAGTAATTCTTCAATGAAAGTAAAACATTACTTTTTAAAAATAAATGCAGTGCTTTTTGTAAGGTATTCATGAAAAAATGTATGTTTAATTTCTTTAAAAGAGATAGGATACTGTAAAAAATGGCCACAAACAGGTACTGTAAATTCATAATTATTCGTTGGATACCAATTTTCGTGGGTTTCCTGGGAACAGGTGAACCACGAATTTAAATGTTCAATGAATTACAAATATTCTACAGCTTACAGTATGTAGACATTGGCAAAACCACGAAATCAAATATCAACGAAAATACAAGTTTTCCTCAATCCACAAAAATTGGTACCCACGAAAATAAATGAATCCACAGCATTAACTTTAACATTTGACGAACATTATTTTTTATCCCCTATCATCTTGTTTTTTCCCCCTACAATACGACCCCTTTACTTCCAAGAATGTTAATTAGTGACAGGAAGAACAATTTGACTGATAGATCAGCCTTTGCATAATCCAGGTAAATTGCAAACCATTTCTCCAAACTCAGTACTACAAAAATTAGTCCAGTTAACTATGCACCCGCCAGATTGCAGACATTCAGAAGATTCACAATGGACTTAATAAGCACATACAGACAATAGTATAACATAATATGAACTTCATTAATAAGTCCATAATCAAAGCTAAGGAAGCTACCATTTGATTTTTAGGGGGGGGGGGCTAGGATGAAATTTGAAAAAAAAGGCAGGACAGGAGTTTTGAGTAAAAAAAAAGGCAGGGCAAGCAATTTTGCAAAAAAAAAAAGGCAGGATGACAATTTATGTAAAAAAAGTCAGGATAAACTAATAAAAAAAAATGCAGGACCGAATAGAGTGAAAAATTAAAAGGCAGGACAGAGATTACAACTAAATAAAAATGCAGGACAAAATTTTTCATCCTAGCCCCCCCCCCCCCCCCCCCCCCCCCCCCCCCCCCCCCCCCCCCCATAAAAATCAAATGGTAGCTCCCTAAACAAAACTGACAAACTTGTCAAGTGTTAAATTTACATCAGTACAACCTGCAACCATGCAGTTATAGTGGTCTCCGGTACAATACAAAAGCTCAAGAACTATATTTTACCAATTATTGGTGTCTTTCATACGAATTGCTGAGAAACATTACCAAAGTCACCAAAGTTATGTTGCCAAAACCTAAAAGCTTGTGAAATAAATCTGTTTAAAAAATTGTAGCAGTTTTTCAACTATGTGTATCTGGGATATCCATCTATTTTTTGTGTTTATTTGTTTGTAGGTGATAAATGTCACCTTCAGCTACCTTGGCAATATCATGGCGGCCAATTTTTATCAATGGAGGAAGCTGAAGATCCTGGAGAGAACCACAGACCTTTGGCAGGAAACTGGCAATCAAGATCAGTGTCCAACACACCACAGGGTTCCAAGTCATGACCTCAAGAGTTGACAAGCTAGTGATCATAAAAGATGCACTACTTAGACCACTAGCCCACTAGAGATATAGATTGAAATTTAAACCATAACTAAAATAATGAAACATAAAAAAGTTATTACAGCCCTAAGCTGCTGCACTGTGTTGTAATGTGTTAGCAGATTGCAATTGTTAAATATAATTTATAAGTGTATATTTAAGTAGGACACCTCAAATCTGGATAGATGTACAAAATGTTAGGCATATGGATGGATAAACAGTTGTGGATTTTCCTTACACTCTCATACTTCATTTAATAGGAGTGAACTTTGTAAAGAACCTTTTTGAAGGCTGAAAAAAGATCAAGATTATAGGTAGGAGATTTTTGGTAAAACTTGTAGTTTTGTTAATATATCAAAAATTGTTGAGAACATATATTTTTGTGCTAGGATTGCAAGGAAGATTGGTTTAAGACCTGTATAATATGCAATTCTAAATTACTTTTGTGAAACAAATTTTGGAGAATGGAATTTGTGAATACAAATTCTCAACTAGAGGCCCTAAAGAACATGTCACTCACCTAGGTCAATTTGCATCTCATCAATGGACACTCTCCAACATTGTAGACTAGAATATCATTCATGACTAAAATCTCTTTTTTCTTAACTTGTATTGCTGATTATTTTTAGTTTCTGTCTATCTTCTATAGTTTTTACCCAAAACACAAAAAAAGGTAAAAAAAGATTGTCATTTAAAGACTACCTACAAAATTCATCTACATGTATGCTGACCTATTAACAGTTCTTGTTTTGCTGATCATTTTTGAAATTTTTATATAAAGTTTATGTAAATCTATTATAATTTTCAAGATGGTAGGCAAAGATAAAAATTTGTATTTAAGGGCAATAACTCCTACAAGATGTCGTCTGACAGTTTTTTATGTAATAGACAAAAGGTAGATCTCATCATTCTGAACATTTTTGACCTGTCAGATGTTCTCTATCCTAATGATTTTAAGATAATAGACATAGCTTGCATTTTACCCCATGTTCCATTCTTAGTAATGGTGGCCATGTTGGTTGGCAAGGCGGGGTCATCAGAAACATTTTTGAAACTAGATATCCCAATGATGATTGTCACAAGTTTTGTTAAATTTAACCCAGTTGTTACAGAGATGATCCTTGTAAAAGTTAACACAACAACAAATGACGACATATGCCAAGTGAGGGCAAAAGCTCACACTGGCCATGTGGACAGTGTCAGCTAAAAAAAGGAGTAGAACTGGAACACAATTTTGCATTGTTGTGCCTCATTATGTAGATATGCATATAACTATTTGGTGAAAATTGAAAAAAAAATTATGAATTCACAAATTTTGAGATCATCTTTTTGTGCTAAGATTTCAACTATACATGATATAAGTGTAATATGCTACATGTATTGATTATCAATGTTTAAAATGATCAACCTCCATTTTCTAAATGGCCACAAAAAAACATTAAAAAATTCATATGGCTAGGATTTTAACATAACTTGATATCTACGTACGTGAAGAACGTGATATCCTGAATTATTCCTGTTGTTAAACTTTCTTTTGCCTGCTCTCATTTCCTAAATATCCATTGGCCTCCATTTTCAAAATTAATTGCTACTTGGTAATATCTATTATCTTACCAGTAGCAATACAATTTTTAATCAATTTACATTGCTGATACCTGAGCTCTATTTTTCAAACAAAATAACAAGACAAATTTTAAATATGAAGGAGAAAGAAATAATTGAAATTACATGTATGTTATTTCTCACATTTTATTGATGATTTAACATTGACTTGCACTGACTTTTACTAAAGCATGTGTTTGCATTTGATAGTATAGAGTAATCACCAATGCACAATAAATAATTTTGACAATACTATATTTGATTTAAAGAAAAGCAACTGACATTTTTAAATTTCTTATCAAAGTGGCAAGACTTTAGGAAAATAATCTTATTTTCATTCATTTCACAAAATAATGATTAAAGTCCACTTGATGACTCAGAAAACAGATGAAATAATTATATAGATGAAGTGTATATCATACTGTTTATCTAAATGTTTTTAAAATTCTTAAAGCATAATATATATATAAGAACACAATTTGTTATTATAATTTTAAATGTTAAATATGGTCATAAAAAAATGCACTTGTGTTCTTTGCCTTCTATAAGGTAATTGTGCATTACTTTCCTTAATGTACCATTTTTTTTATATCATGAAGGTGGTAATTCCATTCTGATACTTATAAATGACAAATAAATTTTGTGAATATTTGAAAATAAAATAAAACTTACTTCTATAAATAAATTCACCCATTTCTAGAAATATTAAATGGACTAAACCTTAAGCTGAAATCTGAAATTTCATTAAATGCTTACCATATTGCAAAATAAAAAATTTGAAAAACATTATTCTATAAAAGCATCAAAGCTGACAGATGAAAATTTGGATGTCTTCAAATCTCTCAAAAAAGTTCCCATATGTGTTGATTCTTATACTGATACTTGTTTGTCTTGTAAAATAGATACAGTCTAGATTAATTTTATTTTCAAATTAACTTGAAAACTTACCACAAAAGGATATCTAATGGACTTTGTTTTTCTGGTTTATTACAAAAAACATTTTTTGTGGAATTTACTTAAATTTCACATAATTCACAATCCATTATATCTATTGGGCTTTCCTTAAAAAATGTAGTTGGTCAAACACATGATTGTATATTATTTTGGGGGTAAATATTAATGATTGCACAAAAGGTGTATATCATTTTCCAATTTTTACTTGAATCTTCATAAGCAGTAAAGCATATCTTGGATGTGTAAAAAACAAAAGTTTTATGTTAAATAATGTTTCCAGATATGAAAACAAAAGTAAATCTAGGATATGGTGTGACTTAAGTATAATAATATCCCTACATATACCAAAACCAAACAAGAAGATTTTATTTCTACATCTCCCTAACCAATCTAGAAGATTTTATCTATTTAGCAGATGTATAATGTTTATTGCACTATTAATTCAAGCATATTTTCTTAATATTGTTATAAATGTCAATGAATTTAACCACATAATTGTAATAATAAATAAACAAATATAAATATAAAAAACACTAATTTTCATTCATTTCATAGTTACTTTAAACATGAGCACAATAACTCAATAACATAATTCACTCATATTTAATCATACATTAGTCTTAATCAGTTCTGGAATTAAAAAAAACCAGGTATTATTAAACTAAATCAACAATTTATAATGAATTTTCATTTTATATCCCCCAAAATGTAGCAGAATTTTCATTACCATAGACATTTCAATACTAAAACAGATTTTTGTTAGTCTATATCTCAAGTATTGCGAAATAATGAAACTATTGAGACATTCTGTGTTCATGAGCAATTCACAGTTTCAGAATCAAAAGGACTATGTGTAATTTTATTTTTTCCACAACAAAGGTAAAATAATATTATGCCATTGGTTGAAATTGGATTGATAAGGTCATTTGACCAATCAAAATGCTTTGCTTACATTATTTTTTTCCAAACTTTATTGATGATGAAAATTAGTGTTTCACAAATCATTAAACAAATGTATTACAAAGCACTAATCATGTAAACAATAAATGTATTTTCTGTAATTGATCTGATGTCACATGTATGGGTACACGTTCTCCATGGCAACCTTTCACAGGTATACATATTTTTGCTACTAACATGCTATCACCACTCTTTTCATGCAGCATCTGTAAAAATAATAATAATTTGTTAATATATTCTGAAAATTTTAACTATATCACTGGGACGGAAGTATTTATATTACAGAGATTTTGAGTTTATTCTGTATTCAGTTTAGTCAAGTTTCATGGTATTGACTGTCTTGAATGAAGATATGTTACAATTGACATAAAACTCATACCATATTACCGATTATCTGTACTGCAGATACAACATGTAACACAGATTTAAGTCTGCTTTTCAATATTGGAAAATCCATTGTTTTGCAATGGCATTCAGAACGGCAGATGAAAATTGGCTGTATCCGATAGCAAAAAACAAGTGTTTTGAATGACTGTTCCTATTGTAGTTCAGGTTTTTATAACTGATCTACTTAGTGGCCGTGACATAATTGATCCTGTACTTCCAACTTTCTGTCATTCTGAATTTCAATAGTCTTTCTGATATATTTTTTATGCCCAGAGATATTGAGTTGCATTTTGGTTGGTGTAATGAAGAATAGAAAACTAGAGACTCTGGCGCTCACCTAGGTCTATGTGCATCTTCAACAATGGATACTCTCTATCTCTTTGGACTAGAATAGAATTCATGACAAAAATCTCTCCTTTGTTGATCTAGTCTTGCTGATCATTTTTGCTTATTTAAGTTTCTATCTATTTAATACAGTTTTTCAGATAGTAGGCAAGAATGCAAAAAAAATGATAAAAATCGTTATTAAAGAGAACAACTCCAATAAGGGGTCATCAGACGATTAAAACCATGTTGACTTATTTGTAGATCTTGTCTTGCTGATCATTTTTGCCTATTTAAGTTTCTATCTATCTAATATAGTTTTTCAGATATATACATGTAGGCAAAAACACAAAAAATTGGTCAGATGGGCAATAACTCAAATAAGGGGCCTTCAGACGATTTTAACTATTCAACTTAGATGTTGATCTTGTCTTGCTGATCATTTTTGCCTACTTAAATTTCTATCTATCTATTAAACTTTTTCAGATATAAGGCAAAACGCAAAAAATTAGTAAAAATCGTCATTAAAGGGCAATAACTCTAATAAGGGGTTATCAGACGATTTCAACCACACTGACTTATTTGTAGCACTTATCTTGCTGATCATTTTTGCTAAATAAAGTTTCTCTCTATCTATTATAATTTTCAAGACAATAGGCAAAATTTTAAATAGTTGGGAAAAATGTCTTTTAAGGGCAATTAAGAATTCATGGGGGCTTGAATTTATACTGATTTTACCAAGGGTTGGCCCTTTATGCTAGGGGTAAAATATCGGCATAAAGGGCAAACCCGTGGTAAAATCAGTATAAATTCAAGCCCCCATGAATTATTTCTATTCTAATAGGACAAAAACGGCAATTCTTTTGGATCAAAGCGCTCTAGGTGAAGGCAAATATTTGCTGTTACCATAAATAAACACACTAATATATTGATGTAAAAGAACGGAGCAAACTGAACTAGTGACATGCTTAAACTATTTACAATAACGTATTTAGATAGGTTTAGATTTAAATGATAATCTTACTTATATGTAAAAATGATTGGCTTATAACACATTTTATCATCGTTTGTTTATGTTTCCTTGTTTTGATGACTTTCAGTTTCACAATAGTGTGCATTTTCCTGTAAAATGCTTATATTCTTACGTCATCGTTCAATGACTTCGAGTAGCTCATTCATAAAAAAGCATACGACGTGGGAGTATGATCAGAACAGCCCAAACAATATATTCATATTTTACCACGGGTGTGTACTCAAAGTGTTTGAAGAACGTCATATTAGAATAACTCCTATAAAAAGTCATCTTGACAGTTTCGAAATAAATGGACAAAAGGCAGATCTCATCATTCCAAACATTTTTGCCCTATCAGATTTTCTCTACTTATAGTGGTTTTCAAGATAATAGACAAACTTGCATTTTACCTCTATGTTCTATGTTTAGCCATGATGGCCAATTTGGTTGGCTGGCTGGATCATCGGACAAATTTTTTAAAATAGATACCCTAATGATGATTGTGGCCAAGTTTGGTTACATTTGGATCAGTAGTTTCAAAGAAGAAGATTTTTGTACAATTTAATGAGAAAAGATCACTGGCACCTTCGGGCCAGGTGAGCTAAAAAAGAAATATAAAGAAAATCTAGATTTCACATGGTTTTCCAAAGTATTACCTCAATGGGAGAATTCAAAAGAAAAATTAGATCACTGATTCAACATGATGGCAAAAAATTAACAGGATCAGCAGAATAAACTCTCCACAATATTCATCTCATAATTATCATTTTATTCACTGCTTTAATAAATGTATTTTTCTTATATAAAACTATATTGAAATTAATATGCTTTATATTGTAGTGTTGTCAATAAAGCGATATTTTTTAACATTGCCATATAAGCGGGAGGTTTGGCTAGCCATAAAACCAAGTTCAACCCACCATTTTTTCTTAAAATGTCCTGTACCAAGTCAGGAATATGGCAGTTGTTGTCAAATAGTCTGTTTCTATGTATGTTGGCGTTTGTTTTTATTGCAGTTCAGTGTTTCTGTTGTTCCGTTGTTTTCCTCTTAAAGTTGATGTGTTTCCCTCTGTTTTAGTTTGTAAACCGAATTTGTTTTCTCTTAATCGATTTATGACTTTTGAACAGAGGTATACTACTGTTGCCTTTATATATTCAAGGACTATCAAGTGAATTTAAAATAATTGGGGAATGTGTCAATGGGACACAGATGATGCCCCTGTTTGCATATCATATAAAGTTATAAAGGGACATAACTGAATAACGGTAAAAGTGACGCTACCCAAATTTGTACTTGATCTGAGTTTTGTGGTAATAAGTATTGTGTATAATTTCATAACATTTGGTTGAGGCAAACTTAAGTTAGAGAATGGAAATGAAAAATTCAGCAATTTTTCCATTTGTAAAGGGGCATAACTCTAGAACAGTATAAGTTACACCACCAAAATTCAAACTTGATCTGTATTTTGTGGTAATAAGTATTGTGTATAAGTTTCATATCATTTGGTTGAGACGTACTTAAGTTAGAGAACGGAAACGAAAATATTCAGCAATTTTTCCTTTGTAAAGGGCATAACTCTAGAACGGTTAAAGTGACTCCACCAAAATTCAAACTTGATCTGTGTTTTGTGGTAATAAGCATTGTTTATAAGTTTCATAACATTTGGTTGAGGCAAACTAAAGATAGAGAACGGAAACGAAAAATTCAGCAATTTTTCCATTTGTAAAGGGGCATAACTCTAGAACGGTTAAAGTGACGCCACCAAAATTCAAACTTGATCTGTGTTTTGTGGTAATAAGCATTTTGTATAAGTTTCATAACATTTGGTTGAGGCAAACTAAAGTTAGAGAACTGAAACCAACTTTGGGACATATGGACGGACAAGGGTAAAACTTAATGCCCCCTCCCCTACAGTGGGGCATAAAAAAATCATTAAAAATTGTCACCTTAGCAAACTGTGGAGTAGGAAATGTAGAGAAATCTGCTCTGACTTGTCCTCCTGGTCTGTTAGCAGCTTGTACTGTTGTTATATTGGCTTGTAACTGTAAATAAATAACATTGTAAAATAGCATGTGAAACAGCTTGCTTCAGGTGACTTTATCTGAACTCAACAGGGACAACTTTGGTTTCAACATATTACATGTATATTGTAACCAAACTTATAGTCACAGAATTTTTATTGCATTTAGCCTCTTCAAGTCTACCTTACAGCATTTTATTTTTTTGCTATTTTCTAACATTGATAATGCTTTTTTTTGTATAAAGAAGATCCATTTTTTGAAATATTTGCAAAGATTTGTTCTTTGGTTTTATTTTTCTACTTGCATATATTAGATTTATCACAGTAATAGTTGTTTTCAGAATATTTTAAAACAGCTGTTAAAAAAGTATAACAGAAATTCCCACTTGTAAATATGTTAGCTTAAAACTATAAATGATTTTAACTGCAAAAATTAACTCTTTTTTTCCCTCTCCAATGATTTCAAAAGATTATAGTTCTGCCTAAATGTTTTCTTTTTCAGTATGCTATGATACTACCTCTTGCATCTTTTTCTCCAGTAATGTCAGTAATGTTGTTCTTGCTATCAATTCTTTAACAGGATCTACACTCTGTGAGGCTGGTTCTAAACCTACAACAAAGTAACCAGTGATATCAAAATAATTTCAAAACCATGATATTTATGGAAGTTTTCGGTCATATATTTTTGCAGATAGACTTAGTGATTTTTAAAAAGTTTTTCATCCATAATTGCAAAAAGGTGTTTAAGGGTGTCAACTTGAGCTTGAATAGCATGTAAAACAATTTAAATACAATTTATCATGATTTATATTCAAAGGAAATTAGAAGACAGTTTCTGATGTTTAAATTGGATTAAAAATGTGCGCACGGTCAAAGCTTTTACAACCCTATAAAATTACTAAAAGAAGCATTCAATACTTATAATTAAGTTTTTTTTGCTAGGATTTCTATCAAGTTCTTCTTTTATTTACCTGTGCACTTTATTGTGGAAGCTCTTGTCATCATGAACATAACATTTCATAATTGAAATGAAAGTTAATTTCAGAATGACGCGAGATTGCTGCTAGCCAATCAAAATAACGTATTATAATGAAACATACATGTAATGTAATTATATGACAATGAACATGTGTCTTTAAATTGCATCTTATGTATTTTAAATGCAATATAATAATTTAAGATTTCACATAGAATAAAAAACATACCTGGTTTACGCTTTGTGATATCAACAACTCTTGGATGAGAACACAAATTATTTACTTCCTGTAAAAGGAAATAAAGAACAATAATATTAAAATATACATTTCGTGCTTAAAAGTAAAAATAAATATATTTTTCTCAAAAATCTGTTATAATGAGTGGCTCCATGTATACTGTAAATGTAGAAATTATTGCAAGTTTTTTTTTATTAATGTCAATAATGCGAGTGGGTGAGTATAGCAATATTAAGAAGTTGCAATTTGAATTTGTTACATACATCTGTTTGTAGATTTTCCTGAAATCGCAATAATAAATCTCACATTTTTGTCCATTCTTCAAAAATTGCAATAATAAATGCATGCAATAATTTCTGCATTTACAGTATAAAAATGTATGATATTTATAATGGAGGCAGTATAATTTTAAGATGATATAGACTATCCAACAACAATGTGTGCCAGTAAATAATCAGGCTATCTGGTCCATGTGTTGTTTCAGGGACAAAAATATCAATGCACTGGCAGCTATATTAAAAGTTGGACATGGTGATTGAAAGCACTTCAACCATACTTTGCTTTCCCTGAAGCATGCAATCTTATGCATTTTCTCTTTTAAAGTCAAATTTGCTAGTGCTCAAGATATATTTTTCATAGGTTTAATCAAACAATAGAAAGATATAACAAACATCTCAACAGAATACATTATAACACATGAACATTATGTAGAGAATTGATTTAGTTCAGAGTATAACTAAAAGACGTGAAATAACTCTATAGGTAAACTAATAACAAACTGATAATAGATATAATAAAAATACAGAGTTCCAATGTCCAGCGTGTTGCACATATTTTATCTATCCAAGGGCAATAACTAAAAAAAGTACTTTTTTTTGGTTCTTTAAAACAATTTAAAAATATCTTAGAGAAATGAAGGCTTAAGAGCAAATGCAATGCCATTTCCATTATAATCAACTTTTCCAAGGGCATAACTCATTAAAAATATTTGAGCAGCACTTATTTAAGAGAGTGTCAAAAGCATTGCTGATATAAACCTATGATATAAGTTTCATAAAATTTTGGCAAGAATTGAACACATGAGAGAGCTAACAATGCAATTTCCATATAATCAATATTTCCAAGGGACATAACTCTTTTAAAAATAATTGATCAGCACCAATTTTCAAATTTGTCTGAGAAATTGATGATATAAACCTATAATATAAATTTCATAAAAATCTGGCAAGAATTGTACACATGAGAGTGCTAACAACGCAATTTTCAATATAATCAATATTTCCAAGGGCATAACTCTTTGAAAAATAATTGATCAGCACTGATTTTCAATCTCATCAAAAACATTGATGATATAAACTTATAATATAAATTTCATAAAAATCTGGCAAGAATTGTACACATAAGAGCGCTCATAAGGCAATTTTCCATAAAATAAATATTTCCAGGGGGCATAACTCTTTTAAAAATAATTGATTGGCAATGATTTTCGAACTCGTCCAAGACCTTGCTGATATAAACCTATGATATAAGTTACATAAAATTACACATGAGAGCGCTAACGATGCAATTTTCCAAATAATCAAAATTTCCAAGGAGCATAACTCTTTTAAAAATAATTGTTGGCACTGTTTTTCGAACTCGTCCAAGACATTGCTGATATAAACCTACGATATAAGTTTCATAAAAATCTGGCAAGAATTGTACACCTGAGAGCACTAACAAGACCAGCAGACGGACGCCCGATATTTCCATGTCCCCGCAAAGCATTTTGTGGGGGACAAATATCCAGATAATATCAGAAAAACATATGCAACATATTTACGTTTTGTAACTCTACTGTTTGTTTTACAAGGTTTTTTAAGTCAGCAGCACCAGGGAAGCCATCTGGAATCTCTCTAGGTTTATCTGGTTCTTTATGTCTATTCATCCATGGAGCTCGCTTTGGTACTCTCAAGGGAGGTAATTTGGCCATTTTCTCCTGTTGAAAAAAAAAAATATATTGTAAATTATTAAGCCAATTATTGATTGACTGTTTGTTTTTTATGCCCCAGCAGCACAAAAAAGCCATATTGAGGCAATGAACATGAATGTAAAGCTGACAAACTCGGTATGCCATAGGAAATAGATTGAAAGTTCTGCAAGTGCAGAAAATTTAGCTTCAGCTTAATTTTCAATGCTGAAACAATCCAATATCATTTCACAATTATCATCATTTTGTGTACTCCTATAACCTAAGAATCTTTACATAATTCTATTAACCAGATAAATATGAATTAAAAGAGATAAGGAGTACATGTCAATGAGATATTAAAGACATTAAAAAAAGACACCAAGAGGTCATCATACATGTCAACAACAGACAAGCTTCTATAACAATACGTAAAGCTTTAAACCTAAGTCTAGACATGTTCAGAGTAAATTCTAACAGAAAAATCTGCTATCAAAACAAAATTCTTTTAGGAACAAGAAACATTAAGATGTATCATTAAACTGTTTTTTGATTATATAAAAAAATAAAGTCATCCCCATCCCAAATGAATTGACAACTGAAAACAAAATTTAGGTGTAATTCTAACAAATTTCATGTATAATTGTTAGTTTTTTCATTCAATTTAAATAAAATCTCAATATTGCTGATACTTTATATTTAAAAAATTTGACAAATATATCTCCGAGTCGACAGGGAAGAGTAGTAAAATCTTTGTTTAAAGTACCTTCATTTGATCAGCTTGCAATCGTATATTCTCATTCTTTGTAAACTTCAATGCTTCTTTCAAAGTGACAATCTGCAATGGGAAATTTGAAAACATCAATATAAATACCCTAAAAGAATATCCTTATCAATATTATGGAAAGTTTATAATCAAACCTGTTTTTTTTACAAATGATCATTAATATCTGCAGTGAGACTTTAATATTATTTTTTTCCAATATATGTTTTGACTTAATACCAGACCTTTATTAAATAAAAGCAAATTGTTGTTTTGAACAAAATGTCACCACAACACACATGGTTAACAACACTTAAATATGTTAACATAGTCAATTTTACTGATACCTAACCATTTGTTGTAACATTTAAATGTAATCAATGCATATGACCTGTTTAACATCAGTTTCAAATATAAGAGAAGCTTCCTTAGTGAATGCATGGCAAATGTGATAAGTTAAACGCTTTATATCACTAAAAACTAACAAAATAACAAAATAATATACTCTGTTGCATTAAAATTAACTAGTGAAACTAAAATCTGTATAAAATATTATGGGTAAAACAGAAATCTTAGCTATTTATAGCATCAGAAATTTTTCTTTTCCTTTCAGATCTGGTTACCTGTGATATTAGTTATGACATTAATTTACATATTCAAAACTACTACTTCATATTTGACCATGGAATGTAAATCTTACCTGTTGTTGAAGGACTGGTGATTCTTGCATTGATGTTGGCATGCCTCCCATTGGTGATAATGGACTAGTAGCTGAAAAAAGAAAACAAAGATGATGTGTTGTACTGATAAACCATCTAAATATACGCAAAATAAAACAACAAATTTCATATGTCTATATTTTACAACTCCCACTCTAAAGAAGCATGTAATTGTTAGTCAATAATAATATTCATCATAAATATTTATAAAGATTCTACCATATTAATCCATTCATAACAATTATTAATCCACTCAAGAACAGCAGTGAGCATGATGTTTCTTTGATTTTTGTTTGATTTATATTTTTGTGTGATTTTTTATATCTCATATAGTCTAAAACATCAAGTTATATATACAATACACGAATAATAAAGTGAAGGCATAAAATACCTGAAGCTTGTCTTGATATACCCTCCAGTAATGACTTTTTGGACAACACCTTCAATCTTTCTTTCAATTCATATTTCTCTTGTTCTAGGGCATCAATGTCAGCTTGTAATGAATCCAATGTCTCTTCATATTGTCTGCAAACATTAAAAAGTATGAGTATTTTCAACCTCCATGTTTTTCTTGAATTTTCATACTATTTCTAGGACAATTTTTTTAAGCAATGGCCATACATAGGAAAATTCTAGTACCAGCGACTTTTTTCACAAAAAATCTTAAGAGTAAAAATACATTTCAGTATAACTTACGATCAATTTTAATCTGTGAATTTAATTTTAATTTGTGAAAAGAGTCGCTGGTATTTAAAAAAGTATTTAAACCAAATAGCTTCCATACATTTAAAATGCATATTTTGTACCATCTGAAAAAAAGAACTTTCCTTTAAATGACTTTTATACTTTGTTACCAAACTATATAATATGTGGGAACTATTTATAAGAAATTGTTTCAATTAAATCTTTATGTATATTTACAACTAAATCAGCTCTCAGGTTGACATCATTCTAACAACATCAGCAATACATAATAATTATTTATCATACTTCTCTTTTTTCTTAAACTGTGCCAGTTGATCATCCATTTTTCTCTGCATTTGATCAGTACGGTCATCACTGTCCCTTGTAGCATTTTCAACCTTCTTCTCTAGCAGTCCTAATCTAATTTGTTGACTGCTAAGTTCTTCTTGCTATTGATAGAAGAAAATATAAATTATGTCAGATATTTCTCAACTTTTGTAAGAAATACATATACTTGATCAAAAATCTGTTTAAAAAAAGTTTATATTTCATCTGTGAAAAATTTCTGGATCACAATGAGCAACTCTGAAGATATTTCAACTTTCTATGAAAATTGTTCGAAAAACTGCATAAAATTCAGTTTCATGTGTTCTTTATACGTTGAATTTTACTTCATTAGGCCAACTAAAATTAATTAGTAGATTTTCTTCCAGATTTTTTTTTAAAATGGGGCGGGTGGGAGGATTTTATTTTTTATTTTTTATTTCCTCCTATACCCTTTTGTAACGTGTTGTTCATGGTAATAATAAGCTTATATCATGTATATGTTAGGAATTCTACATTATTTTTCGATTCTTGAATTCGTATTTCTGATTGGCAACCACTGTTTTACATGTAATTGCTGTTTTAAAAACCTATTTTTAGTAAATAGCAAAAACGTGGAGAAATGTTCTCTTTTAGACTACCTAGATCAAATTTATTTTGCTTTCTAAGCTATGATTTGTAGTGCCCATAAAATGAAGCATATGCATTGGTATGCAACACAAATATGATGAGTACAGAGTGAAATGAAAACTCAAACTGTGTTGAAAATACTAGGGATGATGCTTTTAAGATTCTTATGCAAGGTGCAAATTTAATTGCAATGTAAAACATGAACTGAACCAAAAAGAAGTTGTTAAATGACTCTATTGAGAGGCTTGGGACAGAGGGTGTTTGCTGTTTGTCAACAAAAACGACAGCCTTGGGTTAAATCTAAGGTCTTGCTATAATACATTTTGTACGTTGGCCGACTCTTTGTATTCAATATACGGTCATAAATTGCACAAGTTCGTGCTTGTGTCAGTTACTTTATTCCAGTCATGTTTTTGTAGCAATGTGTTCCATGATTCTTTCGCTTTGGATATCATTCAAAATCCAAATTTCCTGACATAAAGTCATTGTATAGATAAAAAAAATCCACAGTTTTCTAATCACTGAAATTTGTAACATACCGCGATTAGCGTTCTTGAACACCACCTATTACTCGTAACACGAATATTTAATGCCCTTCTAGTAATCAATCTATATCCTCAGAAGATAATGTTGTCATCATTAAGCAGAAGAATATATCGACTTGTCTTATATTACTCAAAGAAATATGAAACCGAAATTTGAAAAAAGGAAGTTTTGAATGAAATGGAATTATCGGCGGCTACCGGTAACGGAAATGAACAAAATCTGGAAATCGTAAATTTTTTTAAAATAAAAAAAATCGGGGCAGGCAGGGATGAAAATCTATCAATTAATTTTAATTGGCCTTAACATGCATTTCAGTTGATCAGAAATAAAAAAAAGTTTCTCAGTTCCAGAAAATTTATGTTATATGTAAACTAAAAGTTCCAATTATTTCGACAAAAGGATGCACTTACTGGTGTGAGAGTTAACATAAACAATGATAAGATGTTAATCTACAGTTATTTCTTTATAGCACAAAGTACCTTCATGAGAAGTTTTTTCTTTAGTTCTACAATCTCTTCATCTTTTGTTGCCATTCTGTGTTTCATCAATTCAATGTCAGCAATTTGTGTCCTTAACATATCTGCTCTCACTTTCACCGGGGCAAGTGGCTATAAAATAACAAATAAAATTAGTAATTAGAAATTTTATTATTAATATAATACATTATTCATTAATCATATTTGATGAATCAATTTTAACAAATAACTGGAAGGATTAATTTGTACTTACAATATAACAATATAAAAAATTCCTCAAATTTACCTCTAACAGTCATCTTCAACCGATAAAGTACTAAATCTTACTTCTCCAATTATAAATCATATGGTCATGTGTTGTTATTGTGATGTAAGTGAATAAAAATGTTGTTCCCTTTTGATCCTAGGGAATATTTTAGGTCTGTTTGTGACTTAATTACTTGCAAGTTTTGATTACAATTTTCAAGGTATGTAACAGCTGATTTTAAAAATGATTTTAATAACCATGTTTAAAAACAATTTTCTTATAATATATTGACATAATAAATATGTTTTTGAACTAATTAAACAATTCTTCACATGGATTTTTATAAGTATTCTGTTTTTACATTAAGTCTTCAGTGTAACCATTTTTCTTGTAATTTGTCAAGTATCTATTTACTTTGTTACAGATAAATGTTATCAAATAGCTAGCTGTTGAAATCAAAATACTTCATTCAAGAGACTTCCCCTCAATTTTTCCAGTTCTGCCAGAGAATTTTAGATTTCATTAGCTTTAAATAGTTTTAAATAGATTCTGAAATAATCCTAACAGGACTGCCCACCTGCAAGAAAATAAATAGATAAATGACCAGTGCTATAAATGAAAACAATCATACCATTTTCTCATGTGTTCCATCAAAATCATATTCTCCATTCTCCATAGCGTTTGCTAACTTGTTCATAGCTCCTACGACCATACCAAATGACTTTCTGTAAACAATCAAACTCTAATTACAGTAAATTGCTTTATCACCAACAAAGAACAGTAGCAGCCAAAACTTTTTTGTGGGGTTTCTGTCTATTTTTCTTTCTGGAACTGGATAGTTGTGAGTTATTATCTATCATCTATTATAAGAAGTTTATGCCACTTTCTATCACTGGATTTTTATAGCTGTCATTGTCATTTATATGATATAAAAAAAATTATCAATTACTGACATTTTGTACTCTTTCACATAACAGCCCAATTTAAAGAATAAATAACTATTCTTACAATAGTTTACGTCAAAATTCTGCTGCATAAAGGTGATGGAACACAATAAACACAATTTCTTAAGTGTATACATAATAATATCAGATAGTAATTTGAAGCAAAGCATTGAAATTTGACCAGTCAGAGGGTCTTTTTGGTTGAGCATTTCTTCCACTATATAATGTACCTTAAAGTATCATATGGTCCATTATCTTCTTTACCATATACTTTGTCTGTAGCTTGGTAAGCCATTTCTTCTATCTTTTTAGGTAGTAGTCCTTCAGAATCTGTAAACAATTCATATAAAGGAAATATTATTCAAAGACGTAAACAATTAATGTGACTTGTCAGAATTTTTCAGACTTTTCAAATAATGCAAAATTTATATGGTTATTCACTAAGGAAAATCTTTCTACACTGAAAAATTTAGGCAATTATACAAATATATGTCTACATATGTATGTGTGCCGATCAAAGGCCCTAAACAGGAACAATAAACATTATTTTTTCTTTTATAAAATGTCTTCAATAACTTTGTTAGAAGCAAGAAAAATGTTTTACCATCAATCTTTCCCCTTCTTGATGGGTACATTCAACACAATTTGGATTCATTACCAGTTTACATTATCATTTAAAACATGACACTTTTAATACCACTTAATCTGCTGTATAGTATTACGTCCAGTTTACAGTTACAATAATTGAACAGAAAAAAAAGTTTAAGTATCACACCACTCATTTCAATATTCATGCCAGTATTAGATACATATAAAGAAAACATTCTATTCTATATTAAGATGTTATCTTACAAATCATCACTATCATACCAAGTTCAATGTAAACAATTTGATTAACAGTTAAGCTTACCAAACAGACAAAATACTTTTAAAAGCAATATGCCTGTACATTTAAAGCTATCACAGCTTATCATTCATTCCATAAAATATTTCTTTCTTATACAGATATGAAAAAAGTTTACATAAGGAAATCTAAAATTTTGAATCACTATTTATAAACAATTTCCAACTCAACTAGAGACTCCAGGGATTGTGTATCAATCATGAGGCTTTTAAGCCTAACACTAACACAATAAAACTTAATTTTATAAGTTAATATGCATGGGGTACCAACCAACATAACATTATTCTAACATAGAACACAACCATAAACCATATCAGAAACGTTTGTTCCCAACAGGCTTTATAAACTATAACGAACTGTCTGTGTTTACATCTCCTCCTCATATGTTTTATTTTAAGAAATGTTTGATAGCATTTCATTTCATTAAACATTATCTCTATTTAGAATCATTTACAGAAGCAATTTTTTCTTTTGCTGGCTTTTTTTTTTAACTTTGACCTAATGTCTGGTTGTAAGTTCTTTAAAAAAATCAGAAATTTATTGATTTTATGGTCAAATTTTCTCCTTGAAAACACATACTCATAGGCAGTCATGTTTGATGATAAATTAAAAGATCAGTCATATAAGAAATGATCAAATATCATGTTATTTCATGTCTGTTTTTTCTGGTTTTAGAAGGAGCATTTAAAACGTCGAACAGTTCATTATTTGGATTTCACAGCATTTTACAATGCATTCTAGACATTGAAAAGTCCTCACATCAAAATTTTTTAAAAATACAATATTAGTTTATAGTTTCCCAAAAGTTTGCCTGCGATTTTTACTTAAAAAAAGTGTCAGAATTTTTTAATTTATGTTTTTGTCAATTTTCTGTTCTTTAATTTGTGATCAACAATAATTCTGAAAGCAAAACATAATTTTATTTTGTGTCTGAGTGTAATTGGGATGACCAACCACAATAATTTTTTAACCAATGTATTGGTGTTTTTTTTATATCTATATAATTTTCTATTTTTGATAATGATTAAGAAGGTCATTGAGTATCAATCTGAAAGTGGACAGAAAAAAATCCATTTGGTAAAGAGGATTTTGAGTAGAAGAAAACATATTCAAAATGTCCATGGACAAATAACACATAGAATAGATGACCAATGACAATGTTATTTTTCCAGGTGATTACAGTAGCTTACATAAACCCTCTGGAACATTGGTATCTTCCTCGAATGCCAACATTTTATATGTTACCTATTCCTTGAACGCCAACAAAAATATATCAATAGATGTTTATATAATAACAATAGGTGTTTTTATAACTATCTAAATGTTTTTATAAGTATTTAACTGATAAAAATAATTAGTGAACTTGAGAAAATTGCAACATTTTATCACATTTTGATAAGAAAAAATAGTAGATTTTGGGGTTGAAATATTTATGAATTTTAAAGAAATAAAGCAAATTAAAACATTTTTATTACTTTTTATTAAAAAAAAAAAGATATTTTGGGAATGGAAATGTTTATTAACATAAGACATATTAGGAATATTAAAGAAATTTTAGTTAAATACAATTATTTCAAACTAAAAAAAAAGATTCTGAATATAAGAGATTTATTTAATTCCACATCATTTTAAATATTTTATAAGTTAATATGAACTATATGAAATTTTCAATTGAACAATTAATTAAACTTTAAAAATCATAAGAAATAATTAATTAAATTTGATAACTTCCAAGCTGGAAACTGGATGAGCATGAGTATGATCACAGTCCAAGCAAACACTGAGTGAGCACAGGTCCAAGACAATAATATGCACATAAAAGGGGAGGATAGGCAAGTCATGTCATTCACTTTTCAAGTATGGCTAATGCACAGTTAAATATAGTTTGTTGAGAATCGTCTTGGCAAAGAAAACTTGGTCTACAACAACTACAAGTACAGAGTAAAGACTAAACGGGGAGACATATGCTTCACTTGTAATACTGTTAAATGTGAAAAGTGCATGTATAAACTATTCAACAACTGTTATCAGATCACATATGTAGTGCTTTTTGCCAATCGGCTAAATATTTGCTTATGTTATATGTATTGTTTTCTGTGTGCTCTGTGTACAAATAAATAATATGTTATTCAAAATTGATTTTTCTTCTTCTTTTTATGCTATGAAAAAAGTAAGAAAATATCTTCCACAACTCTACAAAGTTTCAAGAAAATCCATAAAATAGGGTAACAAGAATTCCGATGAGTTGCGAACATAACAAACACCTAAACAATATATTATGAATCACTTACAATAAAAAAGGGTGTAATATTATAACCAAGAAAACTATCCTGAACAACAGAACAAAATGAAACATAGTAATCTAACATGTCTAACACGAGATACAAAGTTTCAAGAAATTCCATCAAGTAATATTGGAGGATATTACAGCACACACAACTATAGAAATATTGAAAAAAAAAACATCAAAGTCCAAAGAGTCTATTGTAGAATTTGTGCAAACTTGAATTCCTATCAATATGCACATGTTGACTTTGTGATGCAACACTTTTCAGTTTCATTTTAAGAGAATCCATATTTGTTCAAGCAGTAACAGCAAAAAACGATTTTCAACAACTTGACAAACATGAACAAGATTTAGCTACCTGTAATTTACCTATCTGTTTAATTAGTATGATTGTTTTGATAAGCATGCACATTTGATGTGATAACTACTAACACCTATTCCTCGAACGCCAACATAATTTTACAGGTAAATTGTCGGTAGATCAAAGGATGTTGGCATTCAAGGAATAAACCGGAACATTCAAGCTAAAACAGACATTAATTTTTTGAGCTGTCAACAGTTAATTGCCTCTTATTAATACTGTAAGCTGTAAATTTTCAAATAAACCAATATTATGTAAAAGCAGCACAAATTACCCCGAGGTATAAGCCAATTGAGCCTCCATGATAATGCTACTGTATCTATTACAAGCAGATAATTGGGTATTTAATGTACATTAAAGCAAATACATTCATGAATATATACTGCTGATATTATTCTGAAGTATATAATATTTTGGTACTTGAAATTAATTAAAATGTGGGCAAAGATTCAAAGACTTAAAATGTGCATATTAATGATTACTCTCAATCATTTAATGTCCTCCACACCAAAAGTTGTCCATCAGTATTTGACCTACTTGTTTAAAGAGGACATTATTAATTGCTTTTAAAATCCACTTCATAGTTGTCAGATTGGCAATCATACCACATCTTCTTATTTTTATATAAACATTAATGAGAAATGAATTGCAACCAACTGACTTACATAAGCAATAAAGAGCTGCCCCATGAGCGCATGATAGCCCGTCCCCCTTTAAGCTAGCCTTTATGCTTCAAATGAATTTATATAATCAACTAGAAATACTGTGATTTTCAACAACTTTTCAACAACTTCTCAACAAATAAAATTCCATAACTCAGCAATGTTATATCAGAAATTTATAAAAAAAACAAATGGGAGCTTATTTCAATAGATACATTGTATAAACAAGTCAAAAAAGTTTCATGAAAACTGCTCAAAGCGTTTTTGCGTTATTGCCCAAAAACTGGTAAATCCCCCCTTTTTTTTTATGAAAAAAGTCCCAATAGTCCAAAAAGTAAAATCAGAAATTTTCAAAAATTGAAAGGGAACTTATGTCAATATATATAATAATTCAACAAAGTTTCATGAAAATTGCTCAAAGCATTTTTGAGTTATAGTCAGAAAACTAGATAATCCCCAATCTTTGTATGAATAAAATCCCACAACTCAAAACATAAATTCTAAAATTAATAAAAAATGCAAGGGAGTTTACGTCAATGGATTTAAATGATTCACCAAAGTTTCATAAATTAGTGAAAGCCTTAATGAGTTATCGTTTGAAGTGTTGAGGATGGATGGACGGACAACAGTTTACCATAAAACGTCAAAGTCATTATACCATGACTAAGGGGGAGGGGCCAAATAATCTCCAAGGAAAGGACGTGTGCCAATGCTACTACAACTGCATAGCAAATATCATTGACCTAACACTAGTAGTTCCCCTTAAACTGACTTAATCACAAACTTATACATTGTTGAGGCAGTCACTGCTGCCACCAGAAACAGCATGCCTAAGTCTCGCTTTTTCAACTATGTCAAGTTGAGACAAAATGCAAAAGTTATCTCTCCTTTCTAACCTGTATGAAGACAGTACAAATGTTGTTTATATAAAATCAATGTAAGGTTTTTCTGCTTACATTACAATGTTGGACTATTTAGAATATAATGTTTTGGTTGAAATTCTTTAATTTGGAAATGAAGAGTATGACAAGTATTCTACGAATCTGTATTCAATCATTATGAAACATTATGAAACAAATAAGCTTCATACAGAAATTGAGACTGTTCTTCACACATGTTTACAAAGTCACTAATATCTGACTACACACAGAAGTCCATTTTGCTGTACAATAATTCCTATGTTATATGTTGTCTTATTTCATTGGAGAATTCATGGCAACCAAAACATTTACTAATGTATAAACCTTTTCATGACGTCATGAGCATGAATTCCAACACAAGCACTAAAGTTCTTTACATGTTCATGAAATATTCGATCAGGGCATAACTTTTAGTGCATTTCATTGAAATCATAAGTAATAACCGTTAATCATACTAATTAATTGTTAACTCTGCATTTCACTCACAAACTTAACATAAAGTACAAAAGACTTTATTCATTTTGTGAGCGAGTTCACTTGAGTTAACATTTCAATAATCTCCTTCAAAATAACCTTAATTACTAAAAAAACATATGACATCAACAGAACAATCCTAGAATTTAGAAACATTAAATCTGCATACCTAAAACAAAAACAAAATCTAACATCATTACTATTCTTTTTTTTATCTAGTAAATTAAAAAGAGTGCCTATTGTATACTGTTTCTAACTTTTGCTATGGTTTCTAATTCATATTATTTCACAACATGAACTGATGCTAAATGGTTTATAAGATATATGTAGATGAGATAAAATGATATAAAAAAAAGATAAAAGTAATATGACTGCAAGTATATGTCTGAAAAATAAAATTAAAGCCATAAGCAAGGACAAGCCATGCCAAAAATAATCAAACCCACATGATTCGTACATAAATGAAAAGGAAACATTGCCACTGAATGCTTTCTTGATTCTCTTCAATTGAGATTAATTTGTTGATTCGTTTAAATATAGAAGGTTAGTTGATTGAAATATAAAAAACAGAAATGTAAAAGGAATTATTAAATTTGTCAATTTGTTACCCATGCTGTGGGAGAAGAGGATACTCCATGCTTTTATTATCTTTTATTGTAAAGTTTCTTTAAATAAGAAGAAAGAAAATATCCACAAAAAAAATTTATAACATCAAATAGTTGTACCAAACAAATACCAACTATTGAGCAGAAGTTAATGATGCAAATACAAATTGCAAGGTTTATTGCATAAACATCAACTTGATTGACAAATTCTGCAAGTAACTGTGAGTTTCTTTAGCAGATTAAAGAAATGCATCAAGAGGGTCTTGAAATATTTCTGTCTGATTTCAAACAATAAATTAATTGAACAAAAGACACTCTTCGATTCTTAATTTTATGAGAAAAGGTTGTCATGGTTTTTAGAGGAGCATTCAGTAGCAATATATCATTCCTTTACCCTTTTTGAGGTTCTCTATTTCCATTCTTCCACCTGGTAGAAAGCAGGGTTCACACATTATAGCAACAAAAATCAACAATGGCAAATAAAATTCTGGTCTGTTATATAAAAACTTGTGTATGAGAGTTATGTCAATTATATGTTCATGTATTCAAAACATAATCTAATATGATGCAAGTGTTATTTTTATATTTTATAATGAAACTTGGTCAATATTCATGAATTGCAAAACTTAAGTATCACACAGGTATGGTTGTGATGAATTATAACATTATAGTAAGTTTCATAGAAAATAAATTTCTTCTAGTCAATATCATTGCAAGTTTAATTGATAATATAATGCCTACCACTCAATATCATAGCCGCTAGCCACTACAGTTAAAAATATGTATGCAGTTATGTTTTATTGTAATAAAATCATAATCATGCTGGATATTTTCACTGAAAAAAATGTAAAAACCTCTCAGTGTATTTGTTGTTGATTTTATAAATGATCATGTATACAACACAAAGACCATGAGTACTATATGTAGTCCTGTTTATATATTCAATGAGCTGAAGATAGATAAATGCATACTAAATAGTCCTGGTTAAGTTTGTATTCAACTAAGGACTAACTACAAGTGTATTTTACCTGTAAGTAAAGCAGCTTGTTGCATGGCCCCTGCAGCTGTATATTGCAATGATCTAACTATATGGGTGATATTCTTTCCTGCTTCAGACAATAAAGCTTGTATCTGAAATAATATAACCAAAGGCATGAAATATTTTTTACAATATCCTAATATCTTATACAGTAGAAAGTTAAAATAGAGTGGGAGTTTATTCACATTGTCAAAGAAACTAATATTGAGTCACAAACTGCAGAACCTCAATCAATGTTATTAACATTTCATCCATATTTGTAGGGTGAGATGTGGTTTAATAGAAGAAAGTAGTTCTTAAATTCATCAACACATGATATAGGCTATTATGTACTTATGTGAGAAATCTGCACCTTTTAGTTAATTCTTCTTTCTCATTTTGATGTAAAACTATGTGTCTTCAATATAAACTCACATTAGAATCAACTAATCTATGGTATCAAGTAACTTTACTAAAAGCATTGAACATTTTTAAGTCAATAAACAAAGTCTGAATTAACTGATTGAAACTGTAAACTATATAAATTGTACCTCCTTTCCAAAGTTTAAAGGTGTTGCCGGGCCTTGCTTCTGTGGTAGTCTTCTCTTTATCTACATAAAAATACATATATTGTTTTTATTCTAAAATAATCCCTCAGACCTTGCCTAGAATATCAGGGCTCACACTAATTCAGAATCATAGGGAGAAGTGACTTCTTTTTTTGAAATTGAGAGGGAGAAGTGGTGAGATTTGAAAGAGAAGTGCTTGTTCGCTCGCGGGGCTACAATGTTTGGATTTTACTATAATACATTAAGGGCCATATGTATCTTATCTTTTTTATATTGTTCAATTTGTACCTGGGTATACAATTAACATGATTAAGGTAACTGTTCAAATTTAAAGTTGTTTAATTTTATCATTTCTAGTTGCACAATCAAATAAGTTCTCTTGTCAGAAAAAACAATTAAATATCTGGCAATCAAAAAAATTAAAATTCAATTAAAAAAAACTACTCTGCTATCATGTTCATGAAATTAATTATTTCTCATTAAAAAGATATATAAATTTAACAGTTAAGCTTGGACATAATATAATTTTATTAGTGTAATAGTCCCAGAGTTGAGCAACTTTAACTTATAAATTGAAACAATGCATATACATGGAAATATATACATTAATCAAGAAGATCTAACAAAAAGTATGTTAATGCATGTGGAATGCATAATTTTTCCTTTTGGGATCGATTTTTGTCTGTCAGCAGTGCTATTCATGCGTCCGTAGTCATTATCGCAAGAATTCGGATTTCGATCATAGTGGGTCCATTTCCGATGAAATCCAGACTCCGATCCGTAGTTGTTCAATAATATGCCCAATAATTTAAATGTCGGACGAAGAAAAATTTACAAAAATAAACGATGTTTGACATACTATTTGGAAAGGAATATGACGTTATTAATGCAATACATGGATAACAAGTTTACTTCAGGCAAATTTCATCAAGTTCTAATGAAGTAATAACTTATTTTGCCGAAAGTTAGAATGATTTGATGTACGCTCTTGTAACAAGTACTGGAAGTGATAACAAATTGTTTTTACATTGAAATAACATGCTACGAGCTTAAAAATCAATGCTTTAACCTCTTTTTTTGAAGAAAATAAATCGTTTATGCCTTGTATTTCTTTACTTTAAAATGAAAATTGCGGTTTCATTGACTTGGTAAAAATTGAATATTGCTGATGACGAAAGCGACTGAAAGCGAGTATCGTAAACAACAGGGCAACTTGTTTACGCTTTTGGGGGTCGGGCAAAGCGAAGTGACGGACGGGAAAGCGACTTCTTCGCCCTAGTCGCCTTGTAGCTTGAGCCCTGAATATAGACTTTTTTTGAACACATTTGTGTTTTCAAATGGAACAATGCATTTGTTACAAAACAATATTCAAGGTAAATCTTTCTGAAACCAAAAGTTTTAATTTTCAATAATTAAATAAAAAAAATTGTGAATGAGTCATAAGGTAAATTAAGTTAATAGGAGATTTTATTAAAACATATTACAAATAGTCAACCTTTCTTGCACAAGTTCTGGTATCATTACAACATGTTTCCAAATCCCTCATCAAGATAGATATTTCTGTTTGTTCCTGTCCAGCCTGTAAACATATAAAGAAAAGATGTTAAGAAGATGAAAGAAACAAAATGCAATTAATATAATATAACATCATAAAATTTTCGTGTCTTAGTGGTAAATTATCAATAAGCTTCTTTAATCAAAATATGGATGCCCCAACCTGGTCCATGGGTGCACTGCACCACATCATGTGTCCATGTACAGTGAACCATGAAATCGATGTCTAAATATTAATTTGGAATCTTAAAAGTTCACCTAACAATGAACATGTATACCAGTATTAAGTTTCAAGTTGATATGACCAAAACTTCATGGGAAGATACTTTATTTAAAAATGTTTAACCTGAGAATGTACTTATTCCACATTATCACATTGAATTTGAATTAAATTTGACATATACTTTTAGAAGATCAGTTCATAAGTAATATGCATACTTTGGTTCAAGTTGATAAGACCACAACTTCATTGTGAACTACCTTAACCCAAAAACTTTGACCTAGTACAGGACAGATAAATGGATGGACGGAAGACTGCACAGAAATCCAAGAATTCAAGTGCGATTTATTAAATGCATTGACCATTACTGACCATATCAGAAAAGTAAGTTTGTCCCCATAACACTAACAAGACTCGGAAACAGCTAGGATTTCAATACTTTCCTGTCTATTTTTGTATACGCATACAAATGTGTTTGAAAGAATAAAAAAATCATAAGGGGTTCCGCAGAACCCTGTGTTTCGCCTGTGATTGCTGCTGTCAGTGTAAAATTGTAATGTTGACTTAAATTAGTCCATTTTTCAGTAAAAAACAGAATTCCAAAAAAAATTTAAAGATTTTTATTTAGATGCTATTTCTTGGTCTTGAAGATTTGCTTCTGTCCAAGTTTCATAACAAAACAAGAATGTGTCTATAGTACACGGATGCCCCACTCATACTATCATTTCCGATGTTCAGTGGACCATGAAATTGGGGTCAAAACTCTAATTTGGCATTAAAATTAGAAAGATCATATCATAGGGAACATGTGAAGTTTCAAGTTGATTGGACTTCAACTTCATCAAATACTACCTTGACCAAAAACTTTAACCTGAAGCGGGACAGATGGACGGACAAACGGACGCAGAGACCGAAAAACATAATGCCCCTAGGTGGGGCATAAATATGGAAAAATGAAAATAAATATTTTCCAATTTTGATCTGGATACTGTAATTTGGTCATAAACAAGCTTTGTGTCAAAATTTCATGTAGGTTTGACAAAGATATTGATGTCTAAAAAAAACTTTTAACCACACACTGAACCTAAATGTTGACGCCGCCAATGGAATCTAGGATTGCTATGTCTCGCTTTTGCAAAATAAATTTTGCAGGCTCGACAAAAAGAGACTGCATTACCCTGAAGTTTCAAACTATTTTAAACTATTTTTTTTTAGTAAATAAGATAATTTATACACTCCAAACAAAATAAACTGGGCTGCATTAGTCACCGTGCATAACGTAAATAAAATATCTTTAAATTGTCTTTAGACAACATAAGTAATATGATATTGAGCAGCAAAAACTGTAAAATTGTTTTTATGTTCAACAATAAAATTTGAAAACATTTGTTATACTTAATGTATCTCTCTACCTGAAGCAGTACTCTTAGTCGTGCAATATCAGTAGATATACAGTCGCATGCATTGGTTGTCAGTCTGATTTTATCTGCCATCATAGAAGTACAATCAACTTTCTCTGAAGACAGATGAACAGTGTAAAGTTGCTAAAAATAGAAAACAATATCAAAGATAAAAATTATTAAGAAAATTGACATACTAAAAAAACATTTCAAAAAGAATAAATCTGTTATATCTTAATATAATAAATTTATAGAGTTGTTGGTACAGTCAGTTACGTTGATTTATAATTGGTTGATAGTTTCCTATAATCTTAATTACCAAGAAATTGGAATTATAAAATGTTGCATAAAACCCTTATAAATTCATTCAATTGATCAACCAACCTAAAGTATAAAAATTAATTATATAACAATAAAGGATTACAGGATTGTTCAATGGCTGGTTCATTTGCCATATATTTTTAAGCTACAATATGTGGTCAGATTTTCACATTTTGTACACAAAGATATTTTAGCAGTGTTATATGTTACACTTTTGTACTATCTTTGTGCTGAAAGTAAGTAATATTTACCTGGAAGTATGCAATTGATTTCTCTAGTAGATCTAAAGAGACTGTCTCATCTAACTGCAAGTAGAAATAATGTAAAATAACTATAAAATATACTATACAATGCTGGATAGTAATTCATTTTGTCCAAGAAGTCCATCCATTTTATGCAAGGTCAACAAAAAGCACAGACTTACCCAAGAAGTGAAATTACCATGCTTGACTTTAAGATGATGAAGTGTAAATACATACACTTTTAACACATAATATGGTTCATATTAAAATATTTTAAATTAATAAGCATAAACACATTGCAAAGGCTTTTAAAATGTTACTATTGATAATAAAATTCTTAAAATATTTAAAAAAAAAATATTAATGAAACATCCCCCAAAATATTCATTATCAACCAGTATTAATAAGAAGAAAATTGAACAGTGATTAAACAAGACAACAACAGTTCAGTAAAGGTATTCCAATAGGAAAATCAAAATCTGTTTACATACAACATACTTTTAGAATTTGTTTTATTACTTTTCTACTGTATAAAATACTGTTTGACTGGTTAATAATACTCACAATACGAATGCACTTGTTGTTGTGCTAAGCATATCCCAACTCTTAATCAAAGTATAGGAAGAAGGTGTCTGACAGATTTGAAAGTACACACACATTACTATTAATCACTATTGAGCTGCTGACCAAATATGAAGTCATTCTGTCCCGTAGCATTTGAGAAAACTGTGATAAAAGGATTCAAAGTTCATTCAACATATTGAAAAATATAAAGTATCAGCCAAAAGGAAGAAGTTATTGGTCAGATCCAAGAAGTGCTCGTCACGGTCAAGACACTAACCAAATGAAATAATTCTGTTTAATAGTTTCTGAGAAAAGTATAGCAAAAACATTTTGCTAGACGAATGGAATGGACAGACAGACGGACAGGGTGATTGCAATATATCCCCACTATTATAATGGGGGTAGAATCAAGGCTTCCAAAACGGTCATATATGCCGGACATTTGTATAATGTCCGGTAAAAGTCCGGCTGGGCAAAGCATGAAACGGTCATCTACTTTTTAGTTTTCAAGGCTTTCTTAAGAGACGGTCATTTTAACATAATTCACGATCTTTTTGACCCAACCTTTTGTCTTTAACAGCCACACATTTCCAGTCATAAAAGTGACATGATCATTATGTACTATCAAAATAACCCCTACTTTAATACCTTCTCATTTTAATCCAAGCTAATTAGTTGTCGAACAGCTGAAATTTACCTGTTAAGTTGACAGGTATAAAACTATTTTGAACCGGACATTGATCGGTCTATTCAAAGTTATTTTTTTACATTTCAGCGGTTTGCATCTAATTAATTTAGTCAAAAAGATTAAAATGATCAGAAATACGTTTACAAACATGATTTGATGAAAAAATTAAAAAGGTGAAAATGAAAAACCGTCATAACCACGTTGTTTGAACCAGAGACATGTCTCTGTTTGAACTAGTACACGTGTGCGCATGTGTGAAATTTAATTATGCATCATAATTTCTTCAAAAAATGCTTAAATTGTCATCGATACCTTTATCTCACGTTTATTTCGAATATTTTCTTGAAAAAATAACGTAGAAAGAGCTACTTACACTCATTCATGCTTTGCAAACGTACACGGAATTTACGTATCCGTCTCTGGTCCATGTTTTACCATTGTCAAGATAACATCCGGTATTTGTTTTAAGAACAAAAGTAAAGTTTTTGACAACGTTATTTTGCACAAATAAAGAGTCTAAGGCAGATATAAGTACGCTGATGTTGCACACTTCGAATGATGCACTGCCAATTTAACAGTTTACGTCAGAACTTCGAATTTGAATCAAAGAAAGTTTAATATCGTTTTTTTTAATGTCAATCATTGGGATGGCCCAACTCGGCAACTGATTACCATAATTGCCTTTTGTTTATTTAGTCTTTAGGGATTAAAATCGGGATAATATATAAAATGTCCGGCTGGCTCAAAAATAATTTTGGAAGCCCTGGGTAGAATAATAATAATATAATATGTACTATCTTTCAGAGTTCTATTTCTTCTTGGCAAACTACCAGCCAACTTACAGTGTCCTTTCTCAGTAGATCTACAAAATAATCCATCGACTTCTCATGGGCATTCATTTCTGGTAATAATGTTCCTATCTTCAATAAAAGGTCTGTACTACAAGTGTTCAGAGCACTGAAAAATACAAGAAAAGAGTTATGCAAAAACAAACGTATTATGCTGTGGTATTGCATGTATAATCTGATTGAAATCTCTGCAAAAATGTGAAATCCCTTTGGAAAATTAGCAAAAACCCAAATCATTAATCATCATATATTTTATGATTTATAAAAAAAAGATGTAAAATATTTACCTTGTTTTGAAACAGATTTCTTTAAAAATAAAGTTCAAACAACCACTTACCTTTCATATTGTCTAAGAATAGCCTGTAGTGTACTCAGCATTAGTATAACATTGTTACCAAAACTACTCTGTTCAGCCTTATGACTTTTCAGTACTGTCTCTCTATTAATTCCTTCTGTCAATTCAAACTGAAAGTAAACATAGTCACAGAAATTACTCATTCTATTTTTTATTACCATCAAAACATCATCTAAAATAGATTTCAAGATATTAAGATTGTTTTTTCAAGTGGCCATGGGTGTAGGTGGGGAAGGATAATCAAAAAATGTTTGCAGTAAGTGGGATACACATAATCAGATATCCTAATTTCTATCCACTGGCATTGAGATTATCCCATCCCTCAGCATCAATGTAAAGCTTTCAACTGTGCCTCATGCATATAAGAAGAACCTAAGGAGGTTAAAATTATAATGCATAATGTCTTTGTATAGAATGTTAGATAACATTTTTTTTCTATTCTTAGGGTCTTTCAATGACATTTAATAATTGAATGCTGTTAAAGGGCATCAAAAATGATTTGCTCTTTAGGGAGAGGAAAAGTATCAGAGCAGTATCTCTGGAACGAGCCTTAATGTCTAATACTGTCAATAGAATAAAAAAAAAAAAATGTGGATAGTGTCCACATGTGGACACAGATGATGCCCCCGCTTGCATATCATAGTTATAAAGGGACATAACTGAAGAACGGTAAAAGTGACGCTACCCAAATTTGAACTTGATCTGAGTTTTGTGGTAATAAGCATTGTGTGTAAATCTCATAACATTTGGTTGAGGCTAACTTAAGTAGAGAACAGAAACTAAAAATCAGCAATTTTTCTATTTGTAAACACGCATAACTCTAGAACGGTTGTGTATAAGTTTTATAACATTTGGTTGAGACAAACTAAAGTTAGAGAACGGAAACGAATAATTCAGCAATTTTTATGTTTATAAAGGGACATAACTCAAGAATGGTAAAAGTGTAGCCACCAAATTTTGTACTTTATCTGTATTATGTAGTAATAAGCATTGTGTATAAGTTTCATAACATTTGGTTGAAGCAAACTAAACTTAGAAAACAGAAACAAAAAATTTGTACTTGATCTTAGTTTTGTGGTAATGAGTATTGTGTATAGGTTTCATAATGTTTGGTTGGGGCAAACTTAAGTTACAGAATGGAAACTAAAAATTTTGCAATCTTTCGATTTATAAAGGAGCATAACTCAATAATGATTAAAGTCACACTACCCAAATTCAACTTGATCTGTGTTTTATCAGTGGAAGTCAAAATTAAACATTGCATTGTATAAAGCATTGATTGTAGTTGATTCAACTATGATCATGGACAAAGGAAGATAACTCCAATTTTAACAAGAGTGCACACGCTGAAATGTCTCGCCTTCTTTACTAATCATTGATATTATGTTGATAGTCCTAAATATAAAGCTTTATTACAACTGTCACATAAACTTAACATTAACCAAGTAAACTAAACATTGACCAATGAACCATGAAAATGAGGTCAAGGTCAGATGAACCATGCTAGGCAGGCATGTACAGCTAACAATTCTTCCATACAACAAATAGAGTTGACCTATTGCTTATAGTTTAAGAAAAACAGACCAAAACACAAAAACTTAACACTGAGCAATGAACCGTGAAAATGAGGTCAAGGTCAAATAAAACCTGCGTGACTGCCAAATAGATCATAAAATATTTCCATACACCAAATATAGTTGAACTATTGCATATAGTATAAGAAAAACAGACCAAAACACAAAAACTTAACTATAACCACTGAACCATGAAAATGAGGTCAAGGTCAGATGACACCTGCCAGTTGGACATGTACACCTTACAGTCCTTCCATACACCAAATATACTAGACCTATTGCTTATAGTATCTGAGATATGGACTTGACCACCAAAACTTAACCTTGTTCATTGATCCATGAAATGAGGTCGAGGTCAAGTGAAAACTGTCTGACAGGCATGAGGACCTTGCAAGGTACGCACATACTAAATATAGTTGAACTATTGCACATAGTATTAGAAAAAAAGACCAAAACTCAAAAACTTAACTTTGACCACTGAACCATGAAAATGAGGTCAAGGTCAGATGACACCTGCCCGCTAGACATGTACACCTTACAATCATTCCATACACCAAATATAGTAGACCTATGGCATACAGTATAAGAAAAACAGACCAAAACACAAAAACTTTACTATAACCACTGAACCATGAAAATGAGGTCAAGGTCAGATGACACCTGCCAGTTGGACATGTACACCTTACAGTCCTTCCATACACCGAATATACTAGACCTATTGCTTATAGTATCTGAGATATGGACTTGACCACGAAAACTTAACCTTGTTCACTGATCCATGAAATGAGGTCGAGGTCAAGTGAAAACTGTCTGACGGGCATGAGGACCTTGCAAGGTACGCACATACCAAATATAGTTTTCCTATTACTTATAATAAGAGAGAATCTAACATTACAAAAAATCTGAACTTTTTTTTCAAGTAGTCACTGAACCATGAAAATGAGGTCAAGGACATTGGACATGTGACTGACGGAAACTTCGTAACATGAGGCATCCATATACAAAGTATGAAGCATCCAGACCTTCCACCTTCTAAAATATAAAGCTTTTAAGAAGTTAGCTAACGCCGCCGCCGCCGCCGCCGGATCACTATCCCTATGTCGAGCTTTCTGCGACAAAAGTCGCAGGCTCGACAAAAATTACTTGATATTTAGAAGAAAATAAAAATTTTGCAATTTTTCCATTTATAAAGGGGCATAACTCTAGAACGGTTTAAGTGACGCCACCAAATTTCAAACTTGGTCTGTGTTTTATGGTAATAAGCATTGTGTATAAGTTTCATAACATTTGGTTGAGGCAAACTTAAGTTAGAGAACGGTAACAAAAATTTTTGCAATTTTTCCACTTATAAAGAGGCATAACTCTAGAACAGTTAAAAGTGACGCCACCAAAATTCACCACTATGGCGGGGGCATAAAAAACACATTACCTTGAGTAAGTTCAATTTTATGATTTCCTAAAAATTTCTGTTGTAGTTAAATGCAAAGCAATGTAAACAACCTCATGATTTAGTTTCATATTAACAGATTCTTACATTATCATTGCTTATCAGTGTTGATTTTATATCTTTTCTGCTAAAACATTATTTGGTAAATGTTTGTGTTCCATTACTTGCTTTTCTTCCAGTTTCTAAAACTTATACAAATAAATAAGAACTCTGCTGACTATCTACCAAAACTATTGTTCATGAGAAAGACCAAAATATACAGATACCTTTTCCTTGACTTGTGATGACAACATTTCAGCTTTACCAATGATCCTGGGTATCATAAGTAACATGAGTACAGCATCATGATCACCTGTATGAGAAAATATTATATCAATAAATAACAACAACTCTTAAACTTCGCTTAGTTTGTCTTGCAATGGTCAGTTGGTTTCTAATCAAGCTCAATTTAAATAATCTATCAAGAGCTTAAATTTTCAGAAAATCTGAATTTGATTAAAAAGTTATAGCAATGAAGACCAACAATGACAAGTATATACCTACGTTCCAAGTAATTTTTATATTACATGTTTTAAACATAGTTTTAACAACTGACGGTATCTTAAATATAAAATATACTTCAAACTGAAAATATTGCATAATAATGTTTAAAAAAATATTTCTGAATATTTGTCCTCATTTTTCTATATTTCAGAAAACCAAAACATACATGTTTTTTTAAAATCAAAACTGAATAATTTTAGGCTTATCATGAAATAGTTTATCATATGTCCATATGAAACAGTTTTTATGGTCCCTCATGGACTGTACACAATTTCTTATTATAAACAATTGAACATAAAATGTATTCAGAATTACCTCCCCTGTTAACAAAGAAATCAGGCATAAAAGACTGTAACATGGCAATATGTTTATTGGCTTGTGCTACCTCTAACTTCCTTAGCTCCATGTCAATTGTCTGAAGATAACAAATATATCAATTTATTATGCAAATAATTTAATAATATCTTTATGGTTGCTAAACATTTTTAATTCTGAAATCATTTCAGATGATACATATTATGTTAAAGTTCATGTACCGGTAAAACACTTTCTGAAACAATGTTTTATTTCGAAAAATGATATACTCATTAAAGTTCATCGTCAAACGATTGTAAACCAACTATTTATCACAAGTATGTCAAACTTGGATCTTCTTTATTATAAATACATCAACAAATTTAGAATGATATGAAAATAAATCACTGTGAAATCAGCTAGAAAAGCAAAACACAAAAAAGTTGGTTTACAGAACTCCACAATATATACGGGAATCATTTCTACATATACAATATAAAAGTAAATACTGTTTTTTTAAAACTATTTAAAAACTTTAAAATACATAAAAACACACAAGTTGAATCAAGATTTAGTAAGTTGTAAACAAAAGCCTATCCCTCAACCTTTTTTTTTTAAAAGGTGAAGATGACCTATTTATTTGAAAGATGAAATCATCACTACAAATATACATACTAAAGATGTATCTACATGATGAAATGACAAAACTTTGACATGAGGTTGCTTTGAATTAAACTTTAATTAAATAAACTATCAAGTTATAATCAAGCATAAAAATCCTGTCACCTAAATTTCATTTGAACCATAAGGATGACCTTATTTTCATCTGAACCATCATTACTCAGAACTCAATTACTTAAGAAATATTTACTGATAAAACATCATCCCACTATAATTTATATTAACTTTAGATCTGGACTAATGCAAAACGAAAAATATAAGCATAGTCATTTACGCACAGAATGTAGGTCAAGGTGTCTAAATTTTTGCCCAGTACGATTCCATTAGTTTTTGTTTCTTACCTTGATTTGTCTTCTAAATTGATTTATGGGATTTTAACATCAGTAAAGTACTGTTGCCTTAATCTATTCATGAGATGACAAATGTCAAAAGATATAAATAAATCATAGTTCCTTAAGATCTTGAAAATAACATAAAACTTTAAATATCAAGACACACAAATGCACAGGATGCAGGTCAAGATGACCAAATTTTGAATGTATGAACTGTCATTTTTTCAAAAATGTGTGCACTTACAAATATCATTCCTAGAAATTTTAAAGCTGCATAGTTCTGAACCTTATCATTTAGTTTGTAGCTGTTTCATTCAGAACCTCACAACAAAACTTAACAAGTGTTATTCATGTGTAAAATGAAGGTCACATGTTCTGACTTTTGTATGTACCTTTTATTCTAAATGTTGTGTGCAAAAACAAAATTCATTTCACTAATGCTTGTTACTATTTAGATCTGTAACATTCCCATAAAAAAACAAAGTCAAAAACAAAATGTATGTCAGACTGACTATAAAATCTTCTTTGCTTAAGATACCGGTATATAAACCAATGCATGCACCACTGGACAAATGTAAATTCCCTTTCTCAACTTTTTATAGAGGGCCTACAAGGTAATATGACTGTATTCATAATAAAACGAGACTTAGTTGGAAGTTTAATATAATTGGAAATAGTACACCTTCATTGAGGACTACATTAATAAAAAAAAAATATGTTTTCAACCTGCATTCATTTTGAAAGACCAGTAACCTCAAGCTTTGGTAAGTATTGTCTCTCCAAATAAAAAAGAATTTATGAATTCTGATTACTTCTGTAAAATTTGAAAGCCGAAATTCCAATGATTATAACACAGTATATATGTTGAAATTTGAATATGCACAAGTGATATTTTCTGTAAAAATCATGTATATTAAATCATGACTTGCAACTGTTGTAAAATATTTCAATTTTAAATCTTAAAATGTAATATTCTAATTCATTTGGAGATATTCAAGATATAGGTGCATTTTTCCCCATTTAAAAGCTATCCTATCAGCTATGTATGTTAAGGCATTGTTTCAAAGCAAGGATCTATACTTCCAAGTTTACCTTTGAAATAGTTTCATAATCCTAAGTGGCAAAATATACATTAATTCTTGATGAACATGATAATTTAAATACAACTCTAATTGTCATATAAAAGTTCAGATAGTTCAATGCAGTTAGCAAATAGTTGGCTAAAAATATATATTACTAGCTTCACATAGCCTTTTACTTTCAGTATTACATTGTGAATATAAGCTTCAAATTACACACACGCACACACACACACTGTGCAGTGAATTGAAAATCTACATTTTAGTAAATTAATATGCAGTCAAATGGTTGCGTTTAGTGAGGGATATAGACTTATGTAAAGCCCCAAATTACACGATCAAATATATATAAAGATTTTTTTTTATTGCCTTATTTCTAATGAATTTGCACTTTTCAAATCTAACATATATTTATTCAGCAAATCCTAAACATAAAAGAATACGTTAATTTAATAGAAATTTTTTGTATCAAAAGTCCCAACTATAAATCACCTTCATCAACACTGCATCTAAATCAGATTTTAATTCTGATGTTATTATAAAAATAAAAATAAAAAGATGTGGTATGATTGCCAATGAGACAAATATTCACCAAAGACCAAATTATGTAGATGTTAGCATCTATAGGTTACCATACCTCCTTTAACAATGAGCAAAACTCATACCTTATAGTAAGCATAATTTAAAAGTTTCTGTCTAGATTTAAGAGATAAAATATCTGAATGACGTTTACTTCTAATCAAACACCCTACACTTAAACAACTGAAGAGAACAGTATTAATGTAAATAATCTATCTATTAAAAATTCACATATTTTTACAAAGTATTAGCATAAAACTATTATCAAAAATGTTAAAATTATACCATCATATTCTTCTGTAAATAAAATAAGAATTAAGTGAAATAAATATTTATAAGTTTTTTTTTCATTACATCAAACAGCCATACTTTAATATTCAATGTAGAAGTTTAAATGAAATAACTGAACATTTCAAAACAAAATTAAACTTACTATATAGCAGGTATAATAATGATACATATCAACCATTTATAATGTTAAAGTCAAACAAAATGATAGAATTGTTTTTGGTTAGCCAATCGTACATAGATATGAAAAATTAGTGTAGGTGTATATGCATATTAAATACATTTTTGCATGAAAAAACACTAAATATGAATAACAAACCTTTGCATAAGCCTTAGTCTCTGCAAACTTAGCCTTGAAATCAAAAGTTTCAATGGTTGGAGTGGCTTCTTTCTGTCCAGCTTCAGCTTGCTTACTTTGTAATTCTCTAATTGATTCCTTTATGTAAAACAAACATAAAAATACATATTAAGATGATAGACCATTTCCAATTGCTACTGTTTGTGATGCCTTGGTTCCCATGAACGCCTGTTTCATATCATGAATCATATTCATACATTCTAGGATTGTTTGCATTAGTTTTTCTAATAAACTTATTACTGAAGGACGCAAGGTTAGTATTCAGTTATTATGTAAAATCCTATGTAGTTTATACTTGTATTAAACTCCTACCTCTGAAGTATACTTTTTTGGGTGTGTAATTAGTTATTTAAAAGTAAATTTATTCAAAACAGTTTTATTTCAGAAGAAGAATTCCAATATATCTTAAAGAAACCTGTCTTTGCTTACCTTTAGACTGGTAACTAATTCTCTGAATTTACTTATAGTTGATTCATAGTCAGCAATAGTTTCTGATGTAGCATCCAGTTTTCTTTTGTACTATAAAATAAAACTTGATTGAAAATGTAATCTGAAATCAGAGTACTTTGAAATAAATAGCTTCCTTGAAACTTTAAAAATAAATGTATCTTGTGGAAATATATGCATAATGTGCAGGTTAGAAAACTGAAAAATTATGTGTGTGTTTCTTGTTCTGGTGGATAAAAATAAATTCAGACCAATAAGACAGAATAGTTCTTAAGGACATACGATACAGTTACAGTGGAGGTAATGACGTTGATAACGTAAAATGTTGTTTTTCACGAAGTCAAACTGTGAAATATTGGGAAAAGATGCATTTTTCGACTGATTTTAATCATTAGCTTGAAAACGAGTAAATTGACCCCTCTTTTTCATAATGCAATTCAGCGTGATTAAGTATGAAGATTATTTTGCGAATTTTTATGAAAAAAATGACAATGAATTTTTTATAAATTGGATAAATATACTGCAAAAAAAAAGCCATTTTTTTCTTAATTCATGAAAAAATAATAAAAATGAATTATTTTCAAAATACTGTTACACAAATTAAGAGTTTACTTATGTGGCGACGATAATCCAAATGTTTTTACAAAAATCCACTTGTGATTAACTTTTGAAACAAAAAAGTTAGGTATGTCTGTTCAAAGGATAGAACTGTCCTAGAAACCAAAATTTTGAGTAAATGTCTAAAATTTCGACCCTATTTATTTCTAAAAGAAGCACATGAAGGTATATTTTTTATTACATATTTGAATTAACTATGTGAAAAATAGCTCATATCTAAATTTTCTTCAAAAAATCACTGTGGGATCAAAACTGTATCATATGCCCTTAAACATATTTTTTTTATATTTACATGTTTATGAAGGAATATTTTTCTTGTGTATAATTTGGAGTTTAGTATGATGTCCATTATCACTGAACTAGTATACATATTTGTTTAGGGGCCAGCTGAAGGACGCCACCGGGTGCGGGAGTTTCTCGCTGCATTGGACTATAAAAGTGTTTACCTGATATAATTTATGTAAGGAATAGGGTTTAAGGGCTTGTGCAAATAAAAACAAGAGTCCACACGGTCAAATGAACCCTACCAGCAAACATTTTCACATGACGCTCATTCATTACATCAAATATAGTGGACCTTTTGTTTATATTATTTGAGATTTGCACCTAAACAAGAAAACTTAATCTCGATCCATGATCCATGAAATGGGGTCAAGTTCAGGTGAACTTTGTCTGAAGGACATGAAGACCTTGCAAGTATCCAATATACCAAATATACTAATCCTATTTCACATAATAAGTGCGAAAATTATGTGATAAAAAAACTATAGTTTTTTTTCAAGCAGTAGCTGAAACATGAAAATGAAGTCAAGTACATTGGATATATGACAGGTCTTTCATCCCCTGATATATATAGCTTTTAAAAACAAACAGTTTACTCTGTCATCGTCCCAGAATTAGTCTCCTTATGTCTCACATTGTGCAACTTTTGTTGCAGGCAAGACAATAAACAGCTGCGCAATGAGTGCATGATACGCCCGTCACATTTTTTACGAATAAAGTTCAATAACTTCTCAATGTCATATCAGAAATTTGAGAAAAATTAAAGCGAGGTTATCTTAATTGATATAAACCAGTCATCAAAGTTTCATGAAAACTGCTCATAGCACTTTAAAGGTATTGTCCGAAAACTGAAAAATCCCCCCTTTTTTAATGAATAAAACCCCACAACTCAGAAATGTAAAATGTAAAATTTATAAAATTCTAAACAGAGCTTACGTCAATAGATATAAACAATTCACCAAAGCATTTTGAGTTATTGTCCGAAAACTGGAAAATCCCCCCTTTTTTAATGAATAAAACCCAATAACTCAGAAACGTAAAATCTAAATTTTATAAAAACGAAAGGGAGCTCACATCAATAGATATGAACAATTCACCAAAGTTTTATGCAAATTGGTTGAAGCATTTTTGAGTTAATGTCCGACATGTTGATGACGGAAGGACAGACAGACAATGGTATACCATAATACGTCCCGTAAACGGGCGTATAAAAACCAAAGTGGGAAACATGCAGAGTTAGTTAAAGGCACCTAAGATAACTAATTAATTCTATTTGTGGTTTGATCACTTGAGGTTGCGATTAACATCTTTTTTTATTGTTTTTAATAGTCTACCTTGTATTCTCAGACTGATATATAGTACATAAAAAACATCCATAATATTGAAAAATTAGTTTTAATTATTGGAGGAAAAAATGTGACCTATAATTGTTAATTTCTATGTCATTTGGTCTCTGGTGGAGAGTTGTCTCATTGGCAATTATATCACATCTTCTTATTGTTATATTAACAGATACATTTAGCAAAAACAAAGTCAATATAAATTACATAAGTAAAGACAATCATTTACAAGTTGCCATACTGATACTCAATACAATATATATATATACCTCAGCTACTTTACTATTAGCCAGGTCCATATCTTCTCTCAGCTCTAGCTCTGATTCTCTAGCATTCTCCTGTAATTCTTCATTCATTTCATGAAGTGCTTCCTGTAAGAAGAAAAAAAGGTGTAATTTCTATAATTTATTATTTTGGTTTTATATTTTGAAAGTCTAAGATAAAAAAGCAGAAAGTATTACACCATTCCGTTAAAATGGATATTTACATATCTTATTTATGGAATTATATATAAAATCAATGTAATTTTCTAACTGATGCAAAGAATGGGACAGGACAAGCATTGGAATAATTTTCTATTACATCTTGTACAGGAATTAATCATTGTTAATGTAAAAGATTTGATTCTTCAAAAGTTTAAATTTCTATAGAAGTATACATGCAAGAACCTAATTTTTATGCTTAATGAGTTCATCTAAATCTGAAACTTTTGTCCTTTTACATTATCTTTCTCAGCTTTCCTACTGTTTGACCAATACAGACTATAAGGGATGTATGTATAATGTTGTTTCTGGTTTAAATTTTATGAACAGTGTTGTCAGTTAACCTGGAAAAAAATTATGAAAGAATAAGCATTTCTTTGATAAACATGGCTCATCTTACCAAATCAGCCAATTCTTCTTCAAGTGACTGTATCTTATCCTCTAACTTCAGATTTCTCTCTGTCAGAGTTTCTACCATTTCTTCTGCTCCCAAAGCAGCATCCACCTTGTAAAAGTATTCAGACAGATTTAAGTGACTGCTACATTTAATCATCATATGTTTTTATTTTTTACTTGTATAAAAGTCTTGAAGAATATAGAAAGTTTCAGCTGAATTTGATACCTTTTTGGATATTTTGGTTTACACCAGTTTCATATGGCAAAAGAAAAAAAAAATGCAAAATACTTCATTGGGTCCATAAGTTGTTTTTTTTTCTATAAAATAATGGTTATTCCTTAACATTTCAACTGTAATTTTGTAATACTGAACATATTTTGTGTTGTTTTCTCAACCAGGTCATTTGAAATTGGGATTATTGTACAAATATTGTAAAACTTCAGTAAATATGTTTTCTCAAGAGGAAAGGAAAGAAAGGCAATTGCAATGAACTTTGCAATAAAACAGATGCACCAGTGGTGGATGATATGTCCAACTGATGCATATTGAAATATTGTTGCAAGAATAAAATTGTCAAAGGTATATAATCAGAAGTCAGAAAATGGCCATTCAGAGCGTTTTTCTTCAGCATATCATAAGGCATATAAACAATAACTCAGGAAGACCAAATCCTAATATTTTTCAAATCAAAAGGAGCTTATATTCACCAAACAAACTACAGTGTAAGTTTAGAGATAGTTGAGACATGTGAAAAAATGCTTTACATCTGAAGTTAAAGTCCAACAACTCTGGAATTGAAAAATTTTTAAAATCAGAAAGTAGCTTTCAACAATTCAAACAATTGTGTTAAGTTTTCTTTGGAGCATGGGTATAATTATAAGCAATCCTTTTTTATGTGAATGTGATAATAACTATATTATATCATATACCTGATCCTTTAAGTCAATCATCTCAGCCTGGAGAGAAGCCACTTCTGACTGCAACTTTTCTTTATCTTTCTTCAATGCTGTTGACTCTTTTGACATGTCTTCATTTAACTTGGTCTTCCTTGCAGCATCATTCTTCTCTTGGTTTGATAAATCTCTCATTCTGTCAAAATAATAAATCAGTTGTACTTATATCTGCATTATTGATATGCTTCATCACATTTATTTGGGCTCAATGGCTAAATGTACAAGGTTCTGTTCACAGGGAAATATCTGCAAGTTTGCTGATGCTCAAATGCAAATTCAAATAAGCAAAATTAAGCTAGTATATAGTTTACCATTATAAAATATTCAAAACCCAAAACAAAACAGAGCAAAGAAATCTCTTGAAATGCATATGAGCAATGAAAATTTCCCATTTCACAGTAGTTGGACACCTTTTATCTGTATGATTTAAAAAGTTCAATATCTCATCAGAAGGCGCTGTAATGTCTGTCTTGTTTTACTGATCATAATTAATTTTATGTTGAAAGTTTTTAGAATATAGGTTTTATCATATAAACACATTATCAATAATCCATGTAAATGAGGTCAAGGTCAGATAAACCTTGCCAGACAGACATGTCATTTGTCATTTTGGGGCCTTTTATAACTGACTATGCGGCATGGGTTATGCTCATTGTTGAAGGTTGTATGTTGTCATGGTGATCTATAGTTATCAACTTCTATGTCATTTGGTGTCTTGTGGAGAGTTGTCTCATTAGAAATCATACCACATCTTCTTATTTTAATATGTACACCTTACAATCATTCCATACAACAAACAAAGTTGACCTGTTGCTTATAGTGTCTGAGAAAAAGAACAAAACACAAAAACTTTTAAAACATTTACCAATGAATCATGAAAATTGTGTCAATGTCAGATGAAACCTGCTAGTCAGACAATATACACCTTAATATCATACCATACACCCACTGCTTATAGTATCTGAGAAAAGGACCCAATATCATAATTTAAACCTTGATCATTGATCCTTGAAATATGGCAGAGGTCAGCCGTACCCTTTTTGACAGACATGTAGACCTTGCAAGGATCCAAAATATGATCCAAATATAATTATCCTTTTACTCATAACAAGTCAGAAATTCACATGACAAAAAAGAATAGTTTTTTTAAGCAGTTGCTGAACCATAAAATGCTATAGTCTACACAAATCTGTATTTAATTCTTACTTAACAAGAGCATCTCGTAATCTTTCATTCTGTTGTTCTAGCTGTTTTACTTGGTAGTCTGATGCTACACCATCTGTGCCTTAAATAAAATATTTTATTGTCAGTCTTCATCCATTTTAATACTCTAATAAGTAAAGTATCATAAGGTTTGTAAAATGATATGGCTGTTCCATAGAAACATAAAATGGGACCCAAGGAAGGCACTTCAGAATCTCAAATAAGGGTGGGCGTCAAGTACTTTTTTGAAAGTGAAAATGTAAGGGATTATCTAAAATTGTCTCTTTAGGTGGTTACTCATTTTCAAAGTGCCTTCCCCATATAACATGCATCTTTTAATGGAACAGCCCTTAATACAAATCACATGTATTGGCACTATTTTGTTTACAGAGTTTATAACACACTGTATGAATACTAATTTTGAAACTATGCAATGGAGAGAACTTTATTGCAGAATCAATGACCTCTCAAATGGTTCACAAGTCATGATAATTGGTATCTTAACACCAGTTAGTTGCCTGAGTGAACTTACAAAAAAAAATGTTCACCTACCCATCTTGTAGTGGAAAACAGGGAGAATTGATCATCATTTTTGCACATTTGATTCAAAATATGTGCGTCAAAGATAATTCCGAGTTAAATATTTTGCTAAAATGGGTTGAATTTTCCTTTTCCTATTTTCACTCTGCACACTGGAACTAGAAGTATTTTCACTTTAGAAATGATATTAATATTTTATATTAAAATGACTTTTCCTATTTTCACTCTGCAAACTGGAACTAAAAGTATTTTCACTTTATATATATATATTCATATTTTATTTTAAAATGTAACTAGTTTAAAATTGATTTGGAAATTTAAGTTATATATTTGCTGCTTACCTTTTTCACTAATTTCACTTCTGAGTATTTCAAGATCCACTGTCAGTTCTTCTACTTTCTCTTTTAAATTCTCTACCTCCTGTTGTAAACCTTCAGACTGGAAGAAAACAAAAACATTTTGGTCATTAAAATGTGTAATATGATTCATAAAATATATATTATATAGAAGCACAGAACAAATGTTACAGAAAGATAAATGACCTGAAATTGCCAACAAACTGTTTTATTTATATTTAATCTTCAATACATCATTTGAAATATAAATTACTTAAAAGATGTTTCTTAATAACTCATAAAAGTGACTATAAAGCTATAAAACATTTTTTTTCAATTCAAAAGCTCAATGAATATCAATTTTGCCATACAGCTTTACTCTCTCTGCAAGGATTACTATCAAGAAGTTTCCTTAGAAGACTTAATATAGCATTACAATCATACAATTATTTGATGATCATGAAACTATTGGGTTTGATTGTCTTTGTTTTATACATGTACTACAGTAAACTCTTTTCTGACATTAAATTTCCAAACTTACTTTTTCTTCAGCCATTTCTTTATCAAGCGTAGCAATTTCCACTGTTTCTGATAAGTCTGACATTTCATCTTTATAGGCATCAAAGCTCTCCTGCACATCTTTAGCTTCCTACATTTGAAAAAAGAAACAAGAGTAAAAATCATAAAATATCTTGCCAGCTTTATAGATTATAATCAAATTTTATGTTGAAAGTCTTCAGGATGACATTTGGTTGAGGCAGAGTAAAGTTAGAGTGCAGAAACGACAAATTCATCAATTTTTCCATTTGAAAAGGGTAATAACTCAAGAATGACGGAAAATGACACTACCCAAATTCGGACTTTATATCTGTGCTTGGTGGTAATAAGCATTAAGTGTACACAGGCAATTTTTTCCAACGTGTGTTTAACGTTTGTGCTCATAACGTGAAAACTACGTTATTTCCACGTGTGTATCACACCGTTTAAACGTTTATATCACCTGTATTTGACACACACAAGATTCTCACGTGATAATCACGTTTTAATCTGCTCACGTGATATTCACGTTTAATCGTAACGTTATTTTCACATGTAAATTTTTTAACGTGATATTAACGTGTAAATATTGTGTTAATTTCACACGTAAATTTTTAAACGTGATTTTAATGTGTAAATATTGTGTTAATTTCACATTTAGATTTTTTCACATTATTTTAACGTGTAAAAGTTGTGTTATTTCACATCTATATTTTCACATGATTGTGATGTGAATTTCATATTAATATCACATGAATAACATATGTACATGTAAGTGCAAGTTATTTTTGCAATGGCTATGTTGGATTTTCATGTATTCAGTGAATATTTAAGGTAATGCATCTGTTATATAAATTTTACCTTAGTACAACATAAAATATCACCAATTGCAAAAATTGAAGTTGTAAGTGTATTGTATGTTGTTTACTATATAATATAATTCCTTCACATGGGTTATTCTGAATTATTCCTTCACATGGGTTATTCTGAATTAACAGACTAATTAGAAATATACATTGTGCTTTGTTATGCTCTAAATGATTGAGTCTTCCTTTATTCCCTGTTCTATTTTATAAAATCTTCCTTTACTTCAAGTTGACAATGGTTTTCATTAGAATCAGAAGAGGTATATTCTGTAACAAGTCTTTTTAACTGAAATAAAACTCATTTCATGTTCTGATATCTTCTTTTCACAGTCTTGTTGTTATAATGATTTACTGCTGCAGACACTTATTTCCTCTTTTTATTCATAGAAGATGTTTCACTCTGTCAATTTTCCCTGCAAACATAAGAAAAGTAGTAAGAACAAAGAAATTGTAATAATAGCTTATTAATTTTGTTGTTGAATTCTACTGGTACTGAACAAGCTCTAAATAGAAGATGCAAAACTACATCATATGAATGTTTTAGTTTATGATTATTTTATTCGAACAATTGACTTAAATAGGATCAGACACAAGTTTTACTTCTGTATACAATAGGATAATAATATTATATTAAATTGAGTATGCATACATACAAAATTATTTAAATCTAACATGAGTATAAGTTAACCAATTTGAAAATAAAATGCAAGGCTCAGCTTGATATGACTGACCACAGAGGTATATAGACCAATTTGAAAATGGGGCCCAAAATCAGAAATCTAACTAAACGATAAGATTCAGCATATCAAAGAACCTCAAAAATTCAATTTTTGTTGAAATCAAACAAAGTTTACTTTTGGACCCTTTGCTTCTTAATGGGGACCAATTTAAAAACGGGGCACAAAATTAAAATTTTAACTTAACAGTTAGATATCTCATATCATAGAACCAATAAATAATTAAACTTTATATGTCTTCAAACGACAAAGTTTAAATTTGTACCCTAGGGACCTCAATGTGGACCTATTTTAAAAAGGAGGCCAAATCTATATACAAGTAACAAGGTTTGAAAAAATAAAATAAAGACTTTGAATTAAACACAATTGAAATTGGTCAAGAAAAAAGCAGTTTATACATGTACAAAGAATAAACAAAGTGTTATTTTTGGCCCCTAATGCCTAAACTGTTAATATGGTTAAGGCCATAACCCCCAAAATCAATCCAACCTTCCTTTTGAGGTATGGAACCTTGTGGTGTCATAAAGATACATTAACTTAAATTTGCGACTGTATAAATATATCATGTATATTATAAAATCAAGAGTGCACACCCTGAAATGTCTCGCCTTTTTTACTAACCATTGACAATGATTGATATTATGTTGATAGTCCTAAATACAAAGCTGAACTACAACTATCACATAAACTTAACATGATCCAAGAAAATGAGGTCAAGGTCATATAAACCAAACGAGAAATACAAATACATGTAGTATGTACATTTGTACACCTTACAATCATTCAATACACTAAATATAGTTAACCTATAGCTATTGCTAACAGTTTCTAAAAACAGACTTAACCAAGAAAACTAAACATTGACCAATGAACCATGAAAATGAGGTCATGGTCAGATGAACCATGCTAGGCAGATATGTACAGCTTACAGTCCTTCCATACAACAAATATAGTTGACCTATTGCTTATAGTTAAAGAACGGACAAAAACACAAAAACTTAACACTGAACAATGAACCATGAAAATGAGGTCAAGGTCAAATCAAACCTGCAAGACTGATATGTACATAATAAAATATTTCCATACACCAAATATAGTTGACCTATTGCATATAGTATTAGAAAAAAAGACCAAAACTCAAAAATTTAACTTTGACCACTGAACCATGAAAATGAGGTCAAGGTCAGATGACACCTGCCAGTTGGACATGTACACCTTACAATCATTCCATACACCAAATATACTAGACCTTTTGCTTATAGTATCTGAGATATGGACTTGACCACTAAAACTTAACCTTGTTCACTGATCCATGAAATGAGGTCGAGGTCAAGTGAAAACTGTCTGAGGGACATGAGGACCTTGCAAGGTACGCACATACCAAATATAGTTATCCTATTACTCATAATAAGAGAGAAATTAACATTACAAAAAATCTTAACTTTTTTTCAAGTAGTCACTGAACCATGAAAATGAGGTCAAGGACAATGGACATGTGACAGACGGAAACCTCGTAACATAAGGCATCTATATACAAAGTATGAAGCATCCAGGTCTTCCACCTTCTAAAATATAAAGCTTTTAAGAAGTTAGTTGAGGCCGCCACCGCCACAGCCGGATCACTATCCCTATGTCGAGCTTTCAGTGACTAAAGTCGCAGGCTCGACAATAAAAACTACATTTATTGGATTTGAAGGAAGAAGTGATGAAAAGGCAAATGAGGATGAAAATTGAAGTTTTGAAGGTTGAATCCAAAATATATTACCATACCCAATGAAATAAGAAACTGCTTAGACATTTATATATTTGAATATATATGTACAATGACAAGACTCAATACAAAGTTTACAGTAACACTGAAGAAAGACAAAATCAATGCATGCCTGATACAAAGTTTACAGTAATTCTGAAGAAAATTTTGTGACGGTCAGATTGTCGGGACAAAAACAATAATACAAGTTCTCTTGGTCTCCTTAGATAATGAGGCTGCCTGGACAAGCTAATATGTAGCCTTTATTTATATCTTTAACCTTTTAGTCATTTCAGGATATCTGCTAAAGACCGATCTTTGGTAATCTCGTTTACATGTACCCGGTACATAATATTCAGGAGCAGAGACAATCAAATTTGAATTGTTTTACATTTGTCATTTAGTAGCCTTTTATAGCTGTCTATGCAGTATAGGTTTTACTCATTGTTGAAGGCCATACAGTGACCTATAGTTGTTAATGTCTGTATCATTTGGTCTCTTGAAGAGAGTGTCTCATTGGCAATCTTACCACATCCTATTTTTTTTACATTTGTATTGACACTTACAATGTATATTGAAGTCTTTGTTTTAACCAAAAGATGCCTCTACTGGTTTTGTTGTTTGTTCAGGTGCTGATTCATTGAAATATAGACGACATTTCTTTTCATTTATTTATCTCAATCGTTTGACCGTTACAGCCAAGTTAATCAAGTATAAAATAAGTATATAATACCTGCTGCTTTTACTTCTTCTCCTTATTCATGTGTTATTGAAAAAGTACATTTCCTTTGTTAATTTCATTTTTTTCCCCAATGAGCTCCTCAACAATTTCCTCTGTTCATTAACTAAGAACTTGGGAACTTGCTGTATCCCTAAAAACATATCAAATTATTCAATTGATGGAAAAAAATCTTTCATTTTTATATTGGTATTATTTATTACACAATAGAAATATTACTCTTAATTATTTGTTTACATGTAGCTTAAGTTTGTAGTAATGTCATAAATGTGTAAGCTAAACCAGAGACATATATACACATATATGTCTCTGGCTAAACATAAAATAAAACATAGCTGTTCAAAGCTGACTGACATGATATCATCAATTAGATTTAACCCCCTGAAGTACAAATTAAGGAGAAATTACAACTAAAAATATCGTTTAACAAGAGAAGAGACTTATCCTGTCATCAAGACAAAGATTGAAGAATCCAACTAAATCCCACATCTCCACTATTTCACCCCCAATATAAAAAATCCCTTTTTTTTAACCTCGACATCCCACAACCCAAAAGCGTGTCATTCCCCTAATGTTAACCTGCACTAATATCAGAGACAGATTTAATGTGCAGCCCCCCCCCCCCCCCCCCTTTTGTGGGCTTAATCTTAGGCAGTCAATGCCCCCTTTTGTTGGCGCTGTTTTAACTAAACTTTACGGTCCTACTAAAAAGCGCCCGGGAGCGCCCGGGAAAAGAAAAAGCGCCCGGGGAAAAGAAAAAGCGCCCGAGGAAGAAAAAAAAGTGCCCGGGAGAATAAAATAATAATATTTTATAACAATAAATGTTTTCCTGAATAAAAAAAAATAATCACTGCTTGTTATGTCCTTAATATAACTGGGGATATGTACGATGCTACATCTAAAGTGTGTAGATAGTGTTGTTGCTGGAATTGGCAGACTTTGAGATGTTCCTCAGAGACAAAAATGTGAATTATTCATGCAAAGGGTGTTTTTCCCATGACCAGTCAGATGAATACACATACACATCAGCTTTATTACGATTGACAGAGGTGAGATTTGTAATATATTATATAAATAATAGAGAGAAAATAATAAAACTTTTTGTTCAGTCAAAAGGTACGCTTATGGAATTTTAATATTTCATTATTCTACCCCCGTTTTCATTTTTAACAATCATATATATATATAATAAGATAAGACTAATTAACAATCATTAACTGTACACACGACACGCCGATTACGGTAATCCGATTAACCACAATCGTTGATATACAAAATCATTTGTGTGTATTTCATATCTCGTATTTATAAAGAAATTGATTACTTTCAGGCTGGTGAAAAGGGATTTAATTACCGACGATTTTGCAGTAAAAGAGAAAAGGAAATGCTACCCACAATCACCGAAGCTGAGTACAGCGAAGAGAAGTTGGCGGTACACTTGGACCATTTAAACTGCTGTTATAACGATACAATATGAACGAGAATGGTGAGAGATTCTTGGTCCTATAAAGAAAATACCGGAAATCTATATTTATAATAACATTTTAGCTTTAAAATATATAATATAAGAAAAAGCGATATCTGGTTCATATGAAGCATTTGAATTCACTGTCTCCTTTGTCATATAATAAAAGACAGCAAAATAACTGGACAATAGTGAAGTCACATGCTTTCTAAACTTTTATCTATTGTCTATTATCTGAATTTGCAAAATACTTGTCTAAAATTAAAAAAAAATCAATGTGCATAACTTATTTCATCGACACAAAGTTGTCTCATGCCAAAACAATATCTATATATTTTCCCCGGGCGCCTTTTCTTTTCCCCGGGCGCTTTTTTTTCTTCCCCGGGCGCTTTTTCTTTTCCCCGGGCGCTTTTTCTTCACCCGGGCACTCCCGGGCGCTTTTTAGTAGGACCCAAACTTTAGTCTAGCCTTAGGGTAAAAAAAATCAGAAAAAAATTGTAATTTTATCGAACTTACCTGCACTGCATATTATTAAAGTCACAAGTACACAGTACAGTAGAACCGAGACAGAACTTTTGTTTACTTCTACAGTTCCGTCATTGTACAGTACACAGACTCTGTCAGTTTCATATGGACTGGTATCACATTGTCATTGACAAGGAGATTGCTTGCCAAAAATAACCGCGGGAAATACCGCGCACCTTGAAAAATTTCGGAATCGGTGTGTAACCCAGAAGCGGAATCAATTTATTAACATTGTTTTGTTATCCAGCTGGTACCTTGATATAATTTAAATATTTAATTTAATTAATTATTTGAATATTTAAACATGAAATACAATCGGTAAATTCAGTTTAAATGAGAATTGATGTGCTTCGTCTCTCAGAGAATTATCCTGTACGGTTCACAGAAACGAGCGTCTAAGACGACACATTTGGACGACACCAATTTTGACACCACAGTAGTGGCAATGGAAAGTAATGCAGATACTCTTGAAGATATAACAGGTATATTTTATTTCACAACCCCTTTATGAAGGTATGTGTACAATAGTTGATTAAAACGTACCATTCCCTGAACAAATACAGTCTTCATAAAACACTTGACTGCCTGAAAATTGGAAAAACCCGTCATAAACTTTCAAATTCCTTTAAAGTTTAAATTTAAATCATTTAGGGCCTATGGTTTGTGACTTGTGAGTCCTTTTTCATTAAAATTTTACTGTCCTGACAACATTTATACATGCCTGGGCCGTATGATTTAAATCATTTTTATGAGTTAATCATGAAGACCAAATGACCACACTAATACCCAACTTTTGAAAGAAATTACCACAGGCACTAACATTTTGTATATAATTTAATCTCTGTAAAAAATAAATATCTTCTTTTAAGTTTTAAACTGAGTTTTATTGTGCGTATTGCTGTGTGTTTCTTTATTCTACATTGGCTAGAGGTATAGCTTATAGGGGGAGGGCTGAGCCTGAGATCTCACAAAACATGTTTAACAATGCCGCATTTTTTTGCCTCTCCTAAGTCAGGAGCCTCTTACCTTTGTTAGTCTTGTATGTTTTTAAATTTTAGTTCATTTATATGTTTTGGAGTTTAGTGTGACGTCCATTTTCACTGAATTACTCAATTACTGAATTAGTACACATTATTATGGAGGGGCCAGCTGAGGCCCACCTCGGGGTGCGGGATTTTCTGGCTTCATTAAAGACCCATTGATGGCCTTCGGCTGTTATCTGCTCTTTGTTGGGTTGTTGTCTCTTTGACATATTCCCCATTTCCATTCTCAATTTTACTCAGACTGACTCAGAGACACATCATACATGTTGTCATATATAATGTCTCTGATTTACTTCACAAATATAAAAGAGAACTGAAGTTAGTATTTATAGATAAATTATTTTATATTTATATATCTATTCAAAATAAAATTATGAAAAGAAAAGTAGAGGCATAAGGGTGCTATAAACAGTTTCGTATAAAAAACTAGGGGTTATTCCCTGACTAAAAATAACCGTGGAGGGAAATCCCTTTTTATTCATATAATTGGTGAAAAAGTATCATGTTTTTTGTATTCGATTGTAAAAATTAGTTAATTAGCTTTCAAATTAAACAGGTTGAATGATTAAAATAATTTTAAAAATTAGATTAAATATTCATGTTTTGAGGGGAGACAACACTGTAAACATCCTGTTTTTTTGGCAGTGAAAATTGAAAACTTATTTGCAGCCCCTGTAGCTCTTTTCGAAGCAGGAAACCGTACCCTGAAACAAGATTTTTATTAAAGGCCAGGTAAAAACCTGTGAATTTCATACAGTTTTGATTATGGGAAATGTGCCTGTATCATGTTTACATGGGTATGCACATGACCTGATTTCAGGTTTTTTATGTTCAGATTAGGCAACTTTTTCCCCATTTTCTCTGGATAGAACTTTTTTACTATATTAAAAGTACAGTATATTTTTATTTCAATATAAACTAGAGAAAATTCTGATTCCAGTAATATCTAGTTTTATACAAGTATCTTTATTAACCATTCCACCACTAAGGGTCACTTAGGCATGGTCCCTTAAAATATGACGTCATAGAAAAAAACTGTTGATTGCACCCTAATTGGGATTTTTTTTAATGTCAGAATATCATGGATAAAGCCAGAGGATTCTGAATATCTGGCAAAGACTCAAAAACATGAGGAACGAACATCCTTAGACATAAATATATGTGGGTTTTGATTTTTACAAGACTTCAATAAATAAATAGGGGCTTTTTAACATTCAGCTGCAGGTACTGAGGACCTACATGTATTGATCACTTACACTTATCTGTCTGGAGTGGTATATAAACTTCACATGTCTCATAGACATTCACCACATAACTCATTTTATTTCACCAGTTAAATATATGTCAAGATTGTTCATGATCATAGAATGACACTTGCGTTAATTATCAGGCAATTACCTTTCATTGTTCCACTTATTAATATTTACCACACAATTTTGGTAGTTCACTGTAATGTTCTAATTTAAAGTTTGACAGACTATGACAATAACTGTGTGTGTAAAAAAAAATACTTAAAATTTATGCATTTCTTTTTTCTATATGACAGATAATAAGCAGGACATGAACGAAGTATGGAGGATCTGTTTGAAAATTCCAGACATGAGAAAGAAAATGACAGGGGTAGATGTCCAGTTCAACGTTACCAGGACAATTCAGCAAAGTTCCAACATATATGTATGCACTATTTCCATTCTATTAAATGTAATGCATTTAACAAAACAGTGTGCTTTAAAAAGAACAACATGCCTTTTGGCTTACAGCATATGTGCAGAGGAAGAATAGATATAATTTGTTGTACATTAATGCTACATATGATATTTAAGTAACTTTGCAGAACAAAATGTTCTGAATGTTAGCATTAAATATTTGCCACTGGACAACTGAAGGACGTTATGTAATGCATACAAAAATTGATAAATCAAATGTAAAAGGTGATAAGAATCGAATATCCATTTAAATGTGTAACCATATATACGGTACATATACAAATGTACCTAAGAAGTGACTAAACAACATGAACAATAGATATATCTTGGAGCTATTCAGGAATTATCTAATAGGGTCTTTTTTTACACCAACCACCCGTAATATAAAAATTTATTTTACTTAATGAAGTATGTTTCTAAAGAAATTCTAAGGAAATTACAACCACCCCAATATAATATGACTATTTGGCATGACATCAGATGCAACTCATTCATTTGTCATTGTTACCGTTAAAAAAATAAAAAATAAAAAATGACTTATAAAATCATGTCTGATTCTACAACATTTCATTTTATACATTAAACAAATTGATATGAATTTGGAGGGCTTGTAATCGTGCAGTCCTATCGCAGCTGTTTATTAAATTTTTAACACACTGTACAATTAACTTGCATAATTGGAATCATTATACCAAAAAAACTACTGTTAATGCTAATAATTAAAAAAAACAAACTAATGGACATTTATTGATTCATTGATGTCTTTATTTTCTCATAATTGAGATATTGCATGATTAATGTTTAGCGCCACTTTTAACACTATGGTGCTATTTTGTGGCATCCAGTTTTTATTGATGGAGGAAGCTGGAGAGAACGATGACCTTTGGTAGGAAAACTGACAATCCTAGTCAATTACGATTGGGAGTTAAGTTCACTTGCCACTTGCGGGATTTGAACTCACAACCTTAGTGTTGACTGGCTGGTGATACAGAAGTTCGACTACTTAGACTACTCGTCCAAGTTGGCCCCATATAATAGAGATATAATAAATATATATATACAAAATTAATTAAATATCACACAACAAAAGGAATGTAAAATACAGAAAGAAAAAATGAAAGTTTTATACATACACACAAAGAAATATTTAAGTCACTCAGCAAAAAATTCCTATGCAATGATGTTAATCTTTAATGATAACATGTTACATGTATATACTGTTCATATTATTAACATTACTAAAGATAATTATGTGACATTTGTTTGTCAGTCAGTAGAAGGAGGCATAATATGTGGACTAAAGTTCATGTTCATGTACATTTATTTGAATATTTATTTTTCCAGAAAAAATCTGAATTGGAGGCAAATATATACTGTCATGTATATATATAAGATGGATAAAGGACATGATACTTTAGCAGTGCTTCAGAGAATCACATTTGGTTACAGAAGTTTGTAGTATTTTGGTTGTAATCAAGTTATTAAGCTGAAGGTAATTTAATAGTAAAACAAGAAATGTTTCCTTATCAAGTATACTAAAATAAAGTTTGATGTTTAGGTCAGAATATGATAAACTTCTTTTTTTTTTGTCTCCCTTTCAATTTACTTGCGTATTTTCTGGCTTTTTGTTGTTGTAAAGTACTGGTAAAAGTCAAAATTTGTTTGGTAAAGCACCATTTAAGTTCAGAACATGTTGTATATAGTATATTAATAATTTAGATAAAATAAAAATAAAAAATACAATTATTTTATCTATCTACCCTATCTTTCTGCCAGGAGACAGCAAATAAGTGTATACATTTTTTGGCTTTATTGTTCAAAAATGATGTTACAAAACATAACCAAATATTGATTAAATCCTTCATACTGCAGGTTATTTCTATACTTGCATGCCTGAAATTAAGATTATAATCTCATCAAACATTACTTTTCAAGTAGATAATAATATATTGTCAATTATATTATAATAATTGAATATTAGAGTTTCAGTAATTCATATATTGTCTTATTGACAGCTCATTCAAATTAAAATATAAAGTTATGACAGTCCGGTAATTGTAGATTTGACCATGTTGACAGCAACAATAGTTTAAAAGATTTTGACATAAAAATTGAACAGCAATCTGAAACTGATGCTCAGAACCTTGAGGAATATCTAGAATTTCATTTTGTTTATAAAAACTGTATACTATACTTTTTGATAGCCCTTAGTAAAACATTTTCTTGGCTTATTTTCATTTTATGAACAATTTCTTAATTCATTGACCCAGATTTAAATAGGAGGCTCAAAGGATTGAGATCTAAAAAAAATCTTTTAAGACTTCCAGATGTATGTATGCCTTTCTTCTCGTTATTGCTTTGTTTGATCCTGTTCCTAAGCACATATTGATGTTATTTTTTTTTAAATTTACAGCTTCATAGTAAAACAGATCTAGGCTACACCTTCACTATTCAAGTCAGACTTTAAAAGAAAGATTTTTTGTTGATAGTTGAACTTGTAAGTAAATACATTAATATCTTATTTGTATATTGTACAAATTAAACAAAGGAAGAACAATTAAGAAATAATTCGCCTTTTTCAGAATCCAGAGGATTATGGGTAATCTAATTGTTCGTACACCAAAATGAAAATAACATTACGTCATTGGTTGAATTTCTATTGTTTAGAACTTTTTAAACCAATCACAACGTTTTGGTGTACGCTTTCGAAAATATTACCCAGAACAGAATGCATTTATTTAGATTCTGAAAGGGCGAATTAAACTGGTGATAATCAATAGAAATATTAAAATGAGGAGATGAGGTATGATATTGCCAATGAGACAACTATCCACCAAAGTTCAAATAAAGTGGATGTAAGCAATAACGGGCAACCATAGAGCCTTTAACAATGAGAAAAATCAATAATGTATAGTCGGCTATATTTATAGTTCAGTCTTTGGTTAAAGTTTTTTTTTATTTATCAATATATGAAACCTTCATCATAGATTATCATGTTGATGCAATTAAATGACATTTGAATAGTAGATTTTAATAATCAAGAGGGGTAGAAGGATTGTGCCTGATATTCATATGATGAAGACATAATCTTTCAATTAGTTTAATTGAGGTCTGGAGCTGGCATGTCAGTAACTGCTAGTAGTCTGTTGTTATTTATGTATTATTGTGATTTTGTTTATTTTCTTTTGTTTCCTATTCTGACATCGGACTCGGACTTCTCTTAAACTGAGTTTTACTGTGCGTACTGTTGTGTGTTTGTTTTTTCTACATTAGCTACATTATTATTTTTGTCTTGCCTTGAAAAAGCTAGATCTAGGGGTGCGTTTCCAGATAACTCCTCCTACAGTTTGAATGCTAGGAATTTTTCACTTTGCTGGCTGTTTGTACATACATTGAAGGTGTGCATGTGGTCAGGGTTTTGATTTTTATTAATATTTGCTCTTTTGGGAGATAGTTGAACTTTGTCATTTTTTGGGTGTAAGCGGATAAATGTTATAGTTATTTTAAAATAACACTTTGCATCTGCGGGGGCATCAATTGTGTCTCCCAGACACAATAATATCTCAAAGAAAGTCCTACATTGACTTTGTTATAATACAGTTACTTCAGAGTGGAGTCACTTTGTCTAGTTTTCATTTCAATTTTACACAGGGAAATCACCACATTGGTTATGATACATATAAAAAAGATGTGGTATGATTGCCAATGAAACAACCCTCCACAAGAAACCAAATGCCACAGAAATTAAGAGCTATAGGTCACCGTACGGCCTTCAACAATGAGCAAAGCCCATACTGCATAGTCAGCTATAAATCACAAATGTAAAACAATTCAAACCAGAAAACTAACGGCCTGATTAATGTACAAAAAAAATTAACGAAAAAAACAAATATGTAACAACAAACAACAACCACTTAACTACAGGCTCCTGACTTGGGACAGGCACATACATACAGAATGTGGCAGGGTTAAACATGTTGGGGGGGGGGGGATTTCAACCCTCCCCTAATCTGGGACAGCGGTGTAACAGCACAACATTAGAACGAACTAAAAAAATCAGTTGAAAAAGGCTGAACTCATTAGATGGATACAAATAGAAATACATACAACAAAAACACAGAGTGGACGTGGACGGGTACTTGTACATCCCAACAACAAAAAGACACTGAGTACAAATCTGAGAGTGCAGATACTGACAGCTAGTTCAAAGCCAATAACAACTTTAAAAAAAATGCATCTAAGAGTAAATTATCAATCAGTACACATCCAACATCCAATGGATTTAGTGTAAAGACATCATAAACAATCAGAGAAAAACATGACCTGGTGCAATGCCAAGATACAGGAAATGACAGATTGTAGATCCATGAAAGTGCATATGTATATAATAATAATGTTCACTAGGGTTGTAAACTATAGTATAGATATATTGAGAATTTTATCACATTGTTGTTTACAAAGCAAAAGCAACACTCATATTAGAAGTAAAATAAAGCTTTCATTATGTATGCTTAAATAAGATAATATTATAACAGTAAATAAAATTCTTTTTTTTATCCTTTCAGATGAAGAAACTTTCAAAAGAGTGGAGCATTTAGAAGACAGAACAATCAAATATTATTTGTTACTATTTCAGTAACTTTTCAAATGTTAACTGTTTAGAATATTCTTAAATATAAATATAATTGAATTTAATGTGGAAAGTGTTTTGTTTTTTTTAACATTTGGTAACATATGCCTCTGTTAGGGACAATTTTTTAATCATAAGCTGATTATTTTTAAATTTGTCATGGTAAACCTGCAAGGGACACAACTCTTGTAGAATGAACATTGTAAAATAGCTAGTCTGTATTGAATTGTTGTTTGGTATACATTTGGTTTTGCATTATTTGTTGTGCAATTTCGAATTCGACTTCTTTTCAAACATTGTATAAATTTAAAATGTAGCTGACTTTGACATTGGTATCCATACTTTTAAATTTTTTATGAATTGTCAAACAAACTCGATTATAAAGCAAGAATTTCAAACAAACAAAAAAAGAAATACTAACAGGAAGATTCGAAAGGTTTCAAACATGTAGAAATAGTCTCATGGTTTTAATAAGATTTGGATTTATATATATATATATATATATATATATATAAGTTTTAATGGATGCTAAACATCCAGCCGCAAATATTACATACATATTCAGGATGATAACAGGTAAATAAAACATGCATATGAGGTAACTGATAATCAATATAAGACAATTTATTGATGTATAACCCACTTTTACAGTACTTTACCATAAAGAACCAGAGAAACATCTTCAAATAGAGATGACCAAGAACAAAAAATGATATGTCAATGAGTGCAACAAAGACAATATTTCATTTTTCCAAGAGGCTGCTTCACATAAAAGTCTTGTTGTATTATCACGTTTATATCACGTGGCTTTATATTTAACGTGAATATCACGTTGTATTATCACGTTGATATTATGTGGATTTATATACAACGTGAAAATCACGTGTGACGAATGTTTATTTCATGTTGTGCTCACAACGTGAATATTACGTTTCTGCTCGTTTCACGTTTTACTCACGTGGTGTGGACAACGTGAATATCACATGATTCCCATGTTAAAATCACGTTGGAAAAAATTGCCTGTGTAAGTTTCATAACAATTGGTTGAGGCAAACTAAAGTTAAAAAGAAAATCAATTTGGGGCGTACTGACGGACAAGAGTAAAACTTAATGCCCAGTCACCTAGTGGCAATGGCATAAAAACATCCTATGATAAAAATCAGTTTTAAATCATGAACAATTCAGTGTAACTTACGATCAATCTTACTCTTAAGATTTTTTGTGAAAAGCTGTATACATTTGTTGTATAATGTTTTAAATTTTCTTACCTTCTTTGCAGCTTGCAGTTGTTGTTGTGTTTCTTTGTGCAATTCTTGGGCTTTAACTTTGTACTCTTGCAGCTTTAATATACAGAGAATTGAGTTATTAATATGAAATTTATAAAATTAACACTATCACATTACATGTATCACATTTCAATGCCAATATACAATTAAAAATTAAATACATAAAAAAATTAAATTATATGAACACTTATAGGTCAATCAAGCTCAGTGACTGGGTAACATTGAGTCATTCACTGGATATGTAAGTCTCTTTCACTTGAAACAGACTGGGCTTGTTTATAGTTTTGATTTTCAACCTGTTTAACCAAATGCAGACAGTCCTTATCTTACATTTGCATATAAAAGGCTTGTTAAGAGTATCAATTTGCAAAATTAAATCATGTTGATTGAAAAATTGGTTCAATGTCCATTTTTGTAATTACATGTGCATAAAATTCTATATATTTATTCCTCCTTTCTAAAAAACCTTACCTGCTGTAACTGTATTTTGACTTTTTCAAACTCTTTAAGCTTTGTTTTATCATCTCCACGCTTAATTTTCAAGGTCTCTAGCTTTTCATTAAGGTCTTTAATCTCGGCCTTTAATCCTTCTATTTCCTGCAGTTGCTGGATGTTTGTTAGACTGCCCTCTGTTGACATACTCAGACTCATACGTTTTGAATCATCGGGCGTAATGCTCGGTCGTTTAGTATCAGAAATGCTACCTTCCATTGACATGGCCATTCTACCTGTATCCATGACAACTTTCTCTGAAGAAAGACTTAACCTCTTGGACTCTTTCGTCATTTGCTGAAAGAATAAATTGAAGAATGTAATAAAAGTTATACATACCATGCTTGATGTTATTTACCTAATACTACTGCATGAAATTAAAATGTTACCATGAGACAAGTATTGACAGCTAAATTCCAAAACAGCTTAAACATTTTACATCATGCTATTAATGGTAAATGGATTAAAATCAATGAATGGTTTATTTGCTACATCACAAAAGTAGTACTTGCCATATCAAATTCTACTGCATCACAAAGTTATCACTTGCCATATTAAATTCTACTACTTCACAAAGTTAACACTTGCCATATCAAATTCTACTATATCCATGATATCACAAAGTTAACACTTGCCAAAAAACTTGAAAAGTAAAAATCTTTTGAAGAAAACTCAAAACCTCTTGTCAGTAATAAATGTTTTGAAATAGAACTATTAAAAATAAAATGTCTATATTTGTATATGTTAATATGTTATTGCCAATAAAATACTTAAAACCTACTGATTACAAAACTGTACGGTATAAGCTTATAAAAGTATCGAGAGTAAAATTATCAAACTTGGTATATCACAAAAATAAGGTTTTTACAAAAAATGGACAGTTTATTTCAACAAGTGGAATTTTGAATTATTTAATGATAACTATACTCTAAGCATTTAGCAATATTTGTAAATATTTAAACACAGTGTATATAACTTGCACAGCACTTCTAAAATATTATAAAATTTAATAGCATCTACTTTTGTTATCTTAAAATATTCCTCTATTGTAGAGAATCAAATAGATATGAAAATTATGGCAACTCATAATGAACAGAAATAGAGTTATTCAAGATTTTTACAGGTCTTCTTTAAGCTTAAGTTCATTTCCAAAAAAGTATCTTTTGTACAATTGTCAACAAGAGTGCACACGCTGAAATGTCTCGCCTTCTTTACTAACCATTGATTTTATGTTGATAGTCCTAAATATAAAGCTTTACTACAAGTAACACATAAACTTAACATGATCCAAGAAAATGAGGTCAAGGTCAGATAAACCAAACAAGAAATACATGTACACCTTACAATCATTCAATAAACCAAACATAGTTGACCTCTTGCTTATAGTTTCTAAGAAACAGTTTTAACCAAGAAAACTTAACATTGACCGATGAACCATCAAAATGTGGCCAAGGTCAGATGAACCATGCCAGACAGACATGTACACCTTACAATCAATGTATGCATTAAATATAGTTGACCTATTGTTTATAGTATCTAAGAAACAAACAAAACCATAAAAACTTAACATTGACCAATGAACCATGAAAATGAGGTCAAGGTCAGATGATACCTGCTAGACAGACATATACACCTTACAATCCTTCCATACAACAAATATAGTTGATCTATTGCTTATAGTTGAATAAAAACAGACCAAACACAAAAACTTAACACTGAGAAATGAGAAATGAACCATGAAAATGAGGTCAAGGTCAAATAAAACCTGTGAGACTGACATGTACATCATAAAATATTTCCATACACCAAATATAGTTGACCTATTGCATATAGTATTAGAAAAAAAGACCAAAACTCAAAAATTAATCTTTGACCTCTGAACCATGAAAATGAGGTCAAGGTCAGATGACACCTACCAGTTGGACATGTACACCTTACAATCATTCCATATACCAAATATAGCATTTTTGCGCCTGTCCCAAGTCAGGAGCCTCTGGCCTTTGTTAGTCTTGTTTATTTTTAAATTTAGTTCATTTATATGTTTTGGAGTTTAGTATGACCTCCATTTTCACTGAACTAGTACACAATTTTATTTAGGGGCCAGCTGAGGACCACCTCTGGGTGTGGGATTTTCTCGCTGCGTTGAAGACCCATTGGTGGCCTTCGGCTGTTGTCTGCTCTTTGGTCGAGTTGTTGTCTCTTTGACATATTCCCCATTCCCATTCACAATTTTATTTTAGACCTACTGCTTATAGTATCTGATATATGGACAGGACCACGAAAACTTAACCTTGTTCACTGATCCATGAAATGAGGTCGAGGTCAAATGAAAATTGTCTGACGGGCATGAGGACCTTGCAAGGTACGCACATATTAAATATAGTTATCCTATTACTCATAATAAGAAAGAAATTAACATTACAAAAAATGTTGACTTTTTTTTCAAGTAGTAACTGAACCATGAAAATGAGGTCAAGGACAATGGACATATGACAGACAGAAACTTCGTAACATAAGGCATCTATATGCAAAGTATGAAGCATTCAGGTCTTCTAGGTTCTAAAATATAAAGCTTTTAAGAAGTAGGTAATGCCGCCGCCGCCATAGCCGCAGGATCACTATCCCTATGTCGAGCTTTCTGCAGCAAAAGTTGCAGGCTCGACAATAAAATCTTAACTGACGGCATTTCTACTTTCAAATCCATGAATGAACATGAAAACTTAACTAACATTGTACAAGTAGTTAACAATTTCACTTATGTGTGGATTAAATCATTTCAACCATAGTTTATTTTCCAGGTCATTAATTTTTCTCAAAGAAAAGGAAAAAGAGTAAGGTGCTCTCCAAAAATTGAATACAAGACATTATAAATATCATTTGTCCAAAGCTTTTCTGGATTTACATTCATCAGGAACACACAAAGCCAAATATTTGAAAGCCAAGGATCTATAAGAATTGAAACAATCCAAAAAGGTCAAAGTTAGTTATTGTTATTTAACTATATTTATTATTATTCGGTGCTGTTAACAACATCCAAGGGAGTTTGTGGTGAAACCATGCTAATGTCATAATTCTATATCAAAGTTATGATTCTCAAATCCATGCAGTATAGTTTCATCTGGTATTATAGTTAGTTAATAAGATGTGATGCATTCAGGAACATATGCATTACTTCAAACAATGCACAATTTCATAATTTTTTTAGTCTTCTTATAATGAAAGCATTTCAACCTTTGTTTTTACTTGGTATTCATTCATTTTCGTGAGTACCAATTTTCGTGGATTAAGAGTAAGTTGAATTTTCTTGGATATTTGATTTTGTGGTTCTACAAAAGTCTTCAAAAAAGCTTATATACAGAAAATTTGTACTTTATTGAACATTTTAATTTGTGGTTTACTTGTACCCACGAAATCTGGTATCCCACGAATAATAATGAATCCACAGTAATACAGTTGACAGTATTATTGGTTACCTGAATACAACACAGAAGAATACAGATTAAAGGTACTTGCACACAAATTACCTTATACATTGCAGGTGATCTGTACATACCCATCTATTACACGAACAAAATAAACTTTACAAAATCACTCGATTACAAGATTGTAACATGCATTCACGAGGACATTCAATTGCAACAAGATAGCATAAGTACAGATTTTGAGTTTTTCTACATTTAAATAATGGAAAAGGAAGGATATGGTGTATTTAATTCATGACAAAGAAATCATAATTCCCAATGGTAAAAACAAAAATTCCAAGAAACAAGACTTTTATTGTTGTTCTTCATCTCAAAATCAGTGAGGATTTTAACATGGAGCAAAAGTTCCCACATAAATTCAAATTTTAAACCTATTCCAAAATCTTAATGAAACATCAAGTTTACCCAATAGTACAGAGAAGAATTAAAACTTAACATGTATGTGCTATACCTAAATCTTATACTAAAATATAGAAGACAATAAGAAAATCATTTGTTTCTGTATGAATTTTTACAAAAATTCTCTCATATTTTTTGAAATACATGCAAATAGTTAGCTGCTCAAGCTAAAACTAACATAAAAACAATAAAAGCACATCCATCAAGCTGGAAGTTTGGTCATTTTAATTAAATGAAGGTTTATGTAGTACAAATTTATCAATAAAAAAAAGACAAACTGACATTGAAATACATGAATATAAACTTCATGTTTTTATTAAGACTACGGACACATACTTTCAAAGAACCTTACAGCATGTGTTTTGTTTATCTGTCATTATCTGATGAAATGCATTTTTTATTTCACATGTCCTGGAATAGCCTGTAAATCAGCTTTAAATTCTTGACTTAAGAAATTAACTGTAAACCTACTAAATTCTTATTCTATACCTTTATATTTATCAATCTTTTCTTGAATAATAAAAACTGACTATTTCCACAAATTTCATGATCATAATTATATTACAAGATTACCTTAGGTAATTCTGATGGTTTTTCAGCAGCTGACAATGTCTCTTTACTACCACCATGACCACGCTGTGGTAATCTTGTCATAGAACCAGGTTTATCTTTACTTAAACTAGGAGTCTGTCCTACACTAGACAAGTCAGATGGTACACTTGGTGCTCTCTTTGGGGTTGCCTCAGCTAAATTTTCATTGCCTTTAATTATAAAGCACAACTCATTCATAAAACTAAGCACAAACAAATTCAATTTTTTATAGTCTTTGGTTAAGATCATCTTCAACAATTAACTAATCTTAATGTAAATAAGATTGAACTACACTGATTAAAATACTTTTACTTTGTTGTAAAAAAAAAAAATTTTTGTGACTGATCAATATTGATAATTAATTCATGTACTACACACATTCCTGAAATAATGAGTAGTTCTGTCAATCATTGGATATTTTTCTATATTTGAATTCTTGAATTACTTATTTTATCATTCTTTTTTAAATCCAATTTACACAATTTGTATTTCATTTCTTACTTTTGCCAGCATAACTAGGAGGCCGAAGACCAGATTTGCGTGCTGACTTGGGTATACCAGTTGAAGCAGGCTTTGCAGGAGTCTGATGAGGCTCAGGTGCTGAAGACTTACTATTATCATCATCAATTGAGACTATCTGTAATATTCAAAATACTGCCTATAAAATATGAATAACATTCTAAAATATTGACCATAACTTTCAGACATATTAAATTTTGTAATTATGGTGTAAGTTGAGACTGCTCATTATAAATGATTTGATACCTACATTAAATTCTGGTAGTTATTTGTGTTTGCTGTTTTTAAGGTAAAGTTATATATGATTACAGTAAATGGGCAATGTCACAGATTTTAGTAAAATTTTTGTTGAACTTTAAACTGAAAATAGAAAAAATAATGCATTTATCTCTTTTATTATCTGAAATATAACTGAATGAATTCTTTCAAAATAGGTGAACATTAGTTAATAAAGCACATAAAATTAGTGAAAAATGTTCTTGAATTTGTCTTAAAATCATTAAATTTCAAATCCATAGATTTTTCTTAAAGGTCAACAATAAAGGTCAGAGATAACTAGAACTAATACAGGATGTACAGATATGTGTATTAAACTGGTTTCTCCCAAACCTCTAGCTTAACTATACTCATTCTCTGTTTTCCCTATTCAGATCAATCTTCATTAATTTAATACAGTCACCACCTATTGACCTCTAGCTTGAAATAATAACAAATCAACTAGAAACTCTAAGTTGCCTGAATCTCACACCTAAATTACTTTGTTTGAAAATAAATGGAGAATGTGTCTATTGGCCGCAGATGCCTTGACCCCGCTTGTAAATATGCACGAGTCAATGTTCTGATTAATGACATTTTCTTTTCTTTTAAAGTTAATGACATATATTTCTACATGTTGTCATTAGAAATTGCTTGCAGGTTTGAGTGCTCTCATTGTTCAATAACATTTGGTTGAGGCAAACTAAAGTTAGAGAACGGTAACAACAGATTTAGCAATTTTTCCATTTATAAAGGGGCATAACTCGAAAACCGTTAAAAGGAGATGTCACCCAATTTCAAACTTGATCTGTGTTATGTGGTAATAAGCATTGTATATAAGTTTCATAACATTTGGTTGAGGCAAACTAAAGATAAAAAACGGAAACTAAAAATTCAGCAATTTTTATGTTTATAAAGGGGCATAACTCCTGAATGGTAAAAGTGACACCACCCAATCTAGAATTTGATCTATGTTTTGTAGTAATAAGCATTGTGTATAAGTTTTATAACATTTGGTTGTGGCAAACTAAAGGTAGATAACATATACCAATTTTGGGGATGTACACGATGGATGTGACAGACAAGGGTAAAACTTAAAGCCCCCTCTGCTACGGCGGGGGCATACAAATTATAAAAACAGTAACAAGTCTTGCAGCCTGTCTCCTTATTATAAATCTTTAAATTTCCAATATATTTTGATCAAGGGGCTGTCAGAGTGGCAGCAAACCTGATTTTCCTGCAGAGGTCAAACCCTGAACAGTTGAGCAAGTATGGACACAACATTTAAGCTTAAAACAGCTCTGAATTTGGATTGAGATTGAATATTCGACACAGCATAGGTTTGAGACACAAAATGAATGTGGTCAAAGAACTGAAAATTTGAAAGTGGACATTTACCTATTATGGTCCAATATCCAAAATCTAAGTACATTGTTAGAATCAGCATATCAACATGATCAAAGAACCCCAAGAATTCAATTTTTGATGAAATCAAACAAAAGTTTAATTTAGGACCCTTTGGACCTCAATGTAGACCAATTTGATAAAGGAGCCCAAAATCCAAAATCTCTAAATACATGGTTAGATTCAGCATTTTAAAGAACCCCATAAATTCAATTTTTGTTGAATCAAACAAAGTTTAATTTTGGACCCTGATTTGGACCAACTTGAAAACTGGGCCCAAAAATCCAAAATTTAAATACAGGTTTAGATTCAGCATTTGAAAGAACCCTATATATATATATATATATTCAATTTATGTTGAAATCAACAGTTTAATTTTGGACCCCGATTTGGACCAACTTGAAAACTGGGCCCAAAATAAAAAATAAATCTGCCACTCCAATTACATGTATAATTTTGTTAGTAGATAATTACCACATGTTAGTTATCTTGATAAAAGGTGGAAATTATTGTATGAATAAATTAATAGTAAATACATTGTCCTAATCCAAATACATGTACAAATATGTATATTTAGTTAATTGTGAAAATCTATTATACAAATTGTGTGTAGTTTTATAGGAATAATAAAAATAGATTATTATCTAATGAAAATGATATTTGCAAATCTGGACCCCCAAACAGGGTCAAGTAAAAAATATTTGCAAATCTGGACCCCTAACAGGATCAAGTAAAAATTAAATATTAACACACACAACAAAAAGAAAATACCACATAACACCTGTGACATCTACCTTCAAAACACACAACTTTAAAAAAAATAGTTATAGAGAAATTTTTGACAACTCCTGGCTAAAATCAATTGAACAGATACAATCATTGATAGACTTATAATTTACACCATTTCTGTTCAAAGTGAAATAACTCAAACAAAAAAACGAGACCAAATGACATAGAAATTACTTATTAATTACACCATTTCTGTTCAAAGGGAAATAACTCAAAATCATTTAATAAGAATCACTTTTGCTACTGAAAGGTTTACAACTCAACAACGAGAACAGCTAAAATCGTGAAAATTGAACTTGACCTTTATTTAGTCACAGGAAACAACATATCTAAATTTGAAAAGATTTCGTCAAAGCGTTTTCATGTTAATGAACAGATACTGTTTGGCAGCCGCCTGGCCGTACACCTGCCCGCCCTCCGTAAATCTCCAAATCAATAACCGATTTTTCTTTCGAAAATCTGGTTAAAAATAATTTTGAAATGCTTACTACAAAATATTTCACCTCGTAGTTTCAGAAGACATTTGAAAATTGACAAATCGGAACCAATGATTGACTCAAATGGCTATGCTTTTTGTTCAATCAGAGCTATATGAAAATAGTTTATAATGATATCTTTATACATCATTGATGTCAAGTTTATTATTCTTCTGCCTATCAGGTATATACATGTAGTAATGCACATGTCCATCCATCAAAGTTTAGTTTCAAATGATAAATAAAGTACCATTTCACCAAATCTTTGGAAATCTTGGACACATATGTGCATCACTACATACCCCCCTTTTTAAAGCAAGGGTATAAAAAAAAGTTTGTAGTGGACCTTACATACATCATTTCTTCCAGGTTTGGTTTAAATTGACCATGTAGTTTCAGAGAAAATGATGAAATTTTATTTCAATAAGGGTTTCAATAGGAACTATTTGCCACCTAATCAACACTTGATGGGCATCATGTTTAGAGTCTCCCAATCATGTTAAATTTTGAAACATTTCACCGTGTTTTTTTCAGAAAAGATTATTGAAAATAGGCCATTCATAATGGAAGGTTGCCTCCAGCACACATTCTTCAAATGAGGACTATTTGTAGAGGATCTTCCATCCAACATTGGTTCCAAGTTTAAGTGATGAAAATGTGAAAGTTATCGCACAACAATGACAGACGCCAAGTGATGGCAATAGCAAAAGGCCATGTGAGCTAAAAATTCTGAACTTAAAAAACAAGCAGACTTAAAATTCTAAGCAATTGAAAAAAAGAAGACAAAATTTGTCATAATTATCAGAAGACAAACTATTTAAATTAGACTGAGGCAGTGTCAGAAAGCTCCATGACCATGCAGGGTGAGGCAAACATTATTTCTGTTCAGATTCTAACATAAAATTATAGAAATGTCGGTCCAAAATTCTTGGTGAATTCTATATAGTTATAACACTTCAATATATTTTTCAGTATCAAGGGAAAAAAGAAACATTTGAATAAATTAAAAATAAAATTATATGAATATACAAACAACTAGTACATGTTGTAATATGTACATGCCCCTTTGTAAATAAAATCAACAGTGAGAATAACAAAATAGTTATATATATATTATTATATCAGGATTCAGCAAAATGAAAATTAAAATTTATATTTATATCATGTCAACAGTTTGGATTGCCTATGATAAAATGTAGAAAAGACAAGTTACTATCTTTTTTAATATCTTCTTGTAATTTTGACCCTTCAGAATACATCTAAATTTACCATTATAAACATCAGTTCCTTCAATAACAAATTAAATATTACAGTAGTTTTTTTTGTAAATATATTATATATATCAATAGTTATTATTTTTTTCCTAATATTTATCCAACTTCATGATTTTTTTTCTCTTAAATATACTAAACTGAATGAGCAGTAAGCACTGACAAGCTTTTCATTAACTAAATTTGATAATTTTTATACAGCAATGGCAATAATAGCAAAGATGCCTCACAATATTGTTTAAGGATTACAAACCTGACGTCGTAACTACAGTGCAAAATCTTATTATTAAACTTAAATGAAACAGTTCAATTCTTGCATCAAAAAGATGGTATCATACATGTATAAGTCACACCAGTTTCTTATTAAAATATAAATAGGGATTTTTTTTTCACAAAATTAAAATAACTTTTAGCATCTTTATACAGCATATTAAATTTCCCCATTAAATATACAGCTTATGTATGTGTATTAAGTGTAACTGGCTAAGAAACAATACATCATTAAAAAAAATGAACTAGCATAATTCTGGTACCACTGATAAGAGTCCCAAGATATGACACAGTGGATGACTGAAAAATAATCATCTTATCAACTTATTTGTTTTTCCTCATTAGATTATATGTATTTTTCCAGTATAAACAGTTCAAACTTTACACTATAAATCCTGAAAATTATAGCCTTAATTAAATTTACATATTATGCTTTCCAATGCTATGATAATGTTTTTACCTGTGACTGTCTTACAAATATTCCATGGTTATCTTCACAGGTGAAATAAGTCTTTCCTTGTACTGTACCATTGTTTTTACCTTTAGCTCCATCACAAATAACACCAATCCATTTCCCTAAGATAAAAATGTAATACTACATGTATATAAATACATCACACAAATATCACCAATCCATTTCCCTAAGATAAAAATTTAATACTTTATAAACACATCACACAAATAACATAAATCTTCTACCCTAAGATAAAAATATGATGCTTCATTAACACATCACAAATTTATAATGTCAATCAATTTCCCAAATGCAGAACACTGTCACACTACAGTGACTACACTAACATATTTGCACATTTTTATTGGTCAATATATTTATTGACCAAATGAAAGAAATGTGGTTGAAAAGAAAAAACTACTATGGCAGACAGCAACCAAAACAACCACAGCTTGGCTCCTGACTTTGGACAGCCACATAAAGAATGTGGTCAGGTCAATCATGTTTGTCAACCCTAACATGGGAGAGAGGTAAGTTTCATCTGAACATCAATCAAATGTACAATGTATGATAACCAACATCACTATTTCTTCTACTAAATATAAACATGATAAAGTAAGCACTGTACAATAGAGAACTAAATTTTTGTACAAGAAAAACATTATCTTTGGGGATTTAATATTTGTGTTAAAAATAGCAAACTTACCACTGGAAAACAAAGTAGAACCAATATATGCAACTTTACCAACAACTCCCTTGCCAACTACTTCCACTCTAGTTCCAACCTTAATGGGTTTTTCATCCGCCATATTTCCTACTAATCATAATGTATATACTTCAGTCATGTATAAGGTACACTAACAAATACATAAAACATAAATACTGAGTATGAAAATTGAGAAATTATGTCATGCAAAATAACTCAATAATAACAAACTTTAAATGAGATGAAAGTAATTGAAAAAAAAATATGTTCAATATCAATATTTATTACCATAAAATCTACTGAAATTGTTATCTTTACTCTTGCAATTGTGTTGTAAATAATGAGACTTTTTCCTGAAGGAATCATAATGGTAGAAGGAATGATTTTGGTCTATACCACTAATGAAAGACTTTCAACAACAGGACAGGCGATAGAAGTCTTACGATTGTCCTTTACCATGTTTACTCTCAGGATTTTAAAACATGGTTTCCTTTACTGGTAGCAGCATTGATAATTTCGTTTCATGCAAAATTTCCAAGACTTTTCACAATGCATTTAGATGTTCTAAATTTGAGTTTCATGGGAACTTTGGGTGAAGACTATTTCATATTCTGTTAGGGGAAATGTTGGAAATGAATATTCTGGCCTTGTAAGCACAGAAAATACATTGTCTTGCCCAAGACAGGTCGAAAAGGAATATTCTACAACACCGAAACAGCCATTTGGAGGAAATAAATGTGCACTGATTTGCCTAGCCTTCATGTGGATAAGTTACCAAAATTTGTTAACTTTAAGTCACATGTACTAATAATATGAGACAGGTGCTACATGTACATGTACATTTACCATATTAAAACAAAAATATTTTGGTTAGTAAAACTTCCTTGCACTTCAGGTTACATTTATAATAGATTTATTAAGAAAAATAAGGACATTGTAATAAAGGTTGATATGAGGCAGGTACTACCTGCAGTTACCGAAGGTTATTAATGAATGTTTGTTATATTTATCATCATCGGATTTACAAATTTATGGGAAATAAACAAAATCCTGAAATGTAAAATTTTAAAAACAAAACAAAAATCAGGCCTAGACAATTTCAGAGGGGCGGGCGGGGATGACAACACAGAAAATCTACAAGTTAATATTAATTGGCTTTAATCGACTTGTTAAAGTCGTATTTTGTTTTACAAAAAAGGAAGACAACCCATGTAATAAACAAGTTAAGACCTCTATGAGTCAAAAGAGAAAAATAAGACATGTCTGAGATCTGACTGCACTGTCTGACAAGTGAATATTGGTGAGCATCCTATGGCTTGTTTGTTGTGGTCTGTTGCAGAAAAATATTGTTTAATTAACTATACTGACCTATATATGCAAGCTATTCATAGAATGTGTGGTGCTGATAATCATTGATCAAACACCTCAGATGTCACATCTTGCATTGCTCATAATTTATTGTAAGACCGCTTACATCAAACAGAAAATATATCAACTTCAATTTCGTAAGCCTATTTCTGACAATATGGTAACAGTTTGGAATTTATTAAGTCAAATCAATAAGATAGTTCCATTTATGACATAATTTTAATAAGATAATGATCATTTGAAATGAATTTCCGGAACCGATATACTTATTTTCTTTTTTACAAGTACTTAAGCGGCAAAATGTCAAGTCAGCAGGAAGGTGTGAAAATTTTCCAAAATACATGCAAACATAACATATATAGTCCTTTACAGTAATCACTAAACAATTGCTTAGGTTATTTCTGAATTCTTAGAGTCGTAACTGATATTAAGTCAAATCAAATGTTTATATTCCTAATTAAAGGGCCCATCTAGAGCATATAAATCAATAAAAATCACAATCCACCCAAACAAAACATGCAATCTAACATACATACTCAGTATAACTGATTGTTAATAGCAATAAAAATGATTAAGAACAAACATAGAAACAGGATTAAAAACTTATGTATACATTAGGGGAGAGAGCCAGTACAAAGAGGGATAACTCCATTTGTTTACCTTAACTTGTGTCTTTTTTTTTCCCTGTCTCATCTGGAAAATTTTATTTAGATACAGACTAAAAACTGTATAGAAATCTAAATCTTCATTTTTCATGATCCAGATAAAAAGATTTTCTTAATTTATGTTTCTTTAAACCTTTTAAAATATTTGTCATTGATTAACTGGTTAGGATAGGCTGGGTTTTGTTCCCTAAACCAACGCAGTCTCTCATCTCAATCATTACATTTTAATTAAAGAATAAAAGCAAAGATGAAGCTGAAAAAAAATAGGAACTGCCTACGATTAAGTTGAAAACTTAACCAGGCCTCGACAATAATGCTTGTCCGATTGTCCGGTACCAGAGGAAAAAAAGGTCGGACAAGTAAAAGCTAGATCAAGCTTGTCCGACGGGACAAGTAAAATTATTCTGAAGAAAATAAATTTAATCCAACTTTGATGAACAAAGTAATTATAAACAAAAAACAAGAAAAGAAGATAAAAACAAGTATTAATTTGACATGTTTACTTGCAAACCGATAATTTTAAACTGGATCTTTGTCAGGTACTTTTTAATAGGTAAAAGGCATACTATTTTCGGAAACCAGTTTTACTGATCCGAATCAGCGATGCGCTTTGTAGAAAAGGTAACTTTACAAGACGTTCTTCACCAGCTCGGAAACGATTCGGCTCCTAAGTTTAATAGACAGTTTGGCACCGTAGGAGACATATTTAATAGACATGATTAATAGACAGTTTGGAAACGCAGGAGACATTTCGGGACCAAGACAAATCAGTACCTCGTTTTCCTACCTTATTCTGTTGCTTTATAATAAATACCATACCGGTAATTTTTTTAACAAAAATATTTTTTAAATAAAAAAGAAGAAATTATTTACCATAAAATTCACAAAATCATATTTGATCATATGTAGAAAGAAACAATACTTGCAATACGGTGACCTATAGTTGTTAATTTCTGTGTCATTTGGTCTCTTGCAGAGAGTTGTCTCATTGGCAATCATACATCATCTTCTTTTTTTTATTGATTGCATTTGAATAATCTTTTTTCAACTTAAACAACCAGGATACAAATCCAATGAGAGTACATTGACAGGCCTATCAGACGGTGCCTCATGTGCAGAGTCTGATGAGACTTTGGCATTGATGAAAACTAGAACCTAAGCCCTGTGACATGACTAGATTCAGTTGTTCTCGACTCATATTTTTGAAAAGTATTTCAAAAGATATAAATCAAATTCTGTTCTGTTGTTTTAATTCATTTTGTTCCTTGGATCAACTTATTAGGCAAAAAAGGTTATTATTAAGATTTATTTTGGACAAGTTCCAATTTCATTCGGACAAGTAAGTTTTGGGTTGTACTTGTCCTACTGGACAAGTTGAAAAAAAAGTTATTGTAGAGGCCTGTTAACAATAATGAAAAAATATTGTAATGTTTAAGGTTTAAGACCCCTTCTGTAGGTCTGTGTATTACAAAATAGACACAAATACCTACAATGTCTCAACACATTTTATTCGACTGGACTTTGAAAGGAAATTATGCTCACAACTTTGAGACTCAATTTCCCATGAAATTTTCAGTGAAGGCTAGATATAAAAATATTTACCTTTTGCATGCTAATTGGTGAAAAATATTTCCAGAAATATCCAAAACCAATAATAGATTAAGTTACAATTTCATCAATGACCTAGTTCTTATTTTTAAATGGCAACCCAGATTTCCCAAGATCTTTCACTTTGGAAGAGTATAAAATAAATTTACAAACTGATCTCCGTAAAATTTGAAGTGAATTTCTGAAATGTTTGGTTATATATTCCAGAAATTGAGGCCCGCCAAATTTTACAGAGTTTGGTTTGTAGATTTATTTCATATTCTCCAAAATTTAAGGTTTCACAGTGCACACTGTTTGGGGTACATTGATAACCCAAAAGGCTTCTGAAAACTGGTCACAAACCTGAAAACCACTTGATATTATCTAATAACTTTATATGGTGTAATACTGATATTAAAGATTAAAATTTTAAGAGAAATAACAACAAACCTGTTTCAGTTTAACCTTAACTTTGGAAACACAGTTGCATCTAAATAATGTCACAAATTTTCTTGAACTCAAGGTTAAGGAACTTGGTTAGTTTCCTACATCTCCAGCTCCTGAAGAAGAGTTTGTGACGATGCACATAAAAAAATGTCAAACTAGGAAATTGGTCAGATGTCAATTTTTACAATAATTTTCAAATTTTGTATCATATGTACCAATACTGGCATATAGTCACAAAGTATAATGTGAAATGTGGAAGAAAACTTATAAATGTAATAGGATGAAAAAAAAATTGCACAGCACTCCACTTGTGCAGTTTTAGCTGGAGCACACCACTGTAACAATTGATTTTATTTTTACAAGGAAAGATGTCATGCTGATTCAAGTTTGTTTTAAAAGCTCTGCTTTTTATTATATGACATTTGTTTTTGTAAATGCTATGTACATTTCTGCATTGAATAACAACTCTGCAAAATAGCTCAATATCATATGGTTTAGTTAATATTTTTTTCTGGATAATTTGGTGTGGATGCAATTCTTTGATAATTTCTTTGTTGTTCATTCACATCTTTTATAGACTATAGACAATTTAGAGTTGGTTGAAGGCTTTTCTTTGCCTTCTTAATGTCTTTTGGTTAGTTTTGTCTTAGAGTTTCTGCCTCTTTGATATCTCCTTTTATGCATGTATTTCCAACATTGTTCCAATAGACCATAGCATGTCTTTTATTAAATCTCCCAAACAGACTTATTGGTTCTTCTGCCGCTTTTTCAAATTTGAACTTGTCCACACCATTTCTCCAAAACCACTTGTAAGATTTACTTAGGGTTCCACAATCTGTTAGAATAACATATCTAGTGGTGCAAGCAGGGTTTGGTTTGTGCATTGTGGTCTATAAAGGGGTACTTTGAGGGTCAAAAAGAAGGGAGGGGCTTACTATAGAACCCTATGGGATTTAAATTTTTTATATTTTCAAATGATTATAACATGAGAACTATTAGTGATGGACACATGGGGTCTTCAGTAATGACCATGGGAACATATGGCCTATTTAAAGGTCAAAAGGTCAATGGTCAATTCTGACCTTAATCCTTGACCTTGAAGAGTCCTTAGGGGTTCATACTTATGAGGACTTTGTTTGGGAGACTTTGTAACAGTATCCTGTTACAACCATTTCTTGTTATTCTTCCCACTATTTCATTTTCTGTCTTTGATAATTGAGAAAGACTTTCTGTTTAATAGTGGATGATGCAGAACCTGAAGGAAGTAAGAGAAAACGGCATGGTATGCTCAAAATGTATTATGGAATTGAACAGTCAGGGGGAGCTACTCTTGATCCATGTGACATTAATGGTGCACATTTTGAAGCAGATACTTACCTATCCAACTTGATTAAGCAAAGATCTCTGACAGAATTAATGGACGAAGAGACTAAAATGGTGACGCAGATTCGTGCACTTGATAGTGACATGCAAACCTTAGTGTATGAAAACTACAACAAGTTTATTAGTGCTACAGATACTATAAGAAAGGTAGGCAGCTAATTTGAGTAGGTTTTTAATGATCATACAAATAAGATACATAATTCATTAAGTATTTATGGATGCGATTACTTAATAAACCACAAAATAAAAGTCCTGTTTGTTTTATGTTTGGAAATTTTGAAGTCATGATTTTTGAAAAACATCATATTTTCCTTTCACAAATGAGAGTACATTTACACAGTATTGGAGGTACACAAGTTTTAAAATCTTTCCCTCTATATATATATAAAATCACATGTTTTTGTCTATGCTCGCCTTTGGACTGTTTTAACAAATCAGTTAATAAAATTTAATTAAACTTGGCCACAATTATCGTTGGATTATCATCTAGTTTACAAATTTTACCATTTTTTTTTCAATTTTGCCTATTATCATGACAACTATAAATAATAGAAAGAAACTTTAAAATGCAAAAATGATCAGCAAGACAAGTTCTATAGTCCCCATGGCCGAAATTGTCAGTCGACTCCTTATTAGAGTTGTAGCCCTTTAATGACAATTTTTACCATTTTTTTTTTGCGTTTTGCCTTTTATGATAAAAATTATAATAGATAAATAGACACTTTAAATCACAAAAATGATCAGCAAGGCAAGATCTACTAACAAGTCAAATTTTGCAGATATAGTCAGTAGACTGTCACTCTTTATAGGAGTGATTGCCCTTCAATGAGGATTTATTTTTACCCTCTTTTGTGTTTTGAGCAAAAACTAAAAAATAAGAGAAACTAAACAGACTAAATGATCAGCAATACAAGATCAACAAAACAGATTTTTGTCATGAATTCTATTCTCTTCTACAATGTTGGAGGGTGTCCTTTGTTGAGGATGCACATAGACCAAGGTGGGTGACACAGAGCCTCTAGTTTTATGTATATATATAAGTCTTTTGATGGAAATATGATATCTATTGTGAAATTTATTATTACATTTTGTATAATGAAAGAAATCAAGGAATTTTGTTCATAGCTATACTGTAATATATATATACAGTATGACACTTGATGAGGGAAACATTGAATATATTGTAATAAACGATCAAGTAAAATGGAACATAACATTGTACAAAATATATGGAAAGCTGTTTCACAAAATGATTATTACATGTACATTTTTTTTCTTGATTATGTTAAAATTTCATTCTAGTTTATTATGTTATAGATGAAGAATGACTTTAAAAAAATGGAAGATGAAATGGATCATTTAGCAAGTAACATGGCAACTATTACAGAATTCAGTGGAACAATTAGCAACACTTTACAGGACAGGAGACAACAAATAACAAAGTTGTCAGGTGTACATGCTCTTCTTAAAAAGGTACAAAATTAAATCTAATATATAAATCGTATTTTGACATTACATATTATGTAATCAATTTTATGTCTTTACATTTTACTTCTGTTCAATGAAATTTTGTCACATTTTCTCAGGAACTACAAATCAGAGATCCCTGTGAGCATTCTTTCTGCCTTGATTGGTATGGTTGGTAAGCAATAGCTGACAGTTCGTCTTGTTAAATTTAAACCATGATAACATGAACTTGTTGAAATAAGATGAATATTGTACCGGTATACAGCCAGAAGATATCATACATTTTTTTTATGCCCCAGCTTTAAAAAAGTGGGGGTATACTGTTTTACCTCTCTGTCCATCCATCCGTCAGTCCATCGGTCAGTCCGTCCGTCCGTCCCATGAATATTTTTCGTCATATATCTCAGGACCTACATTACAAGGATTTCTGAAATTTGGTTTCAGGGTTTATATGAGTCAGCTATACCGTGTGATACGTTTTCAGATTCATCACTCAACAACTTCCTGTTTACTGAAATATTTGGACGGGGGTATCATCAGTGAGCAGTAGCTCACAGTTTCATTCGTTTTTTTCAATATTTCACCTGTATCAACCCAAGACACTAAATATAAATATAATTCCAAGGACTCTGCTCGAGGGATTATATTGGTTGAGGGTTGATACAGTGTGTGATATTGAAAAAGCCACATCATGTACACTTTATTATTCACTTCAAGTAGATGTTTTATGTGACGTGATGTTATGCAGATAAGGGGTTTGATCAATATCGATGATGTGACATTATACAAAATAGTGGTTTGATAAAGCATTTAAAACCATGACTGATATCTTCATGAATGGCTGATACAGCATGATTGCCATTGATTGTATTACAATACTATTTACTGCTTAGTATATAATAAATAGAAATATAACAGAATGTCAGGTAAAAATGTTGTATCAACTAATTTCCTACTGTTTCTTATATTTTTGCCATTATAGCTTCAGTTCCTTTTTGAGCTCCCAGCAAGATTAAACAAATGTATAGAAATGAAAGCTTATAGTGCAGCAGTCAGGTAAGTGTTCTAATTAGTACCAAAAAATATTGGGTTTCAGTCTTCTTTAAGTTTGTTTAAGGACTAAATACACTTTGTACATAGTTAAAACCATATTAAATGATGAAAGAAGAAAAATATCAGTATTTCCATTTTGTAATTTGTGTACCATGACATGTACAATAGGGTTTAGTGATGTCATTAGTTAACATTTACATTTAAAAATCATATTTAAACAATAAAAGACCTTATGAGGGAAACAAAATAGATGTATACATATATTATCAACAATACATTTTGTGTGTAATTCATTGACTGGATTGGATGACTTGCATCAAGAAACTTTTCTTACCATAGATATTATACTAAAGCAAAGAGAATTTTACACCAGTATCAGCATATGGCAAGTTTTCAAGGAATCAATGAGGATTGTAATAAGATTATTCATCAACTTTGTGATCATCTGAGAGAACAGTTTAAAGATAAAGAGGTAAACAAAGTTCACATAGATTATTTTAAGGATGTTCGCTACTCTGTTTCAAAATAACAAGCTTTTAAAAGACTGTTATAAACTGATAGTATATAAATAAAGAAAAAAATGAATGGTCCGTGCACTTGTTTTCAAGATATAAGCCATTAAAAATTTGTCGGGAAATGATTCTCTCTAGATTTTTCATACATTTAACATTGGCACCTTTTTTCTTTCAAAAACGATGAATAATAACAAGGATTTTATAAGATTTTCAAAGATGACATTTTAAACTGTATGTAATTAAATTATGGAAAGAAAAGTAGGGGTTAGTGGGCAAAATTTTTTAATGACACGACATGGATAAAACCAGAGGATTCAGAATATCTGACAAAAATTCAAAAACAAGAGGAGCGAACATCCTTAAAGTCATTAGTTCCTTCATCTTTTGAATATATCTCTAATATGTATTAAGACTATTTAAATTATGGTACCAATATTATTGTAAAGTATCTAATGCCTGCCAATAGTATTCACTATCCCCTTGGATTTTGTTTTAGTAAATATAATTAACTGTTTGACATGTCTTTTCATTATAGTGATAATTATAAGTACATCCTTTTAACACAGACATTTTTTAATGTAAACTATAGGTAGGCTAGACTGCTTTCATGAAGAACTTCATCACCAAACACTGTTTCTCTTGACATGTTTTGTAAATAAATCGTGATCAGTTTGTAGATTAATTATGATCAGGGGGATTAGCATCTCTTTGTATTAACTTTTTTTTTTTAAACCACTGCGTATAATGGACATTTTAATGTCAGTAAACCAATAAAGTTTGTAGCCTGAAAATTCTGATACATTAATTTTTTTTTTTAATCTGAGATTTGATATAAACTTTATATTAAAAACTGATTTCTTCCTTAAATACTTCTGTTATCATCATTGCTTGTATTCCTATTGCGCATTTAAAATAATAAGTTTACAAACAGTTTCATAAAAGTTTGGCTGAGATTTGTACACCTGGCCCTTCAAATATTGGTGGTAATTTATGTCACATTTAAGGGTTTAAAAAGGTGAGTTTTAAGCTATGATACTTCTATGGTTTTGTTGTATTTTTCATCTAGAAAAAAAGTTGTATTTCAAAATGTTAGTAATTAACACAAATCCATCGTTTTAAAATTTTGAAGAAATCTGCCTATAATGGTTGTCTTCTTATCTAGTAAAGCATATGTTAATTATCCTTTACAGTCCACACCAAAGCAACTGGCAGAATGTGTAGATCTATTACTACAGCTAAATGAACCAGCTGAAAAGTTGTGTGAAGAATTTTTATCACAGTAAGTTATTGATATGTGTTTTTCCATATGATAGAAATATTTAGCAATTTTCAGGGTGATATTTTTCTGAGGATATGTTAGACAGTACTGAGTAATGGACAACCACTGGATTACAAGGGAAAAAGGGTTAAACATGTTTGTTGGCGCTCAACCCTCCCCTAACCTGGGACAGTGCTGTAACAGTACAACAATTGAAAAAACTGTAAATTTCAGTTGAAAAGTGATTGACTTATCAGATTGGCAGGAAACACAACTATCAACTAACAAATTTACAAAAAAAAACACTGAAGTACCTAAGAGTACTCAAAGTTACTGAAAGCTAGTTCAAAGCCCAATTTCAACTGATAATTAGTGCATGATTTTCCCAGACTAAAATATCAATCATTACAACTCCACTGATTTATTGTATAGACATCATAAGCAGTCAGTTTATGTACTTTGAGCTTGCTTTCAGTAAGTGTGAGCATTCTTTGATACAACTAATAAACCAAACTAAAATGTCATTAATTATTTAGTTTTTACCTTGATTTGATTGTTACTCTTTAACTCTCCCTATTGCAGTCTATAAGAAAATCTTCTCCTACTGGCAGTTTGGAACTTATAACTTTTACCATGTGTGATGTAAGGTGTGCATCATTAAACATATCAAATTTAGTGTGTTCACCATGTACCATATCAAATTTAGTGTGTTTACCATGTAACATATCAAATTTAGTGTGTGCATCATTTAACATTTCAAATTTAGTGCGTTCACCATGTAACATATCAAATTTAGTGTGTCCACTATGTAACATATCAAATTTAGCATGTTCATCATGTAACATATCAAATTAAGTGTGTCCACTATGTAACATATCAAATTTAGTGTGTTCACCATGTAACATGTGGTCATCATGTAACATATCAAATTTGGTGTGTTCACCATGTAACATATCAAATTTAGTGTGTTCATCATGTAACATATCAAATTTAGGGTTTTCACCATATAACATATCAAATTAAGGGTGTCCACTATGTAACATATCAAATTTAGTGTGTTCACCATGTAACATGTGGTCATCATGTAACATATCAAATTTGGTGTGGTCACCATGCAACATATTAAATTTGGTGTGTTCATCATGTAACATATCAAATTTAGTGTGTTCACCATGTAACATATCAAATTTAGTGTGTTTACCATGTAAACTATCAAATTTAGTGTGATCATCATGTAACATATCAAATTTAGTGTGTTCATCATGTAACATATAAAATTTGGTGTGTTCTCCATGTAACATATCAAATTTAGTGTGTTCATTATTTAACATTATATATATTAATAACAAATGAATTACTTGTTAGTATTCATTACTAGAAAATGCTAAACATCTATAATGTATTTATCTTACACCATGAATGTAGTGCAAGACAGAAGATAGATGAAGATTTACAATTGTTAGACAGGCAGATAAGGTTACAAAGTGGTGAAGAGATCAAGTCTGAAGGAGAAACAGCTGCCCAAGCTTACCTGGCTACCCCTATGGTAATGAATATGTTTTCTTCTAACTTAATCAATTTTCTATCTTACCTTAGAAATAGACTATTGGTGTGAAAAATTAGAATACTTCAGGGTACACATGTATTTCATTTATTTTAACTGTTTGATTCATAAACTTGGTGTGTGGATGCTTTTAAGGGATAGCAACTTTTGTAGATTTAAGTTCTGAGCTATTTTTGATAGATTGAAATATTAGTTAAGTTGCATTTTGAAAGTTAAAGAATTACTCTTTAAATGAAATGTATTGTATAAGTGTTGTTGCATTTTGTTTTTACATAATTTTCCCTTTCTTTAAAAATATCTTGGAAATGGATGTTGTTTTTCTTACCTATATAGTGATACTGCATATATATCTACAGAATCAACTCATTTAACATCACTGAAAAAAGAAAACACTCTCTTTTTACTCAAACAGAAAATAAAAAATCTAATAGTACGTTGGAAGATCAACCCATCATTCATTCATTTTAGAAATATGTTTAATTTCAGGATGTGTTAGAGTTTGTTGATACTGGATGTAATGGTTTCCTTAGTAACATATGTTTAGTTATAGCATCATACAATGACATGTTCCTGTCTAAACCACAAGAAGAGTAAGTTTTATAAACAGCAATTAAAGTTAATTGAGAACTCTTTTTTTATATTAAAAGTAGATATCTTCATGAGTGTTTAAATGAGCCAATATCACAAATACAACTGCAAAAGGTGTGTTTGTCTTAAACTGGAAATTGAGTGAGTATGTGTAAATCACAAACTAATTTGGTGAGGGTATGCAGAAATCCTGTAATTAATAGATATTACGAAAGAATACTTCTTTAAAAGTAAAATTATAATGTATTTATGTAAAATACTGTTTAATTTATTCAACACTTTAATATTTGAAGGACTCTAAGCTAAAATAAAACACTAGCAACTGTCTGAAACACAAAATCAATAATTTTCTGGATGAAGCATTAACTTGATATTTATCAGTAAATACATGATTTTTATGCCCCTGCCGCACCGCAGGAGGCATTAAGTGTTTCCCTTGTCCGTCCAAAATTTGATTCTGTTCTCTAACTTTAATTTGCCTCAATCAAATGTTATTAAACTTATACACAATGCTCATTACCATAAAACACAGGTCTTGTCAATTGAATTATGATGTAAAAAACTACAGATTTTACGTACTCAATTTTTGGTTACTATACCACTGACAGTGTATATACAAATCTGCTTAACCTAAATACCTGGTATGTTTTATTGAATTTCAGTGAAAATATGGATGCAATTGCCCTGAAGAAATTAGTCTTTTTTGTTAATGAGTTAATGGAAAAATATTTTAATTATGTGCAGAGAAGAGTTCGGTTGGAGGTAAGAAATTTTCACTAGTTTAAAATTGTTGTCAGTGGCTTCAGCAATGTCTTATATTGTGATAATGATGGGAAATACAGGCATCTTTTTTATACGCCCATTTACGGGATGTATTATGGTATACCATTGACCGTCTGTCCGTCTGTTAGTCCGTTCGTCGTCAACATGTCGGACAATAACTCAAAAAAGCTTTAACCAATATGCATGAAACTTTGGTGAATTGTTTATATCTATTGACGTGAGCTCCCTTTTGTTTTTTATAAATTTCAGATTTATCGTTTCCAAGTTTGGGGGTTTTATTCATTAAAAAAGGGGGAATTTTCCAGTTTTCCGACCAATAACTCAAGAATGCTTTCACCAACTTGCAAGAAATTTTGATGAATTGTTTATATCTATTGACATGAGCTCCCTTTTGATTTTTATAAATTTTAGATTTTACATTTCCGAGTTACAGGGTTTTATTCATAAAAAAAGGGTGATTTTCCAGTTTTCGGACAATAACTAAAAAATGCTTTCAGCAGTTCTCATTAAACTTTGGTGAATTGTTTATATCTGTTGATGTAAGCTCCCTTTAGAATTTTATAAATTTGTATAATTTACATTTCTGAGTTATGGGGTTTTATTCATTAAAAAAGGGGGGATTTTCAAGTTTTTGGACAATAACTCAAAAATGCTTTCAGCAGTTCTCATGAAACTTTGGTGAATTATTTATTTAAGTTTACCCGGATGAAAAGATGAATAAAGAGATATTGATTATACCTGTTTGGGTACAGGTAGTAAAATAACATCAAAACTGCTAGGTTAATTAACAAGATTTGGTATTCATGATTCAAGATTATAGCTGAGGTTGAAATTAGTTTATATATATAAACCAACTTAAAAATGATTATCGCTATTTGGTGTATTTTTCCTTTTGATCTTTTTTTTTGTGATAACTTTTCATACCATGCTACTTGCTTGAGATAGAAAGTTATCTCTAGAACCTTAAGGCGCATGTGACGTCAATATAAACATCAACAATGTCATAGGCAAAATAGTGTAACCAACAGATAATCAATGGTCTTTTAAAATCAAGGATGTTTCTTCACCACATCTCATCTCAAGGATGTAGCCAATCGATGATATTGTAACTGAGAAATAACCTATGTATGAAATACCATGAATAATCTATAATTATATCAATTTACATATCTAACTTGAATATTTAGTTTGTTGAAGCATGCTGTCTATGTTTCCTAGACCTAAATCTGGTTATAATCCAGACGATTATGTCATTTTCACTAAAATCTCTACTTTTGCCCTATTTGGGTTGTAAATGTTAATGCTTTAAGGGAAAAGCCAAGCAAAGATAGTTTTGTTTTACTTTCTTACTTGTCTTTTCATCAACTTGAAGCATCTCTTATTTTGAAACAATGGACTAAAAATTCAGTGCCAAATATTGCCCTTAAGGAACTTACTTCTTTTCAATATATTGCTAAATTTATGAAAAATTTAGATTATTTCTTCTTTCATTTTTGATTATAGTAAGAATGAATAATGTTATTGTAGAGAGGAACAGGAGATAATACCATACTTGTCAGATCATTGGACAGATTTCACAGAAGACTTCAGGCCATGAATAAACTCTTACCTGACACAGATTTTTCCAGGTAAATATGATGATCTATTATTGTGTATACTAATAAAAGTTGCCAACCCAAAGATTTGATCAAAATCAGTGTTTACATCATATTCACTTTTGCAGTTATTTTGATACATAATGTGAAACATTTCAATTTACACAAACATTATTTGACAAAACTTTTAACATTGAATGTTATGAGGATTATAATTGCAAATATTTTTAACTAATGAATATGTAGCTAAAGAAGGTCAAAAGTCATCTAACTGAACATTAGTTCTGATGTCTTTATTATGCGAAAGATGTTTTTATTGCAGAGCTGGTACAGATATAGTTTCTAAAGCAGCTAAGGACAGGGTTGGCCATTATCTCCAAAGTTTAAAACAACACTTTTCAGGTAAAAGATTACAAAAGTAGTGACATGTTGTAAAGTTTTTGTCACCAGGCTAAATACTTCTTTTTTCTGTGGGTACTATTTCATACACAACATTGATTGAACATGGATCTAAGCATTCCTATGTCAATCCTTCTGTTGTTTTACTGGTTACTCATTTGCTTTCAAATGAGTCAATTGTTCTTAAAAAAAATCTCTAAATTATTTGAAATTTTGAACAATACCATGGGACATAAATTGAATTTTAACTTTTATGTCTTATTTCTATAATTTTGAACAATTTTTATTCAGATTGTATGACAGATGTCCGACAGAATTTGGCTGCTCCAAGAACTATAGGAAAGCATGACAGTAATAGTTATCTGAATGATTTACTGAATAATACACAGACTGCAGTGGTCGACCAGATCAAATCTGTACTCAATAACTTACAGGTAAATTTACTGAATAATACACAGACTGCAGTGGTTGACCAGATCAAATCTGCACTCAATAACTTACAGGCCAATTTACTAAATAGTACACAGACTGCAGTGGTTGACCAGATCAAATCTGCACTCAATAACTTACAGGCCAATTTACTAAACAGTACACAGACTGCAGTGGTTGACCAGATCAAATCTGCACTCAATAACTTACAGGCCAATTTACTTAATAGTACACAGACTGCAGTGGTTGACCAGATCAAATCTGCACTCAATAACTTACAGGCCAATTTACTTAATAATACACAGACTGCAGTGGTTGACCAGATCAAATCTGCACTCAATAACTTACAGGCCAATTTACTAAATAGTACACAGACTGCAGTGGTTGACCAGATCAAATCTGCACTCAATAACTTACAGGCCAATTTACTAAATAGTACACAGACTGCAGTGGTTGACCAGATCAAATCTGCACTCAATAACTTACAGGCTAATTTACTTAATAGTACACAGACTGCAGTGGTTGACCAGATCAAATCTGCACTCAATAACTTACAGGCCAATTTACTAAATAGTACACAGACTGCAGTGGTTGACCAGAACAAATCTGCACTCAATAACTTGCATGTAAATTTACTGAATACTGCAGTGGTCGAATAGATCAAATCTGTACTCAATAACTTACTGGTAAATTTACTGAATAGAACACAACCTGAACTGTTTCCCAGATCAAATATGTTTGCTCATAACTTACAGGTAAATTAACTGAATAGAACACAAAGTGAAGAGGTTTACCAGATCAAATTTATTCTCAATCTATATTGATTTAAAAACTAATAATGAATTATTTAGTATGTACATCTTTACAAAGCTTGGTGGAAGACCAGATCAAATCTGCACCCAAAAACTAACAAATTAATTGAATGAATAGTACATAAACTGCAAAAGTGAAGCATATCAAACATGTACATGATTACTTAGCAGTGACTAATTGAACAGTACACACACTGTTGTGGAAGACCAGATTAAATCTATATTTTCATCTTTTGAACTCTGGTGTATAGTTGTCTCATTGGCAGTCATAACACATTTCCTTATTTTTAGATTGATAACTTACATGGAAATTTAAATAACACCAAACTTCAGTGTTGACCCAGATGAAATTCTAACTAAACAAGGTACAAGGAAATTTACTTAATATTACACTTATTGCAATGGTTGACCAGAACAAATATGTATGCAATAGTTTACAGGAAAATTAACAGAATAGAGTTAAGATTTTTGGAAAAACTATTTTGTTTCTTGCTGTGTTTTCCATTGCTCAATAAATCCAAAACTGTAAATGCAAGGTGGCCACAATATGTTTGATTCTTACCATTACACAGGAACCTACAGTTTTGAAATTTGGAGCTGCAAATACGGTAGGATGATTACAGTAATAAGATAAATAATACATAATGTTTATTTCTTCATGATTTTGATTACTTAAAGAATAGTTTTCTCTATTGTAGGCATTCCTTGATTCAGACATTACTTTTGCCATGAAGCCATATTTCAGAGGACCATTTTGTGTTCAGGGTGTAAGAGAAGGTTTGATTGTAGAATTCCTAAATCATATCTCTTCAACCTGTCTTGTAAGTATGTTATGGTTAATATATTAGAAATTTCATAATGTGAATCACTTGTAACAAAAAAAATAAACAAAATACATTTTTTTTCAAATTTAAATCAGTAAAGTATCATGGTTTTGTATTCAGATTTTAGTTTAAGCTCCTTGTTGAAGTTCTAATAGTGCATGCTGAGATCAAGAATAGTAATGAAAAACCTTTTTTCTTTGATATATGGTTTGTACTTTGTACATCAGTCTAGTATATTTTGTTTTGCCTGTTCTTTCAATATAATCTATTATCAACTTATCTAGAGGGAACCATTCTCTAATGCCATGATTGGTCTTGTAACAAACTAGATGTTATTGGCCTCATAAAAGGGGCAAAAGATTATCAAAGTTGGGGATGTTATATGTAAAATTCCCTAAAAACGCAAACAATATTTACATTAAAAAAAATGAAAAATACATAAGAATGAGTGGAAATATTTGAATGATTGTTGTGAAGATCTTCTAGCCTTTTCTTCATAAGTTGTTTCAAAAACAACAATAAGATTCATGACAGTTCAACAAATTCAACAATGACATTGCGTCGTGTTATATTTATTCAGACTTTCACATTTTGGTGCTAAACAATTGCATAAAAATACACATGTATGTGTCTCACCTTTACAGGTGCTGTTTTTTTTTATATTGCTGATGCAGCATACATTGGCACCTGCACTGCCATATCTTACCATGTTGTCAAGTCAACAAATCATGTGACATAATTATATGACATTAAGAGCACTTCAAATTAAAAAGGAAATTGTTATTATATTTATATTATAGTACTGCTAACATACTAGGTTGATGTTTATAGGAATTTTGTGAAGACAAAGATAAAGGATCAGCTCCACCAGCATTGTTGTTAATTTTGTCCAAGTTGTGCATAGAATTTGAATCTTCAACAATATCTTATTTGGTAATGTTATATTTCTGATATATTTTTTTTCCTTATTTTTAAACTTTTCTATAATATATTGATATTATATATAGATATTTTAATAAAGTATTTTATCAACATGTGGTTTAATGAAAATTTAATTCTTTGGCTTTACTAAAATTTAGGTATTTCCCCCCATTTTTCCAGATTTGGGACTTAGTCACTTTTTAGCAAAATGTTTAAAAGATGATACATATGCATATCATTTGAATGGCCAAAATTAAGTGACTGCACTTGTTAAATTGAAATGTTTTATCAATATTACTAGGTGGTTATTACTTTTGTAATGTTTTAGTCTATATTTACAGCTAACATTGACAGAAGAACAATTTATGATGACAGAAAGATTTCCTGTTACTTCAGTTACAGATCTGTGTAATAATGCTAAGGATGCAGCACAAAAATTATTGAATCATTTTGTCAAAGTTCAAGGGTTGTCAATTTCACAGGTAACTTGTGATTTAATCTTCCTTAGTGGTGGTGGCCAGTTTGAACAAAATTTGTCAAAATCTTCTTTAAAAAATTATATATAATGATTTGTTCTGACCACCATTTAAAATCTCCACTTTAAATAGAAAAATACATATAAAGGCAAACACAAATATTGATCATTTTATGAACTTTTTAATGTTTTTATTTTTCAGAAATAAGTCAATGATAAATTATGTATAGGGTAAGGTTCCGAGTGAGTCATACAGGAATGTTAGGCAGGTTTTATACACCATTTAAAATTATTGGCATATTATTATACAATGTTGTCAGTTTGTTCATCTGAGCATCTCTTACAATAAAAAATCAAATATGCTTTTAACAAATTACTTCAAAATTTTTGCATGTTTGATTTTATTTTGGCAAACTCCATGTCTATTTTGACAATATGAGTATTTAAGAGTTATTGGACTTTAATCATTAAAAATAAGATAATAAGGTACATGTTTCATGCTTACAAAGTTTGCTGAAATGTATCTTTCAGAAAATTTTAAACAATGTTTGGTTTCATAAGGTAAACCTCCCTTTTTTATTTGCTCACCTGGCCTGAACGGCCAGTGTGAGCTTTTGCCATCACTTGGCATCTGTAGTCTGTGGTCCATCATTTGTTAACTTTTACAAAGATCATCTCTCTGGAACTACTGGGCCAAATTTAACCAAACTTGGCCACCATCATCAATGGAGTATCTAGTTTAAAAGATATGTCCAATGACCCTGCCTGCTGACAAACATGGCTGACATGGAAAAAAATGGAACATAGGGGTAAAATGCATTTTTTTCTATTATCTTGAAAACCTCTATAGTTTAAGAAAATCTGACTGAGGCAAAAATGTTCAGAATGATAATATATACTACTGTTAAATGACATCAAAACTGTCAGACGACTTTATACAGAAGTTTTTGCCTTTAAACTACGAATACTACTATTTTTTTTTTCATTTTTGCCTATCATTTTGTAATTTATAATAGATAGCACAACTTTAAATGATTAAAATGATCAGCAAGACAAGATTTATAAATAGATCAACATGACTGAAATCGTCAGTCGACACCTTATTGGAGCTACTGCCCTTTCATGACGATTTTTCCCAACTTTTGCAATTTTGAACACTTTAATAGATAGAAACTTTAAAAAGCACTAATGATCAACAAGACAAGATCTACAAATAAGCTATCATGGCTGAAATTTTCAGTTGACTTGTTATTTGAGTTATTGCCCTTTTATGATAATTTTTACCAAATTTGGTAGTGTATTTTTGCCTTATATTTTGAAACCTTTAATAGATAAATAGAAACTTTAAAAGGGATAAGATCTACAAACATGTTAACATGAATGAAAATGTCAGTTTAATCTTAATAAAGTTATTCTCCTTTAATGATGATTTTTACCAAAAAAAGGGGCCATTGTTGAAGATGCCGATGAGCGACACAAGCTCTTTAGAGCCTCTAGTTTTCAGATATATTTTCCCAGACTTATGGGACTTTATTCCTTAAAAACTTGACTTTTCAAATTTTAAAATTTAGATCTGCATGAAAAAGTTACATTTATTGCAGTAAATATAAGTTCAACCAAATATATAATATGTTATCAAGTTTAACCAAATATATAATATGTTATCAAGTTCAACCAAATATACAATATTTTGATTAAGTTCAAGCATTCAACTATTCAACTCAATCATAATTGCAGATGTTACGCAAGAGTGTGGAAACAAGAGATTGGTTAAACACAATAGAACCTCGTAATGTACGTGCTGTTATGAAACGTGTTATAGAGGATATAACAGCTATAGATGCTCAGGTTGGACAGCTTTATGAGGAGGGTGTTAGGAAGGAGAGAAGCAGTGATTCTAGTCGTAGGACACACCCACATAGTTATATGGGTTCTGCGGCACTGAGGAAAGGAGGACAGTGGAACTATGCTCCTAGGTAGGAGTACAAGTCTCTCATTCTAGGATATGTTTAGAGTTTCATTATCACTACAATTGAATCTAGTATTAAAAGGAAACCTATTCTAATTTAATAATCGAATAAAATTTCATAATATGAAGATACTCTGCATGTTTAAGAAAAAAGTTGGTAGATTTTTTTTTATGTTACAAATTTCTAAAAAAAGTGCTAGCTTTAAGGACTAAATTTATTATTCAATGCAAAATCTTAAGAGTCTCTAAATATAATGAATTTTTACAGGTATTAAATGTGATTTCCTCTTGATATATCTGAACTGTTTTTCTTTTTTTTAAGTATTGATAATAGTTTGATGAGTAATATACAGAAGCTGTTCTCTGAGAAAATAGAGATATTTAGTGCTGTAGAGTTCTCTAAGGTATCAGTTCTCACTGGTATAATAAAGATCAGCTTAAAGGTAATTAAAAACAGTAGAATTAAGCTTGAGAATTAATGTGTATAATACAGTTTCAAAGCAAATTAACAGAAACATTATGACCTCTTTCATGTCCATGAAAAAAGGTAAGTTTCATAATGACAATGAAATTAATATCGCACACTTTTCACTTATTTCCTGTTATTCTGCTTAAGTTGGTATCATACATTAATGTTAAAGTGTCTTATTTTAAAATCTGTTGAGAGTTTGGTACTTACTTTCCATAGACTACAGTCCATTAAAAGTTTAAATTCTGCATTTTACATAGAATAAACCTGCTTGTATTCATTAACACAAAGCATATTATTTGATAATTTAACCTGTCAATAATCAAACCCCTGTCAAATTCGTACAAAGTCTTCGGTACTGGAGAGGTTTGACTAAGACAGGATTCATTATACCTGATATTGTTGTGAATCACAGTAGTTATAAAGAAAAAATGGATAGATGTTTACAGACCTGATTCAAAGGACGAGGCTATTTCAATAAAAAAAAAAAACCTTATTTACAGAGGTCACCATAACATGGTTAAAAGCCTTTTGATGGTCACATTAAAATGTTTTTTTTCTGAGGGTTTATATTTGTCATCAAAATATGCATGCACTTCACAGTTATAACTCTTCTATATCAAGGATAGAAACACCACAAAAGACTTCAGTAAAGAAATTTTAAACACACACAAAAAAATTGTTTTCATAAAAGGCACATCAGTTGAAATTTGTCATACAGTCTAAAACTCATTAGTGGATCAATGTTGATAATGAGTGATTGGTCAATTTTTCAAACAATATTTTAAATATTGATATATGTTTTACTAAGTTTTTGTGAGAAAATTTAGAAAAATAAAAATAATGATCATTCTAGAATTAAACTAGTCCATAGCCTTCATGAAAAAGGGGAATATGGTTAAAAATGAATATTTCAATATATTGAGATACAGAAAATTGTATTTAATTTTTTTTTACAGACATTCCTTGAATGTGTAAGGTTAAGGACATTTGGACGATATGGTTTACAACAGATACAAGTAGATACACATTACCTACAATTATATTTATGGAGATTTGTTTCTGATGAAAAGTAAGATTTTATTTTTTGACAGTTTGAGAATCGATTAGTAGATGTTCTTTAGTATCATTTTTTTGCAGATTTCATGTGTATAGGTAAACCACAAAATTAAGAGTTCACCGAAGTACATATGTTGTATAGGCTTGTAAGCAGACTATTGCAAAACCACAAATTCAAATATTTACAAACACCATTTTGAATCAATCCAAGAAAGTTGGTATCCACACAAATAAATGATTCCACAGCAATGTCCCTATTTTGATAGTAATTAAAATCATGAAAGACAATGACAAGTCATTCCCAAGGTGCCAGACATTGGGCAAAGACCAATAAAAATTGGTTTGGTCCAGTTAAGTGATATGCATAACTGGACCAAATGACCAGTAACATTTTTGATTTTGTCCAAATCATATGTGTAAATGTCCTGTAAAAAAGAGATTGATCCAGTTAAGAAAAATGTTTTACTAGATCAAATGTCCAGTTCATTTCTCAACACCTTGGGAACCACTGCAATGATGTGACTCATCCTCCAATAAGATAACAGTAATTTTGAAAAATGAAAATCTTGTTGAATTGCAGTTGAATTGGATGATTCAATGAACTCTTTATAGGTATAGACTTACTTTGAAAAAAAAATAACACTATAAATTTTATTCGTTCTAAGTGCTTTCACAAGTAAATGCTAAAAGCCAAACATTTGAACACCAAGGATGTATAAGTATAAAAAATGTGAAGAGGTATATGACCAAAAGGGACCTAAAGATGAAAGCCAAATCCGTCTAAGGTCAACTTTGCATGAGGGGGTCGGAACTTTATTTTCTTAGTAACTTCTAAATTTATGAATGTACAAACTTTGAAGTGTATGTTATAAATCATGTCAGTATTACAAGGGTACTCCAGACTGCAGAGAATACAAGTCAAAAGTTAAATTTACTCTGTTTTTCAGCCTTGTACAAGTATTATTGGATGAGATTGTATGTAGTACAGTACACAGATGTCTTGATCCAGCCATGATGGAACCTAGTGTAAGTATTTAATAGGATAATGTAATTTTTGAAAGGCTGGTACCAATTAATGCATGAATAAAGAGCTTGTTGGATAAATAGCAATAAAAGCTACACATCTAAAAACCAAACCAATAAAAAGGACACCATGCCTTGCTTACATTATCACATTTCTATGTTTAGTGAACTGCAAAATTTGTGTCAAAACAATAATATGGCATGTACATTAAATTGTCCCCTACTGTCGTAGACTGCGTATGAAAATGCATCATACTTTGTTTTCAAATGAATTCAGTGTCATATTAATAGTATAGAAAATTATGGACGTTGTTTATTTGTTCTAACTATGTTTGGGTGTTGTTGGTATAACTGAGACACAAGTGCTACTTTTCTGGCCTCATCACGAAACTCATGTTGGGTCTTCGAATTATGTTTTGTTTTTTTTTAAACTTGTAAAATAGACTATCCATATTTGATAAGCTGGATTTTAGCTTCCCTGCATCTAAGTGCTAAGTAGTATAAAAGTCACACCCTTTTAGTCATGCTATTCAGTTTCAAGCAGAATGTAAAACTTTGCCTCCTCAGTGATGCTTAAACATCCATACAATTTTTACAATATATAAAATATTAACTAGCCTAATTAGAAGTGTATATTTAGAACATCTAATAATAAAACTTCAATATTTTAGGAGCTTTATGATTATCCTATGAGGCCATACTCTTTATAAATGCTCAACTTATTCACTTAAATATATACATACGTACATGCAATTATATGGCAAGATATATCAAATTATGAATTAACTAATAAACCCTTTTACTACATACATATTAGCAAGTACAAGCAAATTGTATGTGCAATACAATCAATGGCAATCATTCTGTATTAGCTATCTGTGATGATATTGATATCAGTCACGGTTGCAAAGACCTTATCAAAACCCAGAATCCAGTACTTCATACAGAAGAAAAATATGTTTTAAGTATATGATAAAGTGGATATGATATAGCTTTTTCAATGGCACACTCTGTATCAATCCTCAACCAATAGCAAAGCTCTCCGGTTTAAATTGGTGTCTCTGGTTGATATCGGTGTGATTTTTTATAAGACATATACTATTCTCTTTTTATTCAATGCTTTATTTTCATAATGTGCTGAGTAAAGATTAATAATATGCTATATTTTCTGTTTTAGGTTATTGACCTTATATGTGAAAGAGGATAGACAGAGAGGAGAACTATAGTGAAAATAGCAGAACATTTGCATCATTCTTTAATAACTTATTTCACCTAACTTTTTGTGATTCAAATAATATGTAAATAAATTATTTTATGAAACTCTATGTAGATTTGAATGATTTTTATCCTCTGGAAAAGGATAAAATTATCTCCATGGAATTTAGAGAAATGAGTCTTGTTTATGCAATAATTTGAACAAGATTATTGACTGAATTATTTGGCATGAAAGCTGCAAATATATGAATAACAAGTGGAACTGTGAGCTATTTCTCACTAATTATACCAAGCTTTAAGTATTCATTAAACAGGAAGTTGATGAATCCTGGATGTGTAAACAGGCTATAGCATGCTTACATGAAGGTGCATTCCAATTTTCAGGAAACCTTAATTGATTTGTATTTTCCGATGAAAACGAGAATAAAACCTTTATGTGTAAGAATATATAAGTATTCTGTTAACTGAATCTGAAAATTGCATCACACAGTATAGCATGCTTACACAAAGCTTGATACTAAAAATCAGGAAGCTCTGATTTGTAGTTCTTGAGAGAAAAATCTGACCATTTTTTTTTACTTGGTCATTAGATTTGTCAGAATATATAAATAAGTATTTTGTAAACAATGCTTCAAACTAGTTCCTTAACCACTACCAAAGAACTTTTCATTAACTTTTGTAATAAAGCATATAAATATAGTGGAAATAACTATTTTTGGAGTGAAAAAATTCTTTTGATGTTTTAGATAAATTCATTGGACAGTTTTGACTTTTCAATTCTTTACACTACAATCCCACACAATGTAATCAAACAAAAGTTTTCCTATTTAATTCAATGGTCTTTTGAAAAATTTGATTGTAAAAAAAGAATCATTTCAAACTAATGGAAATGCGCCAACATTTTCAACTTTTCAGAAAAATGACCGATCCATCCGAATTATTTACTGGCTAATTTCACTCATGTATATCAAGCAAGCTCATTGGCCACATCATAATAGTGTGCTCACATCTGATGCAGCACTTTGAAAACAACAACATCCTCAAAAACCAACAAAACACTTTAAGAAAACACGATTGCTGAAAGTCCAACTATTAAATGTAGTTAATGACCAAGCAAATGCATTTGACAACAGAGAATATATTGACATCTTCATTCTTGATTCGAAAGCGTTTGTTACGTCATCACACTTGTGTATATGAATTCTAGTCTAAAATGGCTATTTTGATCTTCACAGCATCTGAACGGTCTTTTAGTCAATTTTCTGGTTTATTCACTGAGGTAGATTAAGTACTATAAAGAGAAATTAACAGAACCCCCCTCCCCCAGGGAATGCTACTTGGACCTTTATTGTTCTTAGTTTACATAAATGATATTAAAGAAAACGACACATCAAATATAATAGTATTTTCCTATGATTTTCTGTTTGCTTCAAACAAATATCAATGCTCTTCAGAGTATACCATTTTAAAGAATTTTATTTCATTTTGTAATGGTTTTCTTTTCATTTTCCCCATATTGCACCCAATAATCTGCAGGCAAAATGTTAAGCTGACCATCTTCTCACTTAACGAAGTCTTTATGAACAGTAGCATAACTAATATAAAAAGATCTTGAATAAAGTTCATCCAGGTTTATGTTTTAAGTCATTGAATACACACTTCTTTCTTTTTATTGGATTGAAAGGTTATTTAATTGTGTTTTAAGTGGTATTTCTGGAGAGAGAAAAAAAAAAGATTTATGCTTAAATATTAATGGATTAAGTGTGTTTTTGTTTGCTAAATATTGGATGTTGGATGTGAACTGATTGATATATTAGTCTGAGATATATGATTTTTATACGACCGCAAAAAATTTGCGTTCATATAATGCTATCATGTTGTCGTTGTCGTCGGCATCATCGTCGTCCGGAGACACATTTGGTTTCAGACAATAACTTTAGTTTAAGTGAATTGATCTCTATGAAATTTTACCAGAAGGTTCAATACATCAAAAGGAAGGTTGAGATTGATTTTGGGGGTTATGGTACCAACAGTTGAGGAATTTCCCCAAAAAATTCTCCAATTTTACATTGATTATTTCTGATTTATATATAAAAGCAACAAATACTGATATGGCAGGAGATACACACAGCACAGTATTGCGCAATAGCAAGAAATCTTCAATTGAAAATAAATACAAATCTTTTAACCAATTTCAATGGGATTAAATTAAGTCTTTGATTTTTTAGGGTTCTTACCTTGTATAACTATTTTGGATTTGGGCCCCATTTTAAAATTGGTCTACATTGAGGTCCAAAGGGTCCAAAATTAAACTTTGTTTGATTTCATCAAAAACTGAATTGTTGTGGCTCTATGATATGCTAAATCTTATTGTGCATTTAGATTTTTTTATTTTGGGCTCTGTTTTCAAATTAGTCTATATTGAGGTTTGAAGGGTCCAAAATTAAACTTTGTTTGATTTCAACTAAAATCAAATTTTTGGTGTTTTTTGATATGCTGAATCTAACCATGTTGTTAGATTTTGGATATCAGACCATACTAGGTAAATTAAATGTCCCATTTCAAATTTTTAAGATCTTTGAACACATTTATTTTGTGTCAGAAACCTATATTATGTCAAAAATTTGATCACAATCCAAATTCAGACAGTATCAAGCTTGAATATTGTGTAAAAATATATAAATTATAAAGACAGTATATCAAAACTATGGAATTAAGAAATTTGTAACATCCTTCAACAATGAGCAAAACCCACACTGCATAGTCAACTATAAAAGGCCCCGAAATGACAAATGCAAAACAATTCAACCGAGAAACTAATGGCCTGATTTATGAAGAAAACAATGAACAAAAAACAAATATGTTATACTGCAAATAATGACAACCACTGAATTACAGGCTCCCAACTTGGTACAGACACATACAGAATGTGGCGGGGTTAAACTAGTTTGCTGGTGCAAAACCCTCCCCTAACCTGGGACAGTGGTGTAACAATACAACATAAGAACAAACTATAAAAAATTGTTAATGTGGGTTACCAAACTGATTGAAAGTTATTCGAAACACAATCATACATTTAAAAAATGAATATCTGTTAAATAAGGTTATTTGAAATCTACATGGAAATGCATATTGTCTTATTATCATTAGTCATTGAGAAAAAAGTGGAAAGTACATGTGCATGCAAAATCTTAAGCTCTCTCCATAAATTCATTTTCAGCATGTTCTGACAAGTCCTAAGTTTGTTACAATTTCTCAAAACCTATCTGTTTTTCCACAATTTTATTTACAAGCAACCTGGTCTGTTCGAACTTTAGAATTTCAATATAGAAATATTATCTTTGTGTGAATATGACAATTTAAAATGTTTAAAAAGTAACAGAAAATGTTTAACAAAAATGATTGACTGTTAAAATATGAAACAATTTTTTCATACATCTAAGAATAGGTTCTCCTAATCTATGTATTTTTTCAGTGTTTGCAGGGGAGATAATTTGTTGTCAGAAGAGTATCCACCTTTAATGTGTTTTCTGTCAGATAAATATGATTGCAATTAAGAAAATAAAGTTTAAAATAGATTAACCTATCCTAGTTGACACAAACTCAAATGTTGGGGAAAAGCCAGAAACCAAACGACATTACTGCCAGGCGGTAGTTCCGGAAATATTTCAGGGTTGCAGGTATTGATTTTTGATTACCTACATAGCCGACACATCCGTTCGAAAACAAGAGGTTTCGTTTATTTCACAGTTTTAGAGAAACAACTAATTAAAGAATGCCAAGGAGTAGATCTCGATCTCCAAGAAGAGGTAATATCTACGCTGTCTTATGAATTGATACTGTGGTACATAGTCACGCTGTAACGGTTAACCAATTTTTTTTTTACCCACTTAAAGACACTTAACTTCGACTCGATATTTAGCAATTATTGTTATCCTAACATTGTGATAATTATATCGATAGTCTTATGAGAACTTTCTTTTTCATATGGAATTCAGACATTGAGCAGGTTGGGAAAGATCCTCATTATTTGGGTCTGTGTTCTTGTTTACAGGGCATACCCATCCTGGAAGCATGATTATCTATATGGACATGCCATTTCATGAACCCTTGCATCTCTGAGCCAAATTCATTTCACAAGCTGTGTCCTTTCATCATCAAGATTATCTGCCAACTGTCAAAAAATATTCAAAAACATACTCCTTGTCAATATGTATATCTGAAATTGTCACTTTCCAGACATTTTGGCCATTTGTAAGGTTGACCTTGGTGGTTTCGGTTCAACCAGGAACATATATATTGACAGGACTTGACACTACCTAATAATAGCGGATTTCATTGTCGGGTCATAGTAAATAAAAAGTAAAATCACAAAAATACCGAACTCCGAGGAAAATTCAATCGGAAAGTCCCTAATCACATGGCAAAATCAAATGACAAAACACATCAAACGAATTACACGATATGGAAACGGACATGTGTAAAATACGCAATCGCTATTATCTTAATAATTTCTAATAATATCAATAAATGCCATTCAAACTACATAATGAGTGAGGCCAGTGTATCGAACTTGATTTCTGTCACTTCAAATTTGTCATAATAGTATTCATTTCATCACAGAAGGGTACAGAATGCAAACAGGGTAATAAAAAAATGGCGCCGATGGCATTCTCAGTAACCGTGAATTTCACAAACCAATAATATAAAGCACTTTACATCAAATTAATCACACTTATACTGGTAATTTTATTTGACAAAGTATATCTACTTTAAGATAAAACTTTTATTTGTTGAATGTTTGTAATAATGTAGTTAATTTATTGAACATTCTCGATGGTTTTGCAGTCAGATGCTTCCAAAATCCATCAATCTCGCGAAGTCTTGGGAAGTTTGGGATTTAATCAATTTTATACTGAAAAGCCTATCAGATTCATTTTCTGTTAGATATACTATTCCCAGGTTCAACTTCAAATTTTATGGTCATGTCCCTTTCTAGCAATATTAATTTATGAATAAAGAAATAACATATCATAAAAGGAAAAAAAAATTAAGACACTTGGATTCACTTGCTCTTTTCAACTCTGGGTAATTGTCAATTCAAAAGTGAACAATGGTTTTATTTTTTTATTTTTGGTCATTGAAAAATAAAAATAAATGTCAGTTTGCCTTGTTTCATGAAGTGACACAGAGAATATTTTGAATTATATATACAGTTATAAGTGTTTTGACTTGAAATAATAATGATATGGTGTTGAAACGAGGCTCTGAATCCTTACAATGTACCCATTTTTAGCTCACCTGGCCCACAGGGCCAAGTGAGCTTTTCTCATCACTTGGCGTCCGTCGTCGTCTTTAACTTTTAACTTTTTTAACTTCTTCTAGAGAACCACTAAATGGAATGAAACCAAACATGGCATGACTGTTCTTTATGAGGTGCTGACCAAGTGTTGTTACTTTGAAGCCGAACTATCATCCAAGATTGCCCCCAGCTGGGGACTTCGTTTAACATAGGACCCTATGGACAATACATACAAATGTCTTCTTTTAGAGAACCACTGAATAGAATGAAACCAAACATGGCATGAATGTTCCTTATGAGGTGCTGACCAAGTGTTGTTACCTTTGAAGCTGATCCATCATTCAAGATGGCCGTCAGTGGGGGACTTCAGTTAACATAGGACCCTATGGACAATACATACAAATGTCTTCTTTGAGAGAACCACTGAATAGAATGAAATAAAAACATAGCATGAATGTTCCTTATGAGGTGCTGACCAAGTGTTGTAACTTTGTAGCCAATCAATCATCCAAGATGTCCGCTAGCGAGACTTCGATTAACATAGGACCCTAAGTGCAATATGTACAAATGTTTTCTTTTAGAGACCCACTGAATGGAATGAAACCAAACATGGCATGAATGCTCCTTTGGGAAATGTATACAAATGTCTTCTTCTAGAAAACTGCTGAATGGATTGAAACCAAACATGGTATGAATGTTTCTTTTGAGGTGCTGACCAAGTGTTGTTACTTTTTTGCTGATTTGTCATCCAAGATGGCCGCCAGCAGGGGACTTAGTTTAACATAAGACCCTATGGGAAATACATACAAATGCTTCTTCTAGAGGAGCACTGAATGGAATGAAACCAAACAAGGCATAAATGTTCCTTATGAGGTGCATGAAGTTGCTACTTTGTGGCCGATTTACTGTTCAAGATGGCCACCAGGATTTTTTTATTAAATTACGGGGCAAATATTAAACCAAATTTGGCCTCAATCATTATTAAGGTATCTGTTATGATTTTAATCTATTTTTACATGATTTCTAAAACCAAAGTAGAATCAGGTGAGCGACACAGGCTCTTGAGAGCCTCTAGTTTGTTATCACTTTGTATTTAATTCTGCTTTTAAAGGTTCATCCTAGAAAAGGTCTCTTACTTTTGTGGACTTAAATTGTTATGTTTTCTGTGAAAATTGTGTTGTTGATAAATATTCCAGTGAAAAAGAACAAAAATTTTTTGGTTTGATTTTTTGTAAAATAAATGTTAAGAAATGAAATTGATGTGAGTGATCGCCTAAAAGTGTGTTCATAACATAATCAGTTTTAATGTTGTAGGGGTGGCTTAAAGAAATATATGATCAGCAACTGTGTAGCACCTGAAAATATGAATAGAAAAATTGCAGTATAAAAGGTGGAATGGGTTTTCCTTTTGATTTTTATACGACCGCAAAAAAAATTTTGTGGTTGTATATTGGTATGACGTTGGCGTCGTCTCCGTCGTCGTCGTCCGAAGACACATTGGTTTTCGCACTCTAACTTTAGTTTAAGTGAATGGATCTCTATGAAATTTTACCATAAGGTTCAATACCACAAAAGGAAGGTTGGGATTGATTTTGGGGGTTATGGTACCAACAGTTAAGGAATAAGGGGCCCAAAAGGGGCCAAAAATAAGCATTTTTGTAACTTCCAGACATAACTTGTGTGTTAGTGTATGGATCTCTCTGACATTGTACCACAAGGTTCCATATCACAAAGGGAATGCTGGAATTGATTTTGGGGGTAATTGCTTCAAAACTTTAGGAATTAGGGGCAAAAAAAGGGGCAAAAAACAAGCATTTTTCTAGTTTCATGACAATAACTTGTGTGTTAGTGTATGGATCTTTCTGAAATTGTACTACAAGGTTCCATATCACAAAGAAAAAGCTAGAATTGAGTTTGGGGGTATTTGCCCAAAACGTTGAGGAATAAGGGGCCAAAAATAAGCATTTTTCTAGTTTCCAGACAATAACTTGTGTTCAAGTGTATGGATCTCTCTGAAATTGTACTGCAAGGTACCATACCACAAAGGGAATGCTGGGATTGATTTTGGGGGTAATTTCCTCAAAATTTTAGAAATTAGGGGCCAAAAAGGGTAAAAAACAAGCATTTTTCTAGTTTCAGGACAATAACTTGTGTGTAAGTGTATGGATCTTTATGAAATTGTACTACAAGGTTCCATATCACACAGGGAAAGCTGGGTTTGAGTTTGGGGGTAATTGCCCTAAACGTTTAGGAATTTGGGGCCAAAAAGGGGCCTAAAAACAAGCATTTTTCTAGTTTCCAGACAATAACTTGTGTTCAAGTGTATGGATCTCTCTGAAATTGTACTGCAAGGTACCATACCACAAAGGGAAGGCTGGGATTGAGTTTGGGGGTGATGAATCATAAGGGGGTTCAAAAAATTGGGGGGGGGGGGGGGGGGTTTCCTTTTTTTTCCGTTTTTTTTCTTTAAAATTTCCATTTTAAATTGGTTATTTCTGTTTTATATATAAAAGCAAATAATAATGATATGGTTTGAATAGGTAAATTAAAAAATTTTAAGTTCTTAGACCACATTCATTCTGTGTCAGAAACCTATGCTGTGTCAAATATTTAATCACAATCCAAATTCAGTGCTGTATCAAGCTTGAATGTTGTGTCCATACTTGCCCCAACTGTTCAGGGTTCGACCTCTGCGGTCGTATCAAGCTGCGCCCAGCGGAGCATTTTATTCAAAACTAAAATGAATGAACACTAATACATACGGACACATAGCTCATCATTAAATAACAATAATCAGATTTACCAGAACAATAGGTTACTGATCAGATCAGATACATGTAATGCAGTACGTTGACGTTTAAAAAGAAAAAAAAACATGTAGAATTCAAAAACATACATTGTAAATATGTCCATGATTGTAATTGCTTGTGTAAATATCTATGATTAACACATCAATGTATATATTTTAGTTTTGCTTTAAAATATTATAATAATGTTGTTTTGATGGATGTGATAGTTATTATTATTTAACAGAAAATCAATACGACTACACAGATATGTTTATCTAACTGGATGAAATAAGTGATTGACACCGGTGTGTGTTTTGAAATAATATCAAAGGAATAGACTCAAAATGAGTGTATGATTGAAGCATCTTTTAGAACAGTCAAAAGTCTGTATAAGCAATCAACTCCTAATTGACTTTTAAATACTACTTATCAGGAGATGGATGTACAAACTTGAAAAAAAAATTCAAATACGTTAACAACTGCAATATAAAATAAAAGTATGGCTAAAGTAACCAAGGCCAAGACAAAGCAAGACTGAACTGGTTCCATGGCCTAAATGTCTCGTTTCCAAATTGACTTCCGTTTTAATTTTTTGCTTTGCATAAAGGTAAATCTTGAGAGATTCCAAAATGAATTATTAGCATTTCATTTATCTTGTGATTGAAGCCCAATTTGCCATAAAAGACAGTTCAGATCAGAGCTACAATGTACAATGTAT